CAATGTATCTAAACCGCCACAAAATCAGTGAAAATAAGCAACACATCCCTTAGCATAAATGGAACTCAGAACAGCATTTTCACTCAGAGGTGTACCCAATTCATTCAAGCCTCAGGCAACTGAGTTCAAAATGTTACGCTGGCTCCAAAAAAACTTCTGGTTTCAGAAAAATCATGTCGCTCACAGCTAATCACCGGGCCTACATATCTGTCCTTCACTGGAAACCTGCAACAGCAGGGCTGCAAAACTAAACTGACCTCAAGTTTGCACGACTCTCGGGCACATCACAACCGACTTATACTGAGACACTTCATCAGCTTTCACCCCAAACCACATTTGCCAAAACCTGGCAGCCTCAGCGAAGGTGGGAGTCATCAGACGATCACCCCAAAGTTAAATACGCTCTTCCTGTGCTTCCTTACATATGCCAAAAGTCACAACAGAAATTAAGTGCCACTTCTCTCTGAAACCTGGGCTCAAAAGAGAGACAGGACAATGCAGCATTCTCACCGTTAAAAGGACAAGTGCCATTCCTAACTTTGAAACTCCTGCCATTAAGGCAGTAGGCATAATAATAACAATAATAATAACAGATGTGCCAAACCACATCCTTTATTGTTAACAGAAGGAGCAGCTGCTATCAAAACATCCTTTCTCCCACCATCTCCCTGTGTCTGCCAAGAAAAAAGCTCCAGCCTATATCGGGCATCAGGACCCACAGGACATGCATTTCCTTCAGCTTAGAGACCTGCCTTTGCACAGAAGGGCTTGCACACATTTTTGGGGGGATACTTCCAAACAGCTGGATTGCAGTTCCCCACCAACTCAGTCCACGGGATCTTGAAGTACACAGTCAGAGAATCAGAGAACCATAGAATAGTAAGGGTTGGAAAGGACCTTAAGATCATTTAGTTCCAACCCCCCTGCCATGGGCAGGGACACCTGGCACTAAACCATGTCACCCAAGGCTCCGTCCAGCCTGGCCTTGAACACTGCCAGAGATGGAGCATTCACAATTTCCATGGGCAACCCAAGGAGATGCTCCAGTCCCCTGATCATCCTCGTGGCGCGCCTCTGGACTTGCTCCAACCGTTCCGTGTCCTCTTTATGCTGAGAACACCAGAACTGCACACAATGCTCCAAGTGAGGTCTCGCGAGAGCAGAGTAGAGGGGCAGGATCACCTCCTTTGACCTGCTGTCATGCTCCTTTTGAGGCAGCCCAGGATGCGCTTGGCTTTCTGGGCAGCGAGCGCACACTGAAGACGGCTCATGTTCATTTTCTCATCGACCAACACCCCCGAGTCCCAATCCCACTGTCCGTGTCAGCGACAAAGATGTTGAACAAGAGAGGTCCCAGCACCGATCGCTGAGGAACACCACCCGTTACTGGTCTCCAGCTGGACACCGACCCATTGACCACAACCCTTTGCGTGCGGCCATCCAGCCAGCTCTTTATCCACCGAGTGGTCCACCTATGAAATTGATGTCTCTCCAGTTTAGAGACAAGGATGTCATGTGGGACAGTGTCAAACGCTTTGCACAAGTCCAGGTAGGTGCCATCAACTGCTCTACCCCTGTCCGTTGGTTCCGTAGCCCCATCACAGAAGGCCACCAAATTGGTCAGGCAGGATTTCCCCTCAATGAACCCATGCTGGCTGTCACCAAGCACCTTGTTGTTTTTCATGTGCCTTAGCATGCCTTCCAGGAGAACCTGCTCCAAGATTTTGCCAGGCACAGAGCTGAGACTGACTGGGCTCTAAGTCTCTGGGTCATCCATTTTCCCGTTCTTGAAAATGGGGCTTCTATTTCCCTTTTTCCAGTCTTTGGGAGCTTCACCTGACTGCCATCATTTTTCAAATATGATGGACAGTGGCTTAGCAGCTTCATTTGCCAGCTCCTTCAGGACCCGCGGATGGATTTCAACAATCAGGCTCCATGCACTTGTGCATGTTCAGGTTCTTAAGATGGTCTCGAACCAGATCCTCTCCTACAGTGGGCCTACGGTCTTCATTCTTAAATTTTTACCATTAAGGGGAACTGACTGAAGTCTTAAGCATGCTTTCCCAAAGAATCGTAGAGAATTATAGAATCATAGAATGCTTTGGATTGGAAAGGACCTTAAGATCATCTAGTCCCAACACCCTGCCACAGGCAGGGACACCTAACACAAGACCATGGTGCTCGAGCCCCGTCCTACCTGGCCTTGAACACTGCCAGGGATGGAGCAGTCACCACTGCTTTGGGCAACCTGTGCCAGGGCCTCACCACCCGCACAGTGAAGAATTTCTTCCTTCTAGCTAACCTGAACTTCCTCTGGTTCACTTTAAGCCCATCACCCCTTGTCCTGTCTCTACCGTCCCTGACCAAGAGTCCCTCCGCAGCATCCTTGTAGGCCCCCTTCACGTACTGGAAGGCTGCTATGAGCTCTCCACGCAGCCTTCCCTTCTCCAGGCTGAAGAGCCTCGACTTTCTCAGCCTGTCTTTGTACAGGAGCTGCTCCATCCCCCTTAGCAGCATGGCGGCCCTCCTCTGGATTTGCTCCAACAGCTCTATGTCCTTCTGTTCAGGACACCGGAAGTGTACACAGTGCTCCACGCGAGCGTCTCATGAGAGCAGAGGAGAGGAACAGGATCACCTCCCTTGACCTGCTGCTCATGCTGTTGGTGACACAGCCCAGGACACAGGCGGTTTCGGGGCTCAAGCGCACGCTGAAGCCGGCTCATGTTCCCACCCCCAGGTCCTTCTCCTCAGGCTGCTCTGAATCACTTCTCTGCGCAGCCTGCAGCTGTGCCTGGGATTGCCCTGACCCAGGGGCAGGAGCCTGCACTCGGCCTTGTTGAACTTGATGAGGCTGGACACCTCTCCAGCATGTCCGGGTCCCTCTGGATGCCATCCCTTCCCTCCAGCGCATCGACTGCACTACACCGCTCGGTGGCGTCAGCAAACTTGCTGAGGGTGCTCGATCCCACTGTCTGTGTCGCCGACAAAGACGTTGAACAGGGTCTGCCCCAACACCGACCCCTGAGGGACTCCATGCGTCACAGGTCTCCAGCTGGACATTCAGCCATTGACCGCGACTCTCTGCGCGCAGTCATCCAGCCAATTCCTTGTCCACCGGCTGTCCATCCAGCAAATTCATGTCTCTCCCGTTTAGAGACAAGGACGTCGTGTGGGAGGGATTTAAATGAAATTTATTTGCTCCAGAGAGCACGAACGTGGCGGGAAGGGCCGCGGGCAGCTGGTCACTTGAGGGTGGAGGGCAGGCCCCGGAGGTGGTAGATCCAGGAGCCCCCAGGGCAAGAGACCACCAGCCTGCTGGTGACAGGAGCCCGGCCGCCCCTGAAGGAGACGGTGATGGTGGCGCTGCTCTTGGCGCGCAGCATCTCGGGGGCCCTGACTTTGAAGGCTGGGCGCTTTACTGCAGCACCTCCCTAATGGCAGCACCTTGAAGCCACAGGGCGCAGACTTCATCTCCTCGAGCAGCTTCTGATGCTCGCTCGCCGGCAGATGTTTGTTCACCTGTGCACAGAAACCACTCGCGTGAGGTCTCCTTGGTCTGGGAGGACAGAGCCTCGGCTCCTGCAGTGCTCCGACATGCTGGCACAGTGCAGGGAGCACCCTCATCCCACCCAGACGTGGCCACCACTGCCTAGAACTGGATGGTTTGACTCCAATGACGGAAGGCCAGGAGAAATCATCACTTTATCCTACTATTATTATTATCCTATTTATCCTACTAGTCCATGGCCAAACCCCATTCTTTAAAGACAGAACTATGATGGGAAACCCTTCGTCACTTCTCCCTTCATTCCTGCTCTATGGCAGGCTATAAAAGCAGAACGTTATTTCTCTCGGGAAATTCCAATAGGCTGTTGAAGAGGTTCTTCACGTGCCTGCTACTCCCCAGGAAAAAGAACTGCTGCATAAAAGGATGTCATAACACTGCACAAGACAGCAGGGGAGAGACTCGTGTAGGAGCCTGCTTTGATTCAGCCCTAGAGCAAACTGTGTCACAGAAACACGGCCATTTAGGAAAGGTTTCCACTCCCAGCTTGGGGCTTCATGTCGCTACATCATCACATCTTGATGTGGACAGGACTCGGCCAGAATTCCAGAGCTCCCCTTAATGCACCTCAGGAGCTCAAGAGCAGGTGAAGCTCATTGTGGAGACATAGTGACCGTAATGAAGCAGGAGCCCTGGGGCACACTCCAGAACCAGCTCTGACACACCACAGGATGCTCTGAATGCTCAGCTCAGCAGCTCCCACTCTCCCCGATATCCTTGCTGCTCTGACACACTGGTGGCTCTCAGCCTTACATGGGTTGCAGGAGCAACCGAGAAGAGAACAGCAGCCCCTTCCTCGGAAAACAAAATAAAACAAATAAACTAGTTTCACCCACTGTAAAAGAAAGAAGAGGTTGGGATTATTCCAGGCTTTACTCCAAGATGAGAAGGGATGTTGCACTGCTCAGACAGCAGGCATTCTTCATCCCAGACCATGCAACTATTCAGAACGACGGCTCTGGCTGATTGAAGGACATGGGCGTTTTGCTTGCATCACCAGGAAAGGGAGCACTTTTCTCTACCTATCTGCAGTAGAACTCAAAAAGCCTGTTTAAATCTGAGAGCCTCGTGTCCAGGCTCACAGACGACACTGGAAGGGAGACTCAGATGTGGTATACATCCAGGTTTTAGGAAGGGATTGCTGTTCCCGTGATTAAACCTGGGCTCAATGGGGGCTCCTTTCCACAGGGGACCATTTCATTCTGCAGGTCAGTATGTGAACCAACAGTGCACCAGTGTCCTTTCTTCAGCCCCATGCGCTACGTGGAAACGTGTCCTTACAGAGAATAACTGATAACCTCTGGCCACTGTGAAGACACTCACAAAGTGCCCTTAATTCACAGCCCTTGCAGCAGAGCCCAGCCTGGGGGCGGCTCTTGCTGCTGTTCAGAAAGGCTTTTTGCAACAAGCGCCCCCAGCCTCACCAGAAACCTGAGGTCTCCTCTCTTGGCACATCAAGCAGCTGACGTGGGATCTGCCAACGGACCTCATTCAGAGATGACAAGGAGGAGGAGCAGGAAGGGAGGTTCTCAGCCATCACTCACCATGGGCACAATGGTGAAAATATCATTGCAGAAAGGCACGGAGTCTCCCTGCACCTCTGTCCCCTGGTTCTGGGAGGTGCAGATGGGAAGGGAAGGCTGTTCTCCGAGAGGGCGCACCACCCCGTGCTCCTTAGGAACATCAACCAGCTTGTCCTCTTCCTGCCTCTGCAGCCTGTGCCATGGGAGAGACGAGCCAAACAGATAACTGAAGAAGCAGCACATTTGCAGAGCCTGTGCATGAGCAGCAAAGCACCTGGGGAGGAAGAGCAGCAGCTCTGCATGGGGCTGCCCTGAGACAGGGGCTCCCACATGGATCCCATTATTCCCCTCGTTCCCAGCACAGCAGGGCCTTTTACTCCTCACTGACAAGCTAACAAGAGGTTTCTTAAAGCTGGCAGCCCTCAAGAAAAAGCCTCCTGCACTGGGAGGAGGGGCCACAAACCAGGACACTGAAAGGCAATTCCCCAGCCTACAGCAGGTCGGCCTCCACCTTCTGGGCCAACTAAGCACTCTACCCTGCGTGTGACTGCAAAAGGAGCCTGCCAGCTTATCAAAGAAGAAACCGCTTGACTATCACAATAGTTGTGCCACCTGCAGCTCTTCAGTGCTACTGCTCAGTGCAGTCCCAGGTACCGAGTGCCGACACCTTCCTCAGCCTCACGGACCCTCCGTAGTGCACGGAGCTCTGAACTCAATAGTCTGCGGCTCCCAAATGTGAATTTGCCCTCTGAGGCAATCCAGGGATTGCAATCAACCTTCTCTCCCCAGAACATCATCCTCAGCTGTAGCACGGGTGGCACTGGAATGGCAAGGGTTAAGCTCCACGCTGTGCATGGCTTCATGGGCCCTAATCCGTTCAAAAGCCCCAACAGCCCTCTGAGGCTGTGCGTTAGTTTTCCCCTGGGGCATCTATCTTTCTGAGGTGAATCTCTCAAACAAACCTCAGCTTCTGCCGCTCCTCCTCTTCCTGATCAACAGAACGCTTCCACTGGAAGTGAGCCGTGATGGCACTCTGATTGTGGATGACCACGCATCTTTGGTTTGACAGCGTGACGGAAGTCTTCTCAACCGTCAAGGAGCTCTTGTCAAGCCTGATGTTGACATTTACAGCTCTTCCACAAAGGCTTTTGTGAACATCTTCACCTGGAACAAAGCAAAGGCAAGACTCAGCTCATCTCACTCGCTGATGGAAGTACAAGGAACAGAGCAATCTGCAGGCAACGGAAGAAAGAGCTGCAGCTTTGAGCTGCATCAGCAGTTCCCCGCACCTGGACATACATCATATCCTGACAGCTGCACACGGTACAGCATGAGGATGTCCTAGCACCACCTTAGGCACCTTATTCTGGGGGGGTGTTCGTGGAGGTTTATCCCCAAGGTGACAGCATTTACAGTGAGACTTTTCACTTCTGCCCAGCTGCCTTTGGGCCGCCATCCCACTCAGCTCACAGGGAATTCTACATCCAAGTCACTCAGTGACGCTGAGGACCCTCACCTCAGTCAACCCTTGCCCACGCTCTCCTGCAGGCAGGAGATGCCCCCGTGTCGTCTCATCCTCATCTCCTGGTCCTGAAAGATTGGGCAGAGCTCTCATCTCAGAATCCGAGCGGGAGCATTTGAAATGAAATGGAGAAGGGAAGAAGGAACAATGGAAAGCACAGAGCAGCTTCTGTGCTGAGCTCTGCACTTAAAAGGGTGCTACTGGGCCCTCAGATCCACCTGCCAACTCCTTCTTTTGCTCCTGCTACTCTCACAGCCGAGTGCCTCACCACTGCCAGCACGTCCTTCCTTGTCAAACGTGCTGCTGTTACCACTTCACCACAAGAAGAGGGTCTCTACCTCAAAGGCCTTGCCAGGAACTGTAACACAACAGATCGGGATGAAAAGCAATGACCAGTCAGGAGAGCTCTACGGGACAGGTTGCAGGCTCTTCAGACAGCTCTCCTGCACGTTAAAAGCCATCTCCTTTTCAATCAGGCTCCTTGCTATGCACCCTTCTGCAATGGAGCACTCAGAATATTCACCGTCGCCCCCTGTGCACCGTGCTTAGGAAGATCTGCCGGCCTTGTTACAGGCTGAAATAGTCCAGCCCAGGAATATCTGGCAGCCAGCATGGAAGCTTTGCTCTACCCAGTGTGAAGGAGCCTTGCAGAAGGGATTCAACGGACAATGAAGCCATCAGATGATGACAGACAGCGCAGACACCGCTCTGTTTGGAAGGACACACAGAGGGTGCACCACGCACTTACCTGTGTCATAGTGAACTATCATGGGACTGGAATAAACACCGGTCTTTGGCGGGTGAAATTCCACCGTGACTTGCATCGCTTCTCCAACGCCAAGAGTCCCAATGGAGGGATCCACAGAGAACGGGCTGCAAGGCAAAGAGAGAGATCAGGACTGTACGGGAGATCTGGGCCCTCCGTTAATTTTGCAGTCCACCTCACTTCAGCTCACTTGTGCAAGCAAGGAGCAAGCAAACCACCGTCGGTACAACAAAACCAGAACATCCAGGATCAGAAACAGAGCGGGTGACTCTCCCTGCTGAAGAGAACCAGACCTCAGAAGATCCCGGGGCATAACATGACCTCAGGCCCCCATACTCTGCACCCAGTTCTCAGTTCTCAGCTCTCCACCTCTGCACACGTGCAATCCAGTTACTCAGAATTCCACTTTTTTGTGGAGTTCACTTCAAACTTCTGTAATGCTTCCCATTTCTTTATTGCAAATCGGGACTGAAATAGTTCATTGCTGAAGTTGGGGAACTCCTAAAACCCTTGTCAAGGAGCTCTCGACACACGCTCTAGCACCCAAGCGAGTAGTTGGCAAGTGCATTGCAAATAGCAGGTCTTGGAGTATCTTTCACCTGCACCCTCCCTAGCTTTCTGGTTTGGGCTGTAGTCCAGTTCTGAAGGCACTGCCTGCTCCTCTCCACTTCAGAGCTCCTTCTGCTTAGGCATATTTGGTCCCAGGCATCAGACCAAGCCCACGGGAAAACAAAGTCCCCGCACCACACACTCGTATTGCCAGGGCCTCCACAGCAATTGCTTTCATCTATGATCTCTGCTTGCTAATGTAGACACAGCTGCTGATGAACTCTTCAGTGCCTCTCACCAGCTCATTGCTCGCCCATTTCTTGATGCTGCGTTTGGCCTCCGTGACCTGAGCCCCTCGAGCTCTCCTCTGCCACGCAGCACCTTCTTCAGCAGTCAAGCTGCCTTCCTACCTTGGCTCTTCCAATCTAACAGCATCAGACCTGCAAGATGCTGCCTTGGAGACACCACTGCACTGTAAAACTTGCTTGCAGAGCTTTCTCAAAACACTCTAAGCAATGGCAAACCCCACGGATCCTGCCCATGTCCAGCACCTCAGATACTCTGCCTCCTTTTTCTCACTGTTTACAACTCCATGACCACGCAACAGCGTCTGCACAAGACATGAGCTCCTTTACCTCAGAGTGGTGATGCTGTAGCAAGCCTCCCGATTCCCCACGTTGCGCACCAGCAGAGTTTTCTGGGTGCTGAACCTGACTGGACAGTTGGAGAAGTTCAGCTGCTCAGGGAAGTCCAGGCTGGCTCGGGCACCTATGGCTCGGATAGGCACAAAGAACTTCTCCCTCTCTGTGATGATGATAAGCTCGTCGAAATAATCCTGCAGGGAAAGAAACAATCTCAGCACAGTGCCTTTAGCACCATGCCCATGGCAGAAGAAGAGCTGCTGCTTTCTGGGACTCTCGCAGTAGCATTCCATAATGCACTCGCACTTTTTACCTTCATGGCCTTTCATGACACATTATTGCACAAGCAGGGGCAGCCAGGGACCATGGGGCAGGTCCTCTTTAGTTTTCTATAGGCATGCTGCTTGAGGATTGCACAGAGTATTCAACTACATTTAAGCAGCAAACAGAAGATGAGTAAAAGGCCATGCACAGACAGCAGACTCTCGGCCCTGAAGCCAACAGACATTACCTTAGATATTCCACCACGGAAGGAGAAAACAGCCTGAAACTGGCAAGAGCCTCCAGCCTACGGGAGCACAACCTTCACCACCAGGAAAGAGTCTCCCCCACGTCTAGATCCAGTGCAACCCTACTGAACCCAGCACCAGTTCTTCAAAACACACACCAGATGCCTGCTTTGGAATCCAGCCCTGCAGGTTCCCCTTCCCCTCAAGGCGCCATCTCTCGAGACCTTCAGTCTCACCTTGTTCTCATCAGGTCTGAAAAGGATGCGGTAGGTTGAAGACATGCCCGGTGCTACCTTATAGTCCTCATCACTCGGGCTGATCAACTCGAAGTAAGGAGAGTTCCCCAGGATGACGTTCAGCAGACGAGGAACCTGCAGGAAAGACACAGAACTATGATTTTGTCGCTTGTGGAAACATGAGAAGGGACCAGGACGGGCCACGTGCCATCCTTCCTTACCACCTTTCCAAAACACTTTTAGCTCTGCGTAACGCACAAGGGTGGACTTGAATCCCTTCTGCTTAGCTACATAGCTGCAGGACAGAGGCCGTAGGAACAACATGCCCTGCTGTGAAGGAAGCAGGAAGGAGATGCAGTACCTCAAGTCATTCAACAAGCCCAGAGAACATGCCTGCTTCTGCCTGCACACACCCGTGCAATCATGCCTCTGGAGGCGGAATGTATTATCTGAAGGCAACCCAGCGTGGGTTATACGGGGGGGGGGGGGGAGGGGGCGGGAAGGAAGTCACTTCTGACACACCAGCGTGGAGTGCGGCGGTCAAGCTGCGGTGCTACTCATGGGGGTGGACCAGCAAGAGAAGGAGACCACAAACACTCTGGCCTTCCTGAGAATAAAAGCTTACCTCAAGAGCAACCATCCCCAGGAGGAAGCAGATGGCAAAGAGAATTTAAAGGGGGCTGCAAAGCAGCAAGGGAGATCCATAACAAAAGGAAAGGCTGGTGCAGAGATGAGAACTAACGTGCCTGTATGAACCCCCACAGGCCGTGCCTACCAATGATGGTCCTCAAAGGCACTTTCTGCTTTGAGATAGGTGGCCAGCACTGCCTCACACTGTGGTGGCTTCATCACCGAAAGCCACCCTGAGCTCTCTGGAGGCTCTTGCTGCCTGGGGACTGCAGCCAGGCCTCTGCCAGTGCAGGAGAGCCACATTTCTGGGTATCCCTCCTCAGAGCCAGCCTTTCCTGCAGGCATCCTGCTGCAAGTGTCTGTCCTCTGCGATACCACAGGCACGGGGACAGCAAACAGGCATTCTCTAGCACACAGGCAGCAACCCCCCAGCACCCAATCCCAGCTCATAAAGTATAACAAGGAGACTTTGAATGACAGGCAGCTCCACTGATGAACACACGAGGCTTGGAAAAAAGGGAGGCTCATTCTGCACCCCCGACCCAAGCCTCATAACCCATGGCCAAGGCAGCCCTGGACGCTCTAAACACCCTTTGCTCCCAGCAATGCCCTGGGGCAGACAGCTCCAGGAGCCCATTTCCCACTGCAGCCACACGTTCCGGTCGCCAAATCCCTTGGCACGTGAGCCCAGGTGGCAAAGATCTTCAGCAGGAGCCACCCAGGGCACCTCTTGAGGGTGGGGAGGAGCAGCCTGAAGACAGGAAAGCAATTCCACAGCAAGTAGGCAAGAGCACTGAGCAGAGAGCGAAGCACTTCCGTACTGGAGTGATTACAGAGCACCTACTGGGCTCCATTACACTTTGCCTCTCCTACACTTTGCTGCTAGCTGCAGTTCTAGGGAGCAGACAACCTCAGCACCAGGCAGGATACATCAGTAGGACTCAGAGGAGTCTGGGGAACTCCTGAGACAGAGCGCAATGGTCCTTTTCTCCAGGACATGACCAAAACCCAGCAAAATTAGAACATGATACGCTCTCTTGGCATTATCATCTCTAGCTTTGCGCATTTAAAGATGACAAGGCTTTTCCTTAGAGCTGATCTTCCTTTTACACCAGGGCCGTCCAATGCCTGAGGTCGTACTAGCTTCACAACTAATACATTTGGGCTAAAATCAACAGTTCACACACTGCCTCCCCTTCACAGGGCATAGAAATCCCAAGCTGCAGCTGTACCCGCCTATTACGTTTTATTGGGAATGGCACCAACATCAGTGCAGATGTTGTTTTCCACTTGGGAAGCACGAATAGAGCAAATTCACTGCTTGCCTCTTCGCTGCTACTTGGCAAAGGCAAACATTCTGCGGTGCTGCATGGATGAGGGAGCAGCTGAAGCCAAAAGACACAGTGGGAATGAAGCAGAGCAGTAGGAAAAGAGAAACTGAGGCCCATTTTAATAAGCAAAGGCTACACCTACAGCAAAGATTGCCCAAAGTCACTGTGAAACACACCACTGGTGTCCCTTGGGCATAGGTAGCCACGCTGCAACTTCCCAGTATTCCCAAGCTATACCAGGAACGATACACAACTCTCTGGGGGTAACTGAGCGACCATACCTTCATCCTTTCTTGCCAAAGGGTCTTCCATGCTCCACCACGTCCCTGTAAAACCTGTTCTCTCAGGAGATAACTTTGACTTCTCTTGCTCTTCCTCCCCCTACATTAAGCCCTGACAGTGTCACTCCTTTTGTCCCCCTCTTTGTTTCTCCCAACAGGGGGATTTGAGGAGGGGGTTAATTCACCTGCACACTTCCACCTCCCCCGTGCCCTCCTCTCACACACACATCTTGCTCTTTCTTACGCAACAGGAGCTTGAATTACGCCTGTTTCTGACCTTTCTCTGCTTCCAGCACACTTCCTGTTACGTACCGAGAGAATCCCTGTGTGGAAGAAAGTGCTCCGGGACAGGACACTCAACTCAGCCCCTTTCCTCCCTCCTGTCTTTTCCCACCAGCTTGCTCTTGGCACATGCCTCTCTGGAGCAAATGTTTCCCCAACTGAAATTCAAAAGCTCTCCATTTCCCCCTTTACAGCAGAGCAGAACAAAATTGCTGACATTTCTCAACTTTTCCCTGCTCAAGTTTCTCAGGACATCTCCAAAGGATCACAATCTTTCCAGCTCAAGTTGGAGACCTTCTGGAGCACATTACCCTGCCCGTGCTGGGATTCTCCAAAGAGAACGCACAGCCACGCTGCCTTAGAAACACCTGAGCAGAACTGAGCTAAGCTTAGCAGGAGCCTCAAGTGGCACCTCAAGTCCTCCCCTTTAACTGCTCCTGCTAAGCCAGCCTCTTTCCACTGCTCTTCTGAAACACCCGGCCTGGAGTGCTAATGCCAGCAGTTACAACTTACTCCAGCACAAAGTGGAGAAGACTCAACCCCTGTGCTGTGACAGGGAGCTGCACACACGTGGCTGAACAGGCTGAGAGAGGGAAACATGCCCTGCCAGAAACCAACATTAACCAAGGAGCCAGCGGGATACGCTGCGCACTCGAGGTAAAGCATGACAGCAGGCAAGAACTGCACAGCCCTCGACATTCCCATCAGAGCAGGGCTTTCAAGGGCAAGCACGCTGGCTCAAAAAACTCCTTTGGCTTAGATACCACCAGTGCACGGCCAAAACCAGCGGCAGAACCCCCAGCACGGGAACATTTCCCCCATTTGCAGAATAACGCTGGTGAGACACTGGATTCTGCATGCGATGTGCTGCAGCAGGTAACTTGCTCTGCTGCACACCGTGTGAATTCCACTGCTCTCCTCCTCCAGCCCAGTGCTCAACCTCCACAGCCCAGCACTTACCCTGTCCGTGTTCCTCAGAGCTAGCGCCGCTATGTAGAACTGCTGGGGAACGTAGTTCTCAAACACCACCTCGGATGGGAAAGGCTGGAACAACCTCTGGTCCACGTCAACTGCTGACAACTGCAGACGCAAGACAGAGCAGAGAGAGCTTCAGCTGCTGGCAGAAACATCGACGAATGAAGATCCCACACTGATCTCCGGTAAATACAATCTCTTGGCGAGTACATCTGCCCAGCTCACACTAGGAGATGGCAGCTCACCCACCTCTGCTCTCAGCTGAGCAAAGCTTTCTGGACCAGCTTGAGCAGCCTCAAGCTAAGAAGCTCTTTTGGAGGCTGTTTCTCCACGTTGCCTTCTCCAAAAGGAAAAGCAGCGCTCACCTCCAGCAGAGCCCTCTGCTAAGGTGCTCACTCAGCTCCAGACACTTCCTGGAACAGCCACGAGCACTCGGGGAGCAAGCAAAACCCACGAGTTTCCATGGGCCTCCACAGGAAACAATTTGCGGGTGAACTTCCCCCTGACGCAGCAAGACTGAGTCCCACGCATCCCAAGTATCTTTTTTTTGATGTAGAGCCCAGAAACCAGTTGCAAGACACCAGTACCAGGGAGGAAAGGCCAACAAGAAAGTAACAGGGCAGTCGGGAAACAGACAAATGAGGTGAATGCTGGATGGGGATGAAGTTCAGCTCTTTCCCCAGCATTACTGGGCAACTGGAGCTAGACTGTAATTCGTATCCCCTTTCCCCGTGAGCTTGAAGTTGATGCTTCTCTGTATTCTATTACTGCTGGTTTATTTAATACTGCTGCAGAAGCAGCTCTGAAAAAATACACACAAAGACCAAACGCTGACCCAGCAGAGGCATTACTTGCAGATAATTCCTCCCTGCTTGCTCTCCCCTCTCCCAGCTGCACTGCTGCCACTCGAGAGACACAGGCAGGTCTCCTGCTTCTCCACGGTCAGGCTGAGGCCAGTAGCTGTAGCACTGCCAGTCATTTGGGCGCCCGTCTTACGTGTTCCCACCTCGTGCGCTGTCTGGGGCAACCCTTAACTGATGTGATACAGGTCTCTTGCTGGCAACTTTCTGCTCAACAGCCTACCTCAGTCATGCACCCACCTGGACTGTGTGTTAGAATGAGCAGTCCTGCAAGAAAAGCAGCTTTAAACATCCATCTAGGAGAGCACTGAGCCAGGTAAAGCGCATCCACTCTCCTCTGCCCAGGGCGATTCCCCTGGGTAGCCAGCAGACTGAAAACTCAAACACCCTGGAAGGGTTCCACGCCTTCTTACAAACCAAAGCATTAATGCAATTGGGTTTGTTACGGCTTAAGTAATTGCCACAGGCCCTCAGCCTTCAAAGGCCACTACTGCCACCATTGAGGGAGTCCTGTCACCCCATGCACGGGGCACTTGACTACACCAAAGCAAGAGGTGGCTGTTTGAAGAGCAGGATGAGGAACAGCAGCTCCTGCCCTTGTCTCCTGCCCCAGCCCTCCCCCACTAGCATGCTTTAGCGACGGTAGCTCAACTCCAGCAAAACCCACCAACTGCAGGAGAGCTTCCACTGGCTTCGTGCAGATAAGGACTTCAATGGCTCACTGGAGAAACACGGTTTGCTTTTCCCCCAGCAGAAAGAACTCCACCACCACCAGTTGGAAATGACAACAGGACCTAATCACCAAGCTGCTCGGGTGAGCTGGAGGCAAGCCTGCCCCAAGCACGTGCCCTCTTCAAATGTCACATCAAACAGCAAGGAAAAGGGCAGGGAAAGGCTACCTTTTGATGGGAGACGTCACCCACGTCCCGAAGCTGGAGAGGCCGGCGCCGCCTCATCTCCCGAGGGCTGGCCAGCCTCTGCTTGCTGCTGAGAGACTCTTCTGCCTCTCTGACCACCTTTGGATTACGAGATGCTACCACTCTGCTCTGGAATCCATCCGCCCTTCTGGAGGACCTCAGGGGCCGCGGGGTCTTGCCACTGGCCATGTCGCAGAGGTCACCTGGAAGAAGCAACAGTTGGACAATCCACAACCCCAGAACCTTAAAACCCTGGACCCGTGGAACCCCGCAACCTTAGGGAAGGGCCCTTAAAACTCACCCAGTTCCAACCCCCTGCCACGGGCAGGGACACCTTCCACTAGACCAGCTTGCTCCAAGCCCCTGTGTCCAACCTGCTCTTGAACGTTGCCAGGGATGGGGCAGCCACAGCTTCTCTGGGTAACCTGTGCCAGGGCCTCGCCATTCCTCGCACACCCAAAGGACTCAGCTGTGTCTCCAGCCTCTGGCATCCTTCCTAAGCAGAGAACACGGGGCCTCCCCACCCTCACTCATCATTAGACCATATTTAGGCTCCAGTCATAGACGGAAAACCCCCACAACAAACAGCCCCTGAGCCAAAACAGCCTTTTGCTCTGGGGGCACTCCCACCAGCCACAGAGACACTCCAGGGGCTGCTGGCACTTCTCACCCTTTCTGCAAGGAGCCTGCTCCTGTTTCTAACTAACGCAGCACACAGCTCAAGACCCTGATTAAGAACTAGAGTTTCTCAAGGCTACTTTGCCTGCTTGAAGGTACAAAGGTTATCTGGCAAAAAACGCCTCCTTCCAGGCATCAAATCACCCCACTGCCCAAGAGCATTTCTCTGTGTCAAAGGACGCCCTCATTTCCGCTTCTTAACACCCAAACTCGAGGCTTCCTACAGGCATTCCAGGCTGTCACAGCAGGAAAAAAGCAGGAAACCATCAAAGGCACATGAGCAATTAGCTCAAATCTAAGTAAAATCCAGGATGATATTCCCTCCCGCTTCCCTGTGTTCCACATCACCTCTCTTGCGTGCACTTACTGCGCACACACAGCAAGACAGCATCTAGGCAAAGATGGCCATTCCCTGCCCCTCGACTGTTCCCCACGCTCTGCAAGGCAATGCAATCACCTCATTCCTTTACTCCCAAGGCAGCTACAGCACTGCACGTGTTTGTGGTGCTGGGCCCTTCCCAGCTTCAGGAAACAAGGCTACCGTTCCCTTTTGTTCTTGCAAGAAACACCAGAGCTCTGCACCGCCCTATGGACAGGAGGCCCTGCTGCAGCAAGAGCTGGGATTTAGAGGTGGAAATAACTCCTTTTCAGGGGAGAAACCTAACGGGGATGATCCAACATTGATCTGGATTTGAGTGGTTTCTTACCGGGTCTTGAGAGTAACGGGCTCATTCGTTCCAATTCTCCAAACTGTGATTTCACTTCACTTGAAAGGAAACCTGTCGTCACCCCCACAACGCTTATTTCCAGAGGGCTTCCAACCTCCACATCCCAGCCAGCCCAGCAGCTTCCCCCCGAGCCCTGGAGCAAGGCTCTTCCACAGCCGCAGAGCCCGCAGGGACCAACCTCCCAGAGGAGCAGGAAAGGAGCACAACGGAGCAACGGGGCACATCTCCGTGCAGGGGCAGGACAAAGCAGCAACCAGGACACAGCACCCCTCCAGCCCCCCCCGCCCCCTGCCGTGGCTCCCTGCTCCCCACCTCAGACAGCCAAGGCTCCCTTTGCTGCAGGACCTACAGCCTAGCTCCAAGTCTCTACCATCACTGCAAGCTGCACGGCAATTGCAGAGCCCCTCCAAGCCCTTCTACTTGCCCAGCCCTGCTCTTAGCCCAGGGACATTTAAATCCTGCCGGCTATCACACAACTGCCCCATCCCTGCTGCCAACGGAGCCGCCTCCTCCCTGCTGCCCAGGGCCAGACGCTACCTGAGGACGGGTGATTCACGCTTCTCCTGGAGGATTCCTCCGGGCAGGGCCCAGCCTTGGCTCCTGAATGCCCTCGCGCTGCTCGGCAGCTGTGGGCAGCTGGAGGGACAGGAGCTGCCCAGGGACGCCTCGGGGTGGCTGTTGCCCACCAGCACAGAAGATAACTGCTGCTGGGCTGCCAACAGCCAGGGGAACCTGGGCAGCAAAGGACAGGGCGTGGACCTGGGCTGCCCAGCCCCTCTCCTCAATGCTCTGCCTTTGCCACCTAGGGCAGGCTTTCACCAGCGCCTCGAGGAAGCAGAGCTCAGAGCCTCACAGTAGCTCAAGCCTGCTCCTGTCTCAGCGGCTGAGCAACTCCTGCTCTGACTGCGCCACGGCTGCTGCTCGCATTTAACAGCAGCAGCTCCCCTCTACGTCACAATAGGCGAGCTCCACACGCCCTGTCAAGAAGGTGCTCACCCCCCCGCACCGCTTCCACACCAAGGCCGCCACCACTTGTGGCTCTGGCATTTCTCCAGCTCCAGCCTGGAGTGGGGACCGTGCTTCCTGCCTCCAGCTCTCTCGCTATCACTCTCGGCCACCTTGTCTCTCCTCTGCTGGCTTGCTTCCACGGCCACTGCAGGGCCTTGCTAAAGTTACAGCCTCGCAGATCCCTGCAGCGCCCCCCTACGCCTTCAAGGTCTCCCCGCAGTGAAGGCCTGCAGCAGGATTCAAGTGCACCTCACAGCAGCATTTCTTCACGCTCCGTCAGCGTCAGATCACTTGGTTTATACACTGCAGAGGAGACAATCATTTCTCTGCTTCAGGAGGAAAGAAAAAAGCCTCCACACTAACTACAAAGCAACGATTTCATTCCGACTTCGCTGGCCCTGCTGAGCACCCATCGATGACTTTGGACCCATTAAGCCTGCGCACACGGGCACACGCACCAGCCAAGGCCACCCAACTTCCCGGGGCATCTCAGCTGCCAGGAGCTTCACACGTTTGCCGCACAGCGTTTGCCGGAAACAAAAGCTATCCGTGAGACTCTCGGCCACACGCAAAGCAAATCCTCACATCGGCTTGGCGGGGAACGTGGAGCCCTCAGTTTGAAACCAACACGCACCAGCTGGGGCTTTACAACCCACTCAGGGAGGATAGGAGCCCCGAGTGCTAACTGGCTCTCCAGGCAGCCAGCCTCTGGAAACACTCCAAAACATGTCCCGCATGAACGTGTCCAGCCACGAATCCAGGTGGAAACTGGAGAGCTCAGGCAAAGACACCTCAGGTGTGGCACCCTTGTGTGCTGAAGGCACCAAGACAGAAGCTCTCTAAGGAAAGGAAACCTGTGACAAAAGCTCTACCACAGCTGAGATAATGAACAGGAGACCAGTAGTAGAGCTTCCTGCTATTTCTTTGATAACCTTCAACTGCCAGCCGACACTGAGACAGCCCAAGCTCCCTTCAAGGCTCTGCTGGAGGCTCCCCCGCTCCACATGCCACCATTCACAACTGCGCCTCCTGCCTTCAGTCCTTACACTACTACTGTCCCTTCCCACCTGCCTCTCCCGGCGTCTGCTCTCCGGATCCTGACTTTGCAGCTCCCTTTTAACCTCTTTTGTCCTGGCACCTGGATGTCATTTCAGAGACTCAAAGAGTCATTTAGCTTGGAAAAGACCCTTACGAGCAAGTCTAACCCAGTGTTGTGCTTTAAGGCCAGACGCTAAGTCAGACCCATGCAGCCGCTCACTCACTGCCCCCCATCCCAGCTCAGGCTCCCCCGAACACCAGCTCCTTCGCACCCAGCACTGCCAAGTCCACCACTAAACCCTGGAGCACCGCATCTACGGGTCATTTGAATGCCCCCAGGGATGGTGACTCCACCACAGCCTTGGGCAGCCTGTTCAGGGCTTGACAGCCCTTTCTGGGAAGGAATTTCCCCTAATAGCCAACCCAAGGTTTTCTTTTCCCTTCACACTAGGAAACCATTTAACCCAGCAGCTGCAACCCTTTGTGTAAATTTCAGAACATTCAAGAAGTTACTCCCAGTTCGGGGGGAATCTCTGACACGAGCAGGGCAGCAGCCGAGGCTGTGACTGCCAGCAGACAGTGCACACAAAGATGGGTGCATTCGGGACGGAGGTTCAGGCCCAATTCCGCAAGGTACCACGTCTCACTTTAAACAAGAAAGGGGACAGATGTCAGGGGCACTGAGAACTCTGCACTTACAGAATGGTTCGACAGTCGCTCCTGGGGCTGACACTGCCTTCACCCTAACTGCCTTGGCCTCGTGTCTCCACTGGCAGCTAAAAACCATCTAAGTCACCACGATACTGAGGACAGAAACATCCTTCAGTACCCCCACACTGCAGGACCAGGGCTTAGTCAAAGTCACACAGGCAGAGCAGGGCTCAGCCTCTCTTCCCTCACACCCAGCTCTTCTCCCCCTCCTGCCAGGGCCTTCTCCATGCCACCCAGCACCACAGGACACTACAGGCTAGGGAGTACAGGGTCCTCCTCTCCTCCTCCCGAGATACAGAGCTTCCTTCAGAGCCTGAGCAGCAGCACCTACAGCCCAGCAAGATCCTCCCATGGTCAGCTCCAAGGGCCACACTAAGTGCCACAGGCGCTCCTTCCCTCCACCTTCTCCTGACCAAGAGAAAAAACAGCAAGCACGGCCTTTACCTGCTCCATCACAGCTTGCTTGGCATTTGCAGCTTCAGACATCCCCTGGCAGCTCCATTTGCAGCAGGACTGCTCTCCTTGGCTCCTGCCTTCACAGCAAGCTGCTCATCCACAGCAGGGCTACCACTTCTGCTGCGAGGCACCTTCAAACACCAGCATGTGCTTCTGTGATTGGAAGCAAGGGAGAGAAAGATCAGACCAGGAGACACAGGGAGGGGACAAGCCCAGCCCATGACGGGCCTTTCAACCTGAGCCCACAGGAGCACTGGGCACAAGCCCAGCAGCTACCAAGCCCCACAGGCTCTTCAGAAGCTGTGAAAGGAGCAGCTTGCCTTATTTCTCACTTGTGAAGCACTGCAGGGACAGGCCTATCTCTTGCTGCTCCCAGGCAGCTAGGGCAGCTCCCTGCAGCACACACGCTGTGCTGAGAGCTGCTGGGCAGGCTGCAGGCACCAGCCCTGCTGTGCAAGGAGCTTCCAAACTGAAGCAGGCACCAAGAAATAAAAGCAAAGCTGAATGTGGCTTTACCTGCTCCAGGCAGGTGCCTTCACAGGCCCATTACAACCATGCAACAGCCACAACCCTCTCAACTCAAGCCAAACCCCAAAGCAATCGCTGCTCGCTGAAGAAGGGACCACTGCATTGCCTTTTGCTTAGCCAGCTCTTTGACTGCATTTGTACCTGAAAGTCTTTTGCCAAAAAGACTGGGAGTTTTGTCAAAGAACAGCCCTGCAGAGGCTCTCCTGGGCTGCAACCCGAGCCAGGGCTTTGATTTTAGAAGACAAGACAGCAGCCACACCCAAAACCACACAAACAAACAAACCAAAGAAAGAGGATAAAAAGATGAAAAGACAGGCACCCAGTGGGTCAGGAGCAGCCACCTTGGCAACTGTGACCATCGACACAAGCATCTCTGACTTTCAAGGCTCAGAGCTGCAGGACAGACCCACTCGATCTGGAGCCGTCAGCCTCACTGCAGGGGTTTTGTTTCCCATTACAAGGTCTGTTACAGGAGCAGCTCAAGGGGGTGCAGGTTTCATTTGAGCAGCCTCTCCCTGCCAAGGATGAAAGCAAGGACCCCAGTACCCCATTGGTGACTTCCTCTCACACTGGGAAGTCTTCTCATTAAAAGGGAAGAGAGGGGATGGATGGAAACGGAAAAGGAAGCCGGAGGCTGCCAGCCACTGGCCCATCCTGACTCCATCCCTCTCCCCACTGCAGCAGGAGCACAACTGGCTGCTCTTGGAAGGACAACAAGGCCATCGGGAGACAAGGAGGATTTCAGGTGGGCAACAGACAGCAGGAGCAGACGAAATCTTGGTCAAGAAGAGCTCCTTTTGTCAGGAAAGGACAGTCCTTTCCTGTCTGCCATCAGGAAAGACGACACATGAGGACTGTCTGGAAGCCTCCCGTCCCTGCAAACAGCAAGGGGTGCTTGTGCTGGCCCAAAGAGCCACGATGCCCAAAGCCTTTCTTTCCAGCATGCCTCTGCCTCCCAGCACCAGCAAACCCTGGAGCAAAGTCCCTGTATGGGAGCTGAGATCCCCAGCAGGGCCTGCAGGAATCTCACGCTCCCAGCTCCCAGCCTGTAGCTCGGGTATTCCAGCATTCCAGGAAGCCTCAGCACACCCAGGTGATGTCCTAATCCCAAGAACATAAGAGAAGCTTCACAGAGCCACCACCCTTCCTGTGGGGGTGGGCCTTTGCTTCATTCCTGTCCCCAGGGCAGCCCTGCAAAACTCTCCCTTACAAAGCAGCACAGGGACTCCAAGAGCAGGGGAGGTGGATGGACCAAGGGTGACACAGCAGGTGACAAATTTGCGCTTGTCTAATTACAGCTCTGCCAGGCACCAGGCAAGGGGGTTGATCTCACAGGGAACCAACTTTCCTACCTGTGAGGCAAGGCCAGCCCTACCTGCTTGGGAGCAGCAGAGTCACAAGGGCTGGCAAACAACTCGCACCTAACACAGTGCTGTGGGTACTACGGAGAGCCTGATCTACCCCCTCTCTCTGTAATCAGCCTCTCTAACACCTCAAACAACATACGCAATGAGCTTTCGTAGCAGAAAACGGTATCTTTTACCAGACTAACTCACTGGGAGCAACAAGCATGGCTGACAAACCTTAACTTACCTTTCAGCACGCTGCCTGGACCAACATGTCTTTAAAACAGGTGCCTGCAGCAGTCCTGAAGGCAGACAGAAAAGCACCTCAGCTTGGCGGGTAGAACAGACGATAATGCGCAGGAAAACTAACGTCTACCTTTATGACACATCAGCTTTTCTCCAGCAACTGCCTACAAGCAAGGTCTTGTCCCACGGGGGACACAAGGTTTCACAGTCCAGATCTGCTGTGGGCTTCGATGCCCATCACATCTGCAGTCAGGTTACAGCTGCTGCCTCCTGCCTCGGTCACCCACCTAAACACCTTCAAGAAGGACGTGGAAGGGCACCGAGCATCCAGCTGGTGTCTTCAGCGCCCTCTATTGATGAAGAAAACCAGAACAGGGCAAGGAAAATCAGCCGCATCAGGGCAGCCCTTTCTCCAGCCTCCCTGGCAAAGGGAGCTGAAATGCAGCTGGGGAGGAGCATCCACTTGGCAGAGAAGGATTTCTCCTCCCCAGCGAGCAGCACTTGCACGGCAGCAGACAAACTGGCTGACATCTACAGAGAGCTCTGAAGGCACAGAATCCTCTAGAAATGCCAATCCTTAGTCCTGCTCTTCCTGGCCCACCAGGCTTCTTTGTCTCCCACAAAAGCTACGAGACACCACAACTTACACACCTCCTGTCTCCCTGAGAACTGATCCTGCGCTCGTCCTCCTTGACTTCACTGTCCATTTGAGCCCACAGCACAATTTCAAGGCCTAGAAACACCAGGCACAAAGTGAAAACAAAGGGCAGGCATAGTGCACCCCTCCTGGGGACGTAGGCCCAACAAAACCCCTCTCTCGTTACCGTCATCATCCAGGTAAGCCTGAAACAGCTGCTCCTGAAGAGAGAAGCAACACAAGCACCTCCCGCCACATCCCTCCAAAGCCCTGCTCGGTCCCTGCTGCCACCATGGGCTCCCTCTGCCTTCCCAAATTCCCCCCATGACATCCCCGCTGCCCCAAGTCTACCTACAGGTCCATCTGGCAGCTTCACAGCACAGCAGTTGTCTTGCCAGTGAAAGTCATTCGTCTAGAAGAGAAAAGGCAACCAGCATCTGCTTCCCCAGCAGCGCTTGCAGCCGACAGGAATACTGCCACATTTCTACATGCTTTAGAATGCTTCTTTCCTCTCCCTTTCACTCCTCAAAGCACACCACATGGGTCATCGGCAGGATCAAGCACAGAACCACGCCAAAATTCAGGTGAAAGAGACTTTGCGTGTCCCCGGCCTAACGCCTCCGCACAAACGGACTGTGCAGGGATGTGTCCAGCAATGTGAAATCTCTCCTAGCATGGACATTCCCTGCTTCCCGGAATCACGTAAAACTTTCATCTCCCTTTACAGTTACCACACAGTCACGGTCGTCCTCAACCTTAGCACAGCCAAACGACTCTAAACATGGCACAAAATCAGTGAAAACAAGCAGCACATCTCTCAGCTTTAATGCAACTCAGAACAAAATCCCCACAGCATTTTCACTCAGAGGAGTACCCAATTCATCCAAGCCTCAGGCAACTGATTTCAAAATGTTACGCTGGCTCCAAAAAAACTTCTGGTTTCAGAAAAATCATGTCGCTCACAGCTAATCACCGGGCCTACATATCTGTCCTTCACTGGAAACCTGCAACAGCAGGGCTGCAAAACTAAACTGACCTCAAGTTTGCACGACTCTCGGGCACATCACAACCGACTTATACTGAGACACTTCATCAGCTTTCACCCCAAACCACATTTGCCAAAACCTGGCAGCCTCAGCGAAGGTGGGAGTCATCAGACGATCTCCCCAAAGTTAAACACGTTCCTCCTGTGCTTCCTTACATATGCCAAAAGTCACAACAGAAATTAAGTGTCACTTCTCTCCGAAACCTGGGCTCAAAAGAGAGACAGGACAAAGCAGCATTCTCACCATTAAAAGGACAAGTGCCATTCCTAACTTTGAAACTCCTGCCATTAAGCAGTAGGCATAATAATAACAATAATCATAACAGACGCGCCAAACCGCATCCTTTATTGTTAACAGAAGGAGCAGCTGCTATCAAAGCATCCTTTCTCCCATCACCTCCCTGTGTCTGCCAAGAAAAAAGCTCCAGCCTATATGGGGCATCAGGACCCACCGGACATGCATTTCCTTCAGTTTAGAGACCTGCCTTTGCGCGGAAGGGTGCGCACACATTTTTGGGGGGATACTTCCAAACAGCTGGATTCCAGTTCCCCACCAACTCAGTCCACGGGATCTTGATGTACACAGTCAGAGAATCGGAGAATCAGAGAATAGTTAGGGTTGGAAAGGACCTTAAGATCATTTAGTTCCAACCCCCTTGCCACAGGCAGGGACACCTGGCACTAAACCGTGTCACCCAAGGCTCCGTCCAGCCTGGCCTTGAACACTGCCAGGGATGGAGCATTCACCACTGCTTTGGGCAACCTGTGCCAGGGCCTCACCACCCGCACAGTGAAGAATTTCTTCCTTCTAGCTGACCTGAACTTCCTCCAGTTCACTTTAAGCCCATCACCCCTCGTCCTGTCGCTACCGTCCCTGACCAAGAGTCCCTCCGCAGCATCCTTGTAGGCCCCCTTCACGTACTGGAAGGCTGCTATGAGCTCTCCACGCAGCCTTCCCTTCTCCAGGCTGAAGAGCCTCGACTTTCTCAGCCTGTCTTTGTACAGGAGCTGCTCCATCCCCCTTAGCAGCATGGCGGCCCTCCTCTGGATTTGCTCCAACAGCTCTATGTCCTTCTGTTCAGGACACCGGAAGTGTACACAGTGCTCCGCGCGGGGTTCTCATGAGAGCAGAGGAGAGGAGCAGGATCACCTCCCTTGACCTGCTGCTCATGCTGTTGGTGATACAGCCCAGGACACAGGCGGTTTCGGGGCTCAAGCGCACGCTGAAGCCGGCTCATGTTCCCACCCCCAGGTCCTTCTCCTCAGGCTGCTCTGAATCACTTCTCTGCGCAGCCTGCAGCTGTGCCTGGGATTGCCCTGACCCAGGGGCAGGAGCCTGCACTCGGCCTTGTTGAACTTGATGAGGCTGGACACCTCTCCAGCATGTCCGGGTCCCTCTGGATGCCATCCCTTCCCTCCAGCGCATCGACTGCACTACACCGCTCGGTGGCGTCAGCAAACTTGCTGAGGGTGCTCGATCCCACTGTCTGTGTCGCCGACAAAGACGTTGAACAGGGTCTGCCCCAACACCGACCCCTGAGGGACTCCATTCGTCACAGGTCTCCAGCTGGACATTCAGCCATTGACCGCGACTCTCTGTGCGCAGCCATCCAGCCAATTCCTTGTCCACCGGCTGTCCATCCAGCAAATTCATGTCTCTCCCGTTTAGAGACAAGGACGTCGTGTGGGAGGGATTTAAATGAAATTTATTTGCTCCAGAGAGCACGAACGTGGCGGGAAGGGCCGCGGGCAGCTGGTCACTTGAGGGTGGAGGGCAGGCCCCGGAGGTGGTAGATCCAGGAGCCCCCAGGGCAAGAGACCACCAGCCTGCTGGTGACAGGAGCCCGGCCGCCCCTGAAGGAGACGGTGATGGTGGTGCTGCTCTTGGCGCGCAGCATCTCGGGGGCCCTGACGGTGAAGGCCGGGTGCTTTACTGCATACTGGAACGCCGTGGCCTTCGGGAAGACGTTCCTGAAGGAGATGGAGGTGGAGCCGCCGGCTGGGATGAGGAAGGGGCCCTGGGCTTCAGGGGGCAGTGCAAGGCCGATGAGTGGGATGCGGTACTGCCCGCCCAATGCGGAGCTGAGCTGCAGCGTGGCCTTGGCTTCGCCCAGCTGGCAGGGCTCAAAGGTCACTTCCACGCTCAGGTCCGAGCCCCCAGCGCCAGCAGGTGCCGCACTGATGGATTTTGCCGTCTGGAAGTCGGCACAGTCGGTCTGCGCAGGGGAGACAAGAGACCATGGAGGGCGGGTCACAACAGCAGAGCCAGCACCTCGGGAAGAACACGATGGTCCCCTGGCCCTGGCCTCTCCCACCCACACCACACCCCTGGTGAGTGCCTGCCCTGAATGGGCATGACAACTGTGCAAACGTGCCCATCAGGGACAACCCTGCACCCAAGCCCCAAGACCCCTGACTGCCAGACCTGGGCTGCAAGGGGGAAGCAAGCCCAGGCACCACAGGGCCTGCAAAAGCAGCTCCGACCAGGGCAGCAGACACGCGCCCACACGGGAGGACAGTGCAGCTGGCAACAAGCCCACACGAGTGGCAAGACCCCTGGGCTCACGTGGCCACCTTGGCTCTGCCAGGCCAAGCCAGAGGCACTTGGACCCCTTGGTGGAGAGGGCTGGTGCTGGCCAGAGGAGCTGCCTGCCAGCCAGAGCCCCGGCAGCCCGGGCTCACCTGCAGCAGGTACTCGGTCTTCTGCTGGGCAAAATTCCGTATTTTGGTGGTGATGGTCTGACGGGAGCCCAGCGTGGCGCGGAAATACACGGGCTTCTCTGGCCTCTGCGAGATGGCTTTCAGCTGCAGGTTGTAAGACAGAGAGCCCAAGTCGCTGCTCTGGAGCACCAGGTGCCCGGTGCTCTCACCCGTTTTCAGGGGCTGATACTCCAAGACAAGATCCGCCTGGGAGGAAGGAAGGAAGGAAAAAGCCACTGCGTCAGGCAGAGGCAGGGAACACGCCAGCCTGAGAAGGGGGCAGCTGGTCCCTGCTGTGCTCAGGCAGTGCTGGAAGGCTGTGCCGCCTTCCCTGCTCTGATTCCCTCTCTCTCGGGCACAGCCTTGCTCCTTCTGGGAGACGGTTCACTTAGGGACAGATCCCAACAGCTCAGAGCCCTCCAGCATCATGCTAGAAGCTTCCCACCCTAGAAAGCCCCAGGGCACACACCGCCTCCTGTCAATCCAGGCTGCAGACAACCCGGCCGTGGGCTGAGGCTTGTCCTGCAGCCACTCACAGCTAGAAGCACCACACTGAACGAGGGGCACGTGGCACAAGGACCTGCCACGTGAGGCCCAGTGGCAGCGTGTTACAGGGGGCAGCAGGGCAGACTCCACCAGCGCAGGAGGATTCCCACTGGGGATATTCTCGCACCCTGCTCCCTCTCTAGATCATCGGCAGGGAGCTGCCACCACGGAAAGAAGCCCCAGAGGGCTCCTTTCAGGCATCACCCTTCAAGAGCACCCCCTCTAGCCAGGAGCAGGGAGAGCAGAGTGAGCCGGAGGAGCTTTGCTCCTACCTTCGACTGTGCAGGAACAGTAAAGTGCTGTGGAGCGCTGACGTCGGGCACTTCGCAGGTGACGTCAAACGTCACCGGGACAGGCAGAGGGTTGTCCACCTTGACGGTGGAGGACACCCTCTGCCGAACAGCGGTGCTCATTTTCACAGTGCCGATGGGTCCCGAAGCCGTCACCTTGAAAGTCACCACGTGGAACAAGTACTCTCCGGTTGTCTCGTTGAGGAAGGTCACCTGAATCAGACAGAAAGGCAAGTGCTGCTCACTGCACACATGAAAATAGACCCAAAAGAGCCCAGTGAGCTCAGCGCCCTGCTTCCAGGAATGGCTATGAGCACCCACCGAGGAAGAGTGCCAGACCAGAGAAAGCACGTGTGCTATTTCATAGGACCCGTGCACACGGAGGTATGAAAAGAGGCGTGTAGCTTCTCGGTGAGCCAACAGCTCCTTGAAGGGCCCTGCAGACCAGTGTCCTCACTCACCTTTGCCCTGAAGACTCCTTCTTTGTAGGAGAAGAAGGTGAGCTGGTAGTCCTTCTTTGCAGAGCTTGGCACGTCAATGTAGGAACACCCCTGCAGCACAGAACTGCTTTCCACGTTCTCTGGTTTCAGCATGTCAATAACCACCAGGAGCCTGTGGGTGAGAAGGATGCAGTGAAGGTCAACAGGAAGGACTCGCCTAGGATACTCATCCTGTGGGGGTACAATACAGCCCCTCTCATCCTCAGTGCCTCAGGCACAGGGCGCCAGCTCTCATCCCCCTTGGAGGAAAGCCCTCCAGGATGGCTCTGCACAGGCAGAACGTGGGGATGGCCAGACATGGCCAAGGAGAGGGAAAAGCTTCCAGGAAGGCGCTTCCAGGCACTGGAAGCTTCCTTCCTTGTGCTGCTGCAGGGATTGCTGATGGGACCAGACTTCCTGGGCTGGACTCACCTCTGTGGGCTGTGCAGCCAGTTGGACACAGGGATGAGCTCCGTGTGGGAACTCCTGCATGGAACCTGCCGGGAAATGGCCCCTGAACACCGGGGGGCTTCAGCAGTTCCTTCCAGGTGGTAGCGTAAGCCTGTCCCGTCCGGCAGGGGGAAGAAGATGGAGCCCTACAGACAACGAATAGGACAAGTCGGCTCTGCAGCACCCCGGGACAGTTCCATGCCTGAGGCTCTCACTGGAGCAGCTCCAGCACCCCAGAGCCCTTCTCAACTGACCCCTTTCATTTAGGAGCTTGTCGCTGGCGTGGCACAGAAAACATTGCAGAGGGGCTAGTCACCCCCATGTGCCCAGCCTGAGACCTGCAGGAAGGGCTCCTCCCAAAGCTCCTGCATGACTGTCAAGAGATCTCTCTCGTTTCCCACCTGCCTGCTCACGGCCAGGGGGGCACTGAGAAACTGCAGGGCACCTTTGCCCTTCTTGCTCCCTGCAAGCTGCAGGACACCAGCCAGGTGGTGCTGGCAGAAGTGGTCGTGCCCAGGGCTTGGAGAGCCTGTGCAGCCTGTGCACTGAGCATGGGGGTCTCTGAGCCCCCTGGGCTGCCACAAGCAGCAACCAGGAGCTGCGCAGAACAAACTTCATTTCTTGCCCTTCAGAAAGCCTGCCTTGTTAGCTTAGCTGCTCCAACACCTGTGGGGTCACTCCCCAGTTCCCGTCTGCCCTTTGCCCGGGCCTGGCCTCCAGCCACCACAAAACCCAGCTTCCAACAGAGAGCACAGGACACCTTCAGCTTGGACAGGACCTCTGAAGGTCATCTCCTCCAGCCTCCTGCCCAAAGCAGGGGGAGCTACGAGGGTCGTGCCACCAGGCTCAGCACGCTGGCACAGCTCACGTACCTGATGCTTCTTGTTCTCAGAGCTCATGCTTAGGGGTCTGTAGGTGACCTGGTAGGCCTTTTCTTTTTGCCTGGCCTCCAGATGGATAAATTCAGGCCCTTTCCAGTACTTCCCCTCAATGATGGGCTGCAGGGTCCAGGCCTCGTTGCTTGGGTTGGAAAGGAGGATGGTCTGGCTCTGCCTCTCACGCACACTGCAGCTGAAAGTCAGGGTCTGGAACAGAGGAGCACAGAGGCTGCTGGCTCGCACCCACAACCCTTCCCACTCTTCTCACGCTGGCTCTACACCAGCACCTGGAGCACAGGGAGCAGCTTTCCCTTGTCACGTGCAAAAATTACACTTTGGCCATAGCTTTTGGAGTAAATCCAGCTGCTTGTTGTTGAAGAAGGGAGCAGAACAAGCCTTTCGCATGCTGGCTGAAAGGAAACGGGGAGTCCTGAAAGGAAACTCCAGTGCAAGGACAAGATCTGCAGCCACACAGCCCCTTCCTTCATGGGCAGGACGAAGAGGACCTCCACGCTCTCTTTGGGAGCAAGAGCCAACAGCTGCCAAGTTGCCCGCTCCCAGGGGCTGGATGCAGATGCCTTGCCCCTTCCTACTGCTGAATGCCCTAGCCCTGGCCCGGCAGGGGGGAGAAGTGTGGCTGCGGGTGCAGTGCCGGCATCCAGCGGGGTGGCTCTGTGGGGAGGGTCTCAGAAGAGCCCGGCAGGGTGTTCCCATGGCACGGATGCTGCAGTGCAGAGCCACGACAGCCCAGCTGCTCACTGCAGGAGCAGCACCTTGAACAGGGGAGAAAGGCAATGAGAGGGCTCAGGAATTCTGGCAATCCTGCCCAGCACTTTCTCTCTGGGATACTCTGGCACGAGCAAGTCTGTGCTCACAAGTGTCCTTCAGTTCCTGCCCTGCGAGAGATGTGGTGCAAATGCTGGGCTCCAGGGGCCCATCCTGTCCCTGCTGCGTTACCTCTTTGGGGCCAGGGGCCTCCACGCAGGATCCTGACAGCGTAAGCCGCAGCGCCTCACTGCCCTGGATGAAGCACCGCAGCCCCTCGTACTGGACAGCCTGGCTCAGCTTCGAGGGGCGGAAGGTCACAACGAAGGGGACATCCCTCCCTGGGCTGATGTAACCCTTCGTGGGGCTGATGGAAAAGTCCGGCTTGAAGCTCTCCACGTCCCACGTAAACCTTGCCCAGGAAAGCACAAGCACAGGAAAGAAGGATTAGCCACGGGGAGCTCTGAAGGCAGGGTAAGTCTGAGTGTGAGGCTCTAAGTCTCTTGTGGGTTTTCCCACCACATCTCAGGCCTGATGCTGAGCCACCTGGCAATAAGGCTTCAGGCTGGGCAGGACCCACTGCACCCACAGGCAAGGGGGCTTGTACCCTTTTGCTAACTTCTAGGGCCTGACTGCACGGCCATGGCTGCACAACTCTCCACCGGGATGGAGAAGCACAGGGGAACTATCTGGGCACACTACGGCCCCACACAACCCTCATCCAAGCTCTCAGCCCTCAGAGGGGGCGGGCTTCTGCTTTACCTGACTCCTGTGACGCCCGCGTTCCGCATGACCACGCGCCGCCACGTGTAGCTCTGCTGCACCACGGCTCCAAAGCTGAGCTGCTCCTGGTCCAAGCTCACGAGGCTGCCCTGGCAGGAGCCCCGCACCACAAAGAGGGAGCGCGCCAGCCCGCCGCACTCCAGCAGCACTTCCCCGCTGAACGGCTGGATGGGGCGCTTCGGGGAGAAGGTCACCTCCACTTTGCCTCTGTCTCCTCTGGGCTTCAGCTTTAGCTCCTTGCTGGGCTTCAAGCACAGAACCTACCCCAAGAAATGAAGGCAGACTATTTCATCTGGCAAGCGAGCTGTGGAGCCTCCCTCATCAGACTCACGGAAGAGGCTTCCAATTCCTCTTCTGTCCCCACCAACACTGCCCCACTCCCACTCATTCCCTCCTAGGCATTCCTAGCTAATACCAAAGGTGTTTCTGCCACGTGTCCACCTGGTCACGCTGAGCTCAGCTCTGTCTTCTAAAGCTTTCAGGGAAGTTCAAACAGAGCTGTAAATCTCCCTCTTGCAAGATTCACCTCCCTCACCTTTCCACACCTAAAATACATGGCTGCATCCTGATGTATGTGTCTAAAACAGCTTAGAGGAATTGTGCCGCCTTCTCCCTTCTGGCTCTCCGGGTCTCCTGGCACCCAGCTCAGCTGAAGCATTCACACTGCAAGCATCTGCTGGCAGAGCAGTGCCAGCAGGGAGGACAGGGCAGGCACAGGCAGCCAGGGCAGCCCACAGTTCTCATTGGCTACTAGCTCCCACCCACAGCGCCTCATCGCCCCCTGCAGGCACACCAAAGTGCTCTGCGGAGAAGGAAAGGGCCTTACCCCAGCTTCCTGCAACTCTGGCGCGGTGGATGTGACTCTGAGCTGAAAGGCCAGAGGGGCTGCACTCTTGTTGGCTATGGTGACGATCTTCTTCACCGTCTGCCCAATGCAGACGTTTCCTAGCTTCACCACCTTTCCCGGTGGATCCACAACGTCAACCTGAGGCGGCAGGGACCGATATCAAGCAAAAGGAAAGAAGGAGAAAAGGTTTTCTGCCACTCTCCTGGCAGAAACCCAAACCATGGTAGGCTGGGGAAGAGATGAGGAAATGAGTAAAACATGCTGCTTGCCACCTGGAGTTTTAGCGTTTAGATTTCATCTCACCTTCACTTTTATGCCCCTTCCTTGGGCCTCACCGGTCAGCTTCCCGGCCGGGGCACAGGGAGGCAGCAACAAGCTGTTGTGGCTGTTGTCACCTTGCGGTGTCCGTAGGAGCTGCGCAGAGAGGGAAGAGAAACCATAGACAGGATGAGTTTCTTGACCCTCACTACGTGAACAGACTCCCCAGCCAAGCCATCCCCCCGTCTCCCTGGCACAAGCCTGGGAATGCTGGAGCGCTGGGAATCTACAGGAGTGTGCACAGACCTTCCCTCTCACCTGCTCCTCAGCAAGGCGCTGCTGGTCAAACTCCAGCGAGTAAACCTCACAGGGGGTCTTCACCACCACTGTCCCCTCTTCCCCATGGCTCTGTGGCAGCAGCGGTCCCAGCTCGAGCTCCGCGGGGCTGAACTCCAGCCGTGGCTCCAGACCACGTCCCAAGACCGGCACCTGGAGGCGTTGGCTGCTCTGGCAAATCTGGATGTGCAGCTCGCCCCGGTAGCACTTCTGCAAAGAAGCAGCACAGAAAGCTCCTCCGTGAAGCCCCAGGTGACAGCGCCTCCAAGTCAACAGTCGCCCCAGGCTCAGGGGTCTTGTCAGCACCTCTAAGCTGAACCCAAAAGAGGTATTTACTTAGAGCAGGGGCTACAGCATCTGCATGGCTCTGAGTAACTGCGGTGAGTCCTGCTGTGGACTGTAACTGGAGAGTTGGCTACCAGGTGGATCTAAAATGCGCTGTCAGAGGTTTTCACCTAGTCATGGGGGAGCGCAACGCTCATCAGAAAGGTCTGCTTTCTCAGACACAGTCTTGGCACTGCAGCACCAGGCAAACATCAGTTGTGTGAAAGAGGCAGCTGCGCTCTCACTGGACACAAATAAGGATCGTCTTCTCTGCTCAGTGCTCGGCTCTGGTCAAAGCCAGACACGAGACGGTGAAATCTCCACGAGCAATTCAAAGATCCCTGGGACTGTCCCCTGCCATGGAAGCACTTGCGTCCATCCTGTCACACGCTGCCAGTTTCCAAGTCACGGTGTCCACATGCAAACTGCCTTTGGCAATGCTCCATCATTTAAGGTGACTCCCGAACTGCGTGGGAATGTGCAGGGGAAACTGAGGCACGGTGGGCACAGGGCTGGCAGAAAGCTCCATGTGGAGGCAGAGCTCATCCCCCGCTCCCTCTGCTGGCCTCCCCTTACCACACTGCCCTGCCACACCTCCTGGGGGTGACACCCTCCAATCTCACCTCTTCCGTGGGTGAAAAACGGACTTGGACATGGCACTGCTGTCCTGGAGCGAGCGTTCCAGCTGACGGCAGCACCTCGAAGCCACAGGGCGCAGACTTCATCTCCTCGAGCAGCTTCTGATGCTCGCTCGCCGGCAGATGTTTGTTCACCTGTGCACAGAAACCACTCGCGTGAGGTCTCCTTGGTCTGGGAGGACAGAGCCTCGGCTCCTGCAGTGCTTCGACATGCTGGCACGGTGCAGGGAGCACCCTCATCCCACCCAGACGTGGCCACCACTGCCTAGAACTGGAGGGCAAACGTGTTGGCAGGGCAGGTAGATGGGGAGGCAGTGTCCTCAGAGGAGGAAGAGGAATGGGTGAAGATGGCAGGCAAGTGAAGCATCAGCTAGTCAACAGGCCCAGGTGAACCAGCCTTGCTCTGTACCCTCAAAAGCTCCCTCAAGCCAGCTGCAGCCCAAGTGCTCAGGCAGCCAGAGGGGCAGGAAAGGCAAGAGAGGCAAAGACAACCCACCCGAGAAGCTGCGTGTTACACCTTGTCTGCGCTTTACCTCCTTAACAGGCTCATTCACGCTGATGGACCATTGACAGGGGACCTGGAACGTGTTGTGGAGCTGGATGGTTTCTTCCTGGCACTGCCCACACTGGACAGCGGAGAACTCCAGCCTGTCCCTGGAGAGGCTGAGGGACGGCTCAGCCACGATGGTACGGAGGCGGACCTGCGATGTGGGGCCTCCTCTGACCTAGAGAAGGACAGAGCATCCAGTTGAGAGCCCGGCTGACACTCGCTGCTGTGCCCAACCTGCTGCCTGCCCCAGAAGCTGGAGTACCTTGATGGGCAGGAGCACATCCACCTTTCCCAGAGGCCGGCTGGCACTTTGTGGGTCGAAGCACACTTCAAATGTCTTGCTCTCACAGGAGGGCAGGCGCTTCACACGGTCCAGGCACACGCTGAAGCCTGAACACAGGAAAATAAAGCAGCTGAGATACACAAGCAACAGGAAGCAACATCAGAAGCACGGTAAGGCCACAGGGCTGTCCTGGCTGGCAGCTCCGTGAAAGACTCCTTTGCACCTCCAGAGAAGCTGCTCTTCTCCCCTTGTCACTGCCCAAAGCAAAAGGATTTTCACAGCCAGAACCCAGGGCTTGCGTGGTAGAAATGAACCACATTGGTTGAGGAGCTCCAGCAATTTCTTCAGCGGGCATCTCAGGGAAGGATGCACAGACCTCTCCAAAGGAGAATTTCCAACTAAGATACCGAATGCTCTGCTGTTCCCTGGACAGCGGCTTAGGACAGATGCCTGACCACCCCTCAGAGACAGCAGTCACCACGTGACGGAGCTGCAGCCTTACCTCAAGGCCTCTTTGGGAAGCCTGTTTCGATACAGCAGAAGATCCCACAGAAGATGGGGGATCCCTTCAGGAAAGGCTGAGCACTATGAACTCTAAGCAAAGCACTTCCGAACCACAGAGGGGCCTTCTCCTTGCAACATAAACCCTCAGAGTGCACAAAGAAACTCAGAAGAGGCCGAGAGGCGGTCGAGGGCATCAGCCCTTCTGGCCCCTGCAATGAGTTTTTAGGGCAGCCACACGCGGACCAGGTCTCTGGGCACTGATCGCCACAACTCAGGCTCTTAACAGGGCACCCAGCAGGGGGGCACTAAGGAGGAAAAAGCTATCCAAGGAAGTACTCAAATCTCCCCATGTCCAATGGCTTCAGCTGATGTGTCAGAGACAGCTCCTTCAAGCCCCTGTGAAGCCTCTCCACCACTGGTTACCTGTGTTATCTAGGACATATCCATCAACATGGAAAGATGCAGGGAAGTGCCCGGTGTTGGTGACCTTCACGATGCGTGTGTGGATGTCACCGGGAACAACATAGCCAAGGTCCAGGACGTATTCGGGCAGCTCAGCTCTGAAAGGAGGAGTAAGAACACTCAGTAAAGCCCAGCATGGCGTGGGGTGGAGAAGCAAACGGAGTGGATAATTGCGTATTCACTGCTGTGAAAGCTCAACCCAAGCTCAGGAAACCCAAGGCCTGAGCACCCAGTAATAAGACTTGGCTAAATCATGGGGAGTGCAGGGCCTAGGATTTATCAGCCACCAGTGGGATCTTCGGCTGAGTTTCAAGTGGGTACTGGACACAGTTCCTATGCTGTGAAAAGCCATTGCAGAGAAGTGCACTGCATCTCCACTGGTCTCAGTGAAACCACTAAACGGGTGTTCGGCCCAAGCCTGAAACTGCTTCAGGACCTTGTCATAGGATTTCCTTGCAGAGGATACCTCCACTGCTCTGCAACCACATCTGTCCCCAAAGCAGCACCTGACACTATCGCATGCAGTAACCAACGCTTACAAGACTGCTGAGAGGGTCTTTTTGCAGGCAATCCCACTTGGAAAAGCACATAAGGGATCTGGACCATTCCCTGCTCTTCCTGCTTAGCACAGACCCCTCTTGGCGCAACGACGCCAGCTTTGAGATGCCCCTTTCAGAGCTGGTCAGCTGGGGCGGTGCCTGTGCTGTCTGGAAGGGCTTGCTGCTCTGCACCCCCTCAGCTCTGAGAACAGAACCCAGCAACTGTGGGGAGTGGAGCACCTCCAGAGCTCAGGGTAGCACTGTGCAAGTGAGAACACCGAGCTGCCCACAGGGAGCACATCGTAGCTCCCAGCATCAGGCCCTTTCTCAAGTCTTCAGCTATTTCCAGCTCTGAGACACAAGAGCTCTCAGGAGCAGGGCTGCACTGCTGGCTGTTACCCTCGGGGCCCCTGGAGACAGGCCACAGGAGTCCCTACTAACTTGAGAAGCCTCCGATGTACACGCTGGTGAAAGGCAGTGTCCTCCGCAGGACGGGACGTGAGAGCTTTCTGCTGCTCCAAGGCATGCTCCTCAATAAGCATCTCCTCCATCTGCATCTGCAGCTCAGCATCCCACTGAGGAAAGTAAACACAGGGGCTGGTTAGCAGAGGTCCTTCCCAAGGCACAAGCTTGTCTCACGTGCAGGATCCCACCCTGCTCTTGTTGAGAGGGGTGACGGAGTCATTCTGTCTCACTGCTCAGTGTCTGTGACACTCCCTGCTCTCTCAGGCAGGATCGTATCTCCAAAGAAATGAACTCAAGCACCTGTGCCTGCCCACTTATCAAAGCTGATCTGGACAGACGGACAGGCAAGCCAGAAACCTTCCAAAGCTCCAAGTATGGCCCTGCCTCCAGTCAGTGCCAAAGCAGCTTGCACAAAAGCTCTCCTGCAAAGGGAACCATGAGAGAGCTGGAGCCTCTTGGAGATGACAGAACACAGCACAGCCTCAGGGGGCATTCAGGCTGCCGCTTTACGCTCAGTAAACCTGGCAGGGCTTGGCCGGTGAGCAACAAACCCCCCTGCACCGACCTGTGTGTCCTTCAGAGCCCCATAAACCCAACTGCTTGAGCACAGCCTTTAGCATCTCCCTGGGGTAGTCAGGAGCTGGGGACAACTCCCAGAGGCGGGCAGCCCACGGGGCACGCTGAGCTGACACAGTCCGTTGCCAGGGCTGTGCAGGGAGGCCCCCAGTGCCAGCAGGGCCCTGGGCAGGTGCCGTGGGGCGCAGGGGCTCCAGTGACACGCAGCAGGGTGGCACGTGCGGGACAGGGCAGCAGCTCTACTCACCACGGTGCCCGAGTCGTCCATGCGGGGCTCGCCTGCCACAGCCTCCCCCAGAGCAATGGCCTCCTCTCTCTGTCTGCCTTTGTCCACCTTTTCTTTGGCCTTTTGGAGGATCTTCTCATATTTGGCATTGCCTGAAAGCGCAGAACACCACCAATAGCAGTGGGGCAGCACAAATCCCACGCAAGACGAGAAGCCCCGTTCCCCCGACACCCGGACACAAACTGCTCCAGCAATGCAGGGAAAGGAGATCCTGCTGCTTCTCACCCCCACCCGTCTTTCTCGCCACACAGGTGCATCTCAGCCACCAAACGGGATGCAAACCCAACCCTGTCAAAATCCCTGCCGGCCTCTCTTACAGCTTTCCCAAGCTTTTCTGCCCAGCCATCATCTTCCCAGACCTCTGGCAAGCTGTGCAGGATGGTTCCTGCGGCAAAGCCCACATGGGCTTGTCTGCCAGAGACTAAGGAAGCAACCAGAGGGCTGAGTTTGCCTGACAGCCCTGAAACCTCCAGGCCTGCTGGAAGTGCCTGTGAGCTGCCCTATGGGCATATGGCACGAGGGAAAGCCAGGGCACCTTCCTGGCGAGCACACAGGCAGTGCTCACCTTTGATGTTCCTGGGCAGGTCCAAGTGGATCCTGGGAAAGGTCCCTTCTCCTTTCAGCGTGATTTTCTCTGGCTCCAGGTGACCCACTTGGATCTGGAAAGCCCTGCAGAAGACTCCAGGCACTCCTGGCAGGTAATAGACTTTGAGCACTTGCTGCTTGCCAGGTTCAGCGTAACCCTGCAGGGCACAGAAGAGGGAGGGAGGGAGTGTACCAAAGAGGATTCAGTGGGGGGATGGCTCACATGACAGACACGCTGAGAAGGCAAGACAGGTTCTCATACATAAGGAAACTGATATCAGACATCACTACCTCCAGCTTTCTTGGATCCAAACGCCCCAGTCTCCTACACCAAGATGCAGTATGTCTTTCAGAGGCCTCGCAAGGCTGCCCTCTGCTCAGCATGAGCACAGCTCTTCTGCTGACAGGGTTTACCCTCTGCTAGCCAGAGCCAGGCACAACAAACCAAAGCTTTGCACCAGCTGCTCTGGAAGAGCAGCGAAGGGCCTGTGCTTCCAGCAGGGCCAGCAGCTCCTGGCAGCAGCTTGCAGGACAGGACATCAGCGTCTCATCCCTCAGACGCACAGGCGCTGAGGAAGGTGGAAGCCACTTGGCCCTTTGGCTTCCTCTTCCCGTTGTAAAAGGGCACCAAGGCAGGAACACTGCTCCAGCTCTGAGACACCCAGGCAGGACGACAAGCTGGAATGGAGTGATGCTCCAGTGATGGCACAACCCAGGAGCTCAGCACTCAGCTCCAAAGAGCTCCCGGAGCACTCGTGCCTCCCACTGGTGGTTGCTGTAGGACAGCAGAGCCAGCGGCGGCCAAGGCCACTCAGCGGCTCCATTAGGATTGGGCTCGATGGACCTCCTCTGCATCTGCAGCAATCGCTCACAGCCCTGTCTCTCCTGGCTGGTTTTGGACGGGGCTTGTGTCTTCATTCCCCCTGTTTTCCCCCAGAACTCTCTCCTGGGCAGCCTGACACAGGCCGGCTGAAGCCCTTGTGCTACTCACCGTGCTAGGCACGACCAGGGGCACGCCAGGCAGAGGGCTGGCTGCAGTGCCTGTGCCGGGGCTCAGCACCACAAAGGCAAATCCCAGCTTCCCGCTGTTCTGCAGGGTCACCGCTGCTTCCGTGACTTTGTTAAACACCTGAGGAGAGGACAGAAGAGCAGGAAGTTACAGGCACACGTCTGCTGCTGAGAATGTCATTCCTCTTCCATTGCGTTGAAAGCAAAGGAGCACAGCCCAGAAGCAGGCAGCGCACAGGAGAGATGGGCACTGGGCTCTCTGCGTTAACCTGGGCAACCCGCGGCCACAGGGTACCTCTGAGCCCTGCACGGGAACAGCTATTTGTGGCAGAGGTGCGATAACAACCGTGGAAAGATCAGAAACAAACCAAGTAGGGGACACAAGCCCTCTGCACTTGAAGGTGTCACCCAACAGCGAGCTGAAACACAGGAGGAGGCATTGAAGCACTTCAGGAGAAAAGGCACCTGCACGCAAGTATTTGCGGGCACAACACAAGCCGAAAGGGAGGGAGACAGGGCAACGCGCACAGGGCCAACAGCTGGAAACAGCTGTGGGGGTCGTAACTGGAAAGACGTACAGTGGGGGCTATTCTGGGACATTCTCTGCAGCTACAGCGACTGGAAGCCCAAGTCAGCTGCCTCCTGGCTTCATGAATCAGGAGCATTAAAAGAGAGAGCACCTCCTTGGACCTCTGGCTTTAGGAGCAGATCAGCGGATGGATGTCTGAGGGACACGTCCCTCTGGAGATCACCACTGGGATCCTGCCTGCCCCAGGAGGCAGCGTTACTTACCTCCAAGAGGAGGGATTCCCAGCTTTGGGCTGGGCTGGGCTGGAGATGGCCATTAAACACCAGCTTGGAGGTATCACCCAAATGTTGGACTTCCAAGCCACAGAGCCAGCAAAGCAGCTGGGAAGGGGGGAGAGCCCTCGCCCCGGGTGGGCAGCAACCCACCGGTCATGGGTGGAGACAAGGAGCTCTGACAAGAGCAGCGTGCGGTACCTGCAGCCCGCAGTCGATCTCGGTGGTGTCCAGGAGGTAGCTGATGCGCGAGGCCTCCCCACGCAGAGCCACCTCATAGCTCGGGCCTCCCTCCACCCTGCACAGCGCCGTGACCTGGGTGACGGTGTTGGCGTGGCCGAAGAAGGAGAAGGTGACACGCTGGCTCTGGCCCGGCTGCAGCTCACCGTGCAGCGGCAGGATATCGAAAACCTGCAGGCAGGGAGGAGAGATCCACACGTGGAGCACGGCAATTGATGCAGAAGAGCAGCCTCGGCTTGGCCCAAAGGACAGACGGGGCTGCAGGGGCCTCTTCCTCAAACACCGGCAACATCAGCCTCATCTCACCCTGCAGCCATTCCACTTACCAACGGGGTAAGAGACCATGGGGAAAACCTTCTCCCACACTCCTAATTAATGCAGGAGTGCTACGCTACATTCATTTCTGGTGTCTCCTGGCAGCAAGAAATGCTCTCTGCTGCAGAATTTGCCTTCAAAAACACCTTTTCCTGCCCTCACAAGAACACGAGACTGGGAGCTGAGAGCCCGGGGGCAGGATCCAGCCCAGCTCCTCGCACTCCTGGTGCTTTTCCCTGGCTCTGATTCACATCCTGCTCTCTCCAGATGCTGCAGCAAATGCTGCTGCAGGAATTTCCTACCCACCACCTGATCAGGACCAAGATGGAGAATGGACTCCATAGGTGCCGCACAAGGAGTGCTCTTGACCAGCCCTACAGCACCTCCCATGTGGCCTCTCCAGTGACCAGCCATGCGCTTGTGTTGTGGTTTAAACCCAGTCAGGTAACTCGTTCACTCACTCCCCCACTTCTTTCCCTCCCCCTGCCCCCGGAGGGACGGAGAGGAGAGGCAAAAAGAATGCAACTCCCACGGGTTGAGATAAGAACAGTTTAGGAACTAAGGTATAACACAAATCACTACTGCTACCACCAATGATAATAATGATAAAGGAAAATAACAAGGGAAGAGAATACAACACCTCACCACCAGCCAACCGATAACTTGCCACCCCCCCAGCCCGACCAAGCTGCGACCGATACCTCCTCCAACCCTGCAGTCTCCCAGCCCTTCCGGCTAACTCCCACTTACATCCTGGGCATGATGTGCTGTGGTATGGAATACCTCTTTGGTCAGTTTGGGTCAGGTGTCCTGTCTCTGCCTCCCCCCGGCCTCCCCTCCTCCCTGGCAGAGCACGAGGCTCACAAAGTCCTTGGCCAAACCAAAACATCGCTATCAGCTCTGTTCCCAGGCCGAAAGCCAAAACACCGCACTGCACCAGCTACCAAGAAGGAGAAAAATGACTGCTACTGCTGAACCCAGGACATTATCCACCCCTTATCCCATACCATCCACGTCATGCTCAGATCCCACATTTTCAATATACCATCACTCTTATCTAAGTGCATGGACCAGTAGCTATAAAGCTGCTGCGTCCATCTGGTCCATGATGCCAGGCTCCATCTCTTTTAACAGTCTTTCAGAGCAGGAGAGACTGTGTGCAGTGTTCACACTTGTGAATAACCTGGGCAATAGTGTCCATTGCTAAGTCCACCCCTCGATCATGAGTCCATCTCTATGTTGCATCTCTGCCCTGATGGCCTGAAGTGCCATGGGCCCACCAGGCTCAAAATAATTCACTGTCCCCTTCAGCAGTTTCTGCAGCTTGTTGCTGGGGACTCCATACGGCTGCCTTCCATCTCCGATGCTTCCAAAGCACTGGAGGGGCCCAGTGGACTAGATACTTGCCCATACTGTCCCACACACCCTGCCACTCATGACTGTCCAGCCTTGGGGAAAATCTCTTGGTCCCCCTGCATCGTCGTCTAACCCCAGACAAGACCCAAACCTCACTCTGCTTAACTTTTGAGATCAGACAAAATGGTGGTGGGTAGAAGACAGTCTGTGTGTGTGCCAACATACTAATCCCCATCACAATCAGCAGGCAGGTCCCAAGGATACCCAAAGGCCATTCAAAACCTTCAGAACTCTCAAACGATGCTGCTGCACTTGTCACTGGGGCTGGTGCAGCTGCTGGGCTTGCCGGCTCTCCCACCGCCAGCTTCTCTTTTCCTGAGTCCAGCTCTTCCTCCTCTGCCTTGCTGGGAAATGCTGCGTGGTCTCCTGCACCCTCCTGGGGCTCTGCGGGCGGCTGCCGGGGAATGCTCTCGGCCGTCGCAGGGCTGGGCTCCTCCGCGGGCCTGGGCTCGGCCGCGGGGCTGGGCTCCGCCGCGGGCCTGGGCTCGGCCGCGGGCGCCTCCGCGGGGCTGGGCTCCTCCGCGGGGCTCGGCTCCGCCGCCGCCGCCTTTTCCCGCTGCTCAGCAGCCGCCTCCTTCCGCTCCTCGACCGCCCCAACCTCCTCCACCCGCAGCCGTCCCCTCGCGGCCTCCGGCCCCGCTCCCGCCGCCGTTTGGTCCCAGGAGCCGCTCTCCCGGGCCGCTTCAGCAGCCGCCGGCTCCCGGGGCCGCTCCCCCTCGGCTCCCCGCGGCCTCACGAAGATGGAGGCGAGGGCGAGGGCCAGGCCGGTGAAGAGCAGCGGGACGGGCAGGTACAAGTCCACGGCCACGTCCGTCCCGCCCTGCTGCTGGAGCCCGCCCGTATTACAAGTCATTGCCATAAAGCACAGTGAGACAAGAACCTTAGCCCAAGCAACACACTTGATAAACACTAACACAGCAAATACCGGCTCTAAGTAATGTACTGCATTCTGAAGCTGTGAGATCAACAAGAACAACTCTGAGAGCCAATAAATCAGCATTGTGACAGATGACTATTAATCCGATCAGATCTGTCGTTATCTCAACCCCTCGTGCCCCACGTTGGGCGCCAAAAACAATTGTCGTGGTTTAAACCCAGTCAGGTAACTCGTTCACTCACTCCCCCCCTTCTCTCCCTCCCCCTGCCCCCGGAGGGACGGAGAGGAGAGGCAAAAAGAATGCAACTCCCACGGGTTGAGATAAGAACAGTTTAGGAACTAAGGTATAACACAAATCACTACTGCTACCACCAATGATAATAATGATAAAGGAAAATAACAAGGGAAGAGAATACAACACCTCACCACCAGCCAACCGATAACTTGCCACCCCCCCAGCCCGACCAAGCTGCGACCGATACCTCTTCCAACCCTGCAGTCTCCCAGCCCTTCCGGCTAACTCCCACTTACATCCTGGGCATGACGTGCTGTGGTATGGAATACCTCTTTGGTCAGTTTGGGTCAGGTGTCCTGTCTCTGCCTTCCCCCGGCCTCCCCTCCTCCCTGGCAGAGCACGAGGCTCACAAAGTCCTTGGCCAAACCAAAACATCGCTATCAGCTCTGTTCCCAGGCCAAAAGCCAAAACACCGCACTGCACCAGCTACCAAGAAGGAGAAAAATGACTGCTACTGCTGAACCCAGGACAGCTTGTTAGGACATGAGGCCACTCTGGGAGCAGCACCCAGGACCGCAGTGACAGTGGCAGTACGTAACTGCTTGCTACACAGGAAACGTGGAAGTGAGACACACTGCCACTTACCTCCTCCACACCCAAGGCGAGGGGCTCTGTCTCCAGGAACCTGCAAAAAGAACAGAACTTTGCTCAGGGACCTTGCAGTGGAGGGAGGGAGGGAGGGAGGGAAGTCTGCACAGCAGCTCCTCGGCAGGATGGGGCCCCTGGGTGGGCATCAGTGGTGTGAGCTCAGTAATGAGCTCCAAAACCGGGATGGAGCAGGTCGACGCTTCGCGTTGACACTGCTAGAGCAGTGGTGCAGGCAGCTGGCCACTGCTTGACTCCACATCTGCTCTCTCCTGCTGCGTGATTCTGAAGATCCATTCTGGCACGGGAGGAAACAGCTTGGTGCAAAGGCTTAGCTCAGCTTTGAGCTCTCAGAGGTCCAAGGGGTGAGGGTTAGGGTGTCTCTAACCACGTGGGTCTAGAACAAGAGTAACCATGAGAGATTCATGGCTCAGAAGTCAGAGAAGGGGCACAGGTTGGTGTACGCTGCCTATGTCCAACCACACAGCAACCGTCGGATTGTCTTGCTCAGGTGATCACTCTGCCCCAGGTAGCAGCAATGACCAAAGAGTAGGGAGGAAAGAAGGGGTTGGACAATTAGAAGGATAAAAATGTAAGCACACAAAGTCTTGTTGAGGCAGAGAAACAGCATTTTTCTCTCCGGACCAAAATAAATGTGCGTGACTGATCCTGGGAGTCTCTGATGACCAGCTCCAGCAAGGTTCGAGGTAGGGAAAGTCCCAATCTTTGATCTCACCTTCATGAGACCTGATGTTTGATTCCCTCCATGTCAGACTGAGTTAGAGCTGATAATTTAGAATACCAACAGTGCTTAGTGTGGACCAGAAATAACATCTGACACGCTGCCCGTCTGCAGGCTCCTAATGAGCACCTTGGAGACCACCTTCGTTTCCAGCTCTGGCACAGAGCATCCCACGGTGTCTGCTGAGCGCCCCAGAGGGGTCACAACACTGCTTAAGGACCATGCAGAGCAGCAGAGGAGCTCTCGTCACGTCCACAGCACTAAGGAGCAGCCAAGGGGCTGTGCAAACCCTCTGGAGAGGTGGACACCCCTCGGCAGGGGCAGGACAGAGGCCGTGTCCTGCCGAGGTGCTCAGCACCCTCTGCTGCCAACAACGCAACCACTCAGCACCCACCACTGATCTAAGTTACGGGAGAGGGCAGGGGGCTCCCAGCAGAGCTGACAGCCCTGCTCACCTCCCTCCAGCTGCTTTTTCAGACTTGCCTCTGCATTTTAGGGTCTGCTCTTGAAGGTGTCGTGCATCAAGCAGGGCCCCACTAAAGACTTGGTGTTACTTGGGAAGACTCAGCTGAGAATGGGCCACCCCAGTGCCCTGCTCATCTCCCCCAAGCCCTCCTAGTAGCCACAGCTCATCGCCAGTTCCCACGAGGTCACCTCCTGCGAGTCAGATCCCAATTCCCTTCACACAACTGCTTCTTGATCAGCTCTCTTGTTTGGAATAGCAGCACTGCAGTGCGCCACGGTGAACTTTGCTGGCTTTCCTAGGGCATTACAGAAAACCGTTTGCTACTGTCCTTCAAACTGCCTACACCAGACTTTTGTACCATGCAGAGAAGCCACAGCAGGAGGACCACTAGGAATGTGCTTCTAGATGGGCTTCAGCACCACTACAAGATTGCTCTTGGGCTTGGAAACCACAGACCACCACTGGATGGTCCTCCTCCCCAGGGATGTCCATACAAGGGCTCCCTCCAGCATCTACAGCTGGACCTAAAGCCACAGCAGAACCTGCCATTCCTCTCTAAAACTCTAAATAGCTCTTCTGTGAATGTGACGTGCAGTTCAACAGATGAACACTCGCTTCGAGGGGCTGTTTGCCTCAGGCCCAGAAGCTCTGAGAAAGCAGCTTTCTACATCAGCCTTCCCAGCATCAAACTGGCGCAGATCACCTATTCCCTGAGCACCTTGGCTGAGCACAGCTGAGAGGTGGGATTTCCTCAAGGCAAGGTTGAAAACAATTTGGCAGATCAGACAAACGGCCTCGGCCTTTGCAAACCACAAACAGGACATCAGGAAGAAGAGCTTCCAGGAGAGGGAAAGGTGCACATACCTCACTGGGTTCACCTGGCTGTCCTTCAGGAATGACCAGTGGTACTGGACAACCAGCGGGCTGCAGTTGCTCATCTCCATGTAACGCACATCCTTGGTGTCATTCAAGATGCAGCCAAAGTCCAGGGCCGTGGTCTGGAGCTGGAGATTCGGGAAGTAGACTTCTCCCCGAACAGTGACCTGCTCTTCATGAGGATGCTCCAGGAACCTGATCTTCAGAGCCTTCTCTGCTGCCCGGATAAGCAAGTCCTCCTCGTAAGCAGGGTTAAATGCGATGCAGAGTTGAAGTTCCTCCCCTCTCCTCAGCTTCGTGGGCTGCAAGGAGATGAAGAGAAAATGTTCCACGTGTGACCCCAACATGAGCTTCTCGCTTCATCCTCCGTTTTCTTCACAGCGTCTGACCAAGCACCACACTTCTGTCTGAAGCTAGCTGAGGCTCACGCTTCTGTGCTCTGCACCAATACAAGAGGAAATCCACACTGGTCTCCTCAATTCTGGATCCCCAGAAGCCACGTGCTAAACACAACCAAAGCAGCACTCTGGCATCCAGGCCTCCGCCCTGACTCTGGAGGAACTCCTTCATCCTGCAGCACAAGCACAGTGGCTTTGCAGCCTCACCCATGCAGGCGCTGATCACTGGCAGGCACAGAAACGGTGGCTGGACCTATGACAACACGTGCCTCACAGAGCCCATGCCCAGCACCTTCCGCAAACACCAGGGCAGGAGCCAGACAGCAGCTGGAGAAGCCTACCTCAGCCTTCCCAAAAGCAGGGCTGCCCTCAAAGACAGCAAGCTGCTCCCCACGTTATCTGAGGATGGCTGCTAGAGAGCTGGCATGCTTTCCAGGAGGCACCTTTCCTACAGCTTGCCCAGACCTGCTCCCTCCTCCTCCTCTCTTCAAGCCAGGAGGTCTCCTCCCGATTCAGATGGCATTCTGTTTCCTTCAGCAGCTCATTTTACATCTGATTTAGCTCGGCCCAGTTTACTGCAGACTCTACAGAACACACTTCCCTGCTGGAAGACCTCCCAACAGAGACACACCACCACGTTCATCCCTCTTCAAAGCTCAGCAGCAAGAAGGTCCAGGGCTGCTCACCTGAGCATCTGCAGGGAGAGGCTGCTGGTCCGCACCGCAGATGGAGAAGGGCTGCTCTAAGGCAAGGACCACAGTGAGGGGCAGGCAGCAGATGTTCTTTAAAGAGAGAGGCTTGTACTGAAGAGTCAGGACATCACTGGGGTGCTACAGAAACAGGAAACAAGAAAAAAGGACCTTGAAGCGGCCATGGACTTCCTCCCCAACCCCAAAAGCGCATCCATCTCTATTTACTCTTTTGATTGGTTTCTACCCCTCTGGAAAGTTTGTCCTCCAACTGTATCAGACGCTTTCATGTTTAGAACCCACAGCATCCCCCAGGGGACAGGCAAACAGGCTCGCCTACAGATGAAGGAGCAGGCCCCCAGAGGAGGCAGCTGCTTCAGCAAGATCCAAACCAGAAAGTGAACCCAGTCTGGCTCCACTTGCGTGTCCTCTCCTGGGCAGAGAGGACACACAGGCACAAGGCCATTTCCACTCACATACAGTACTTTCTTACCACCTTATCAGCTCTGCCAGGCCCGTAAAGCAGTGACGCTGCTCACAGGAGACAAGGCCTGCAGCGGAGAGCCTGCAGCAGCCCGAGGTCAGCTTTGAACAATTACGGGCACACGCAGACAGCTCCAAACCTCAACAGTCTGGCCGCAACCTGCTGCCCCTGCTCCAGTGACAAGATGTTGCAGTCTCAAAGCTAAGCCCAGCCGAAGCCTTTTCCTCCTGTCCGTGCATTGCTCCGGGCTTCCGGCAGGGTTTAGCTAACCTAGACAGTGGTTGGGAAACTAATTCTGGATGTATTGACATCCAACTCCTGCAGTGTCGTAGCACTCAATACATGGGAGCATGTGGCATCAAGCAGACCCCAGGCAGACAGCAGGGGGAGCTGAAAAGCTTCTGATTAGATGTGAACTGCCTGCTCGCAGGATCTGGGCTTCTCCGGAAGCCTGGGAACCGGAGGAGGGACCTGAAACCACAGAAACTAAATCAAGAGCTATCTGCTCTTTTTCAGACACCTGGCACGAGGGGGAAAGATGATGCAGGAGTCGGGATCCAGACACTAAAGGGCACACACTTTGCACTGGTGCTCTCGTCACTGCAGCTGAAGGGCACCCGTGGGTCCTTTGAAGAAGGTGAGGCTTGGGAAAGGCAAAGAGGCAGCATCCACAGCGACAGCAGGGAAGGCAAAGAGGCACAAGAGACGCCAGTTTTTCCTCATCAGCTTGAGGAGTTGACAGGAATGGCAGGTTTTCTCAGCTTCCCTACACGATCGCTGCTCAGACATCACCACGCCTTGGAAGATCCTCAAAACCCTGAGTACAGACACTGGTGTCTCTCGAGAAGGGGCCATGCTCCCCCTCGGCAGAGCAGCTGCAATCTCAGTTTTACCTGGGTGAAGTTAGAGAACAGCCTCATCTCTAGCAGCATCCTCACTCCTTTCACCACCAGCTCAGGGAGAGTGAGCAGGGATCTGCTCTCCACCTGCAGCCCCAGCACACGAGGTGGCTCTTCCAAAGCCCACGCTGCTCTCACGGCTCCCACACCTCGGCCCGTGCCCTTGGCTCAGCAGCTCAATTCCCTCTCCACATCAAGAAGGGCAGAATAGAGCCGTGGAGACTGTCCCCAGCCCCAGAGGGGTGAAAGAACGAGCTCGCCATTCATGACAAAAGCTTGGCCTGGCTTAAATCAACAGCCAAAGCTCTGTGGACTTGGAGAAGCTGTTGAGCTTCCTCCTTTGGACACAGGCACACCCCAGCCACACCAGTCAGTGCCAGCATGCAATCCAGAGACTCACCTTCTCCACCCGGAAAGGGATTTCTCTGCTGGATATTTGCAGGGCGGGAGCAATGAACTCGCACGTGACGTCCACCTGCATGATCAGATTCTTCACTCCCTCCTTGCCCACGATGGCGTGACACAGCAGCTTCTCCTTCACCACCTGCATGCGAGTCACACGGCACCCAGGGGGTGTTATCAGGGTGTCCAGAAAACATACTGCAGCTGTGAGCCACCCACCCACAGACCCCATTACTGCAGGAAGTTACAGCCACTGGTCTCCTCAGGAGCTCTCTCTTCTTTAGATGCTGCATCCTCTTCCTTCTGCACTCACATGTCCCTGATGTTACAACCCAACCGCCACAAAAGGCCCTCGGGAGTCTTGTGCTGCCTACAGCTGTCACAAGAATCCCTGCCACAAATGATTATTGGTTTGATTTGTCCCACTGACAAGCAAAATGCTTACTGAGAGCTCTAGGAACTCATTCAAAAAACCAAACCAGACGGTATGAAGGGAAACAGGTGATAGAAGGATCAATGCCAGCAAATCCTCCCTTGGAAGTTTAGTGGAAAGGATCCGTGGGAAAACCCCAAACAGCCAGCCTGCCTTCCTAGGATGTACTGTGTCCTCCGAGAGCTGGCTTTAAACCAAACCTCCCCAGGAAACAGACGTCTTCCACTTGGCATGAAAACCCTTTCCTTAAGCTGGATGCCCTTACATCCAAGACTTTTCCTCATTCCTCATGGTTTCACTTCCCCACATTCCTCCCTTTATTCCTCTCCCTTCCCTCTGACACACCACCACAACCCAACTCCTCCTCAGAGCCTACACACTTCAGAATCACCTGTGCTGCACGTGCAACGCAGGGTCTTGGGCTTCTAACCAACCTCAAGAGTGTGAAGTTCTCAAGACCCAGGGAAGGTGGAAAACCCAGTCCCAGGGTCTTGGCTTGGACTGCAGGAGCCAGGTAGCCACGGCTGAGCTCACAGATGCCCATTTGGCTTTCCAGGTAGGACACCCTCACCAGTGGCCTGACCACTTCATTCCCTTTCCGGTACCTTCTTCCCCCTTCAGCAAAGCCTTACGGGCTCAGGACTGCACAGGGACAGTCCCGTCGGAGTCAACCAGCTGAGAAATCAAGTCTTCCTCAAGCTACCACTGAGGCAATCCTTTAAAACACCTCTCAAACTCTAGGAGCAAATGTCAAGGGGCTGCAGAAATGCCCTGATGCGGACGGAACTCACCTGGGGGGTGCTGCAGGAGCCTTCCAGCACCATCTCCGCTGTCTGGCCAGGCATCAGCTCCGTCCTCAGCGGCTGAAGCTTAAACACGGGGCCGCAGGAGGAAACCTTGCCCTTGGTGTTCCTGACGGGAGGGAGATGCTTGCGCTGCTCAAGTGTGGTGCCACCTTCTGTGGTCCAATAGAGCAGATGGGTGCGTTGTCCTTTGTTTGTCATCTTGAAGCGGTAACAGCAGGGATCCAGGCTAGAGGAGAAGCAGAAACACAAAATGGCAGGGGAGCTGCTATTTGCCAGGGGTCACCCAGCGTCAGCACCCTGAGGGCACGACCTGATTGCACACTCGGCAACAAAACCACCTCCAAGAAGGCTGACCGAGCGTAAAGCTTCACCAAAAGGCAGACCTTGGCTGCCCCTAGGTTTGTCACCATCCACCAGCTGCTCTGCTTGCAGCCAGCAAGGAAGAGCTTCGTACACAGCCTGCCCCAGATGCAAGTGGGGGCAGGAACAGCCTCGCTGCCGTTCCACCTTCCCCTTGGCACCTGTTGTTCATGCCTCTGAGGCGTCTCTTAGGGAGCATCCAACCCTCATTGCCCCCAGCGTACCACCCTCTGGGGGCAGCCGACAGCAATGGCAACAGCTCCAAACTCAGCCCGCAGGCAAAGGCATGAAGGGCGGCAGAAGACGTGAATCACATGGACGCTGTCCCCTCCCTTGTGCAGCCACCCTGTGCAACCACACTGAGCGCAGCAAACTCCGGACAAGCACCAACCTCCCTGCAATGGCCCTGCTTACGTGGACGGCTCGTGGCTGCCTATTTTACCTCTCCAAATCTGTCCCAAGTGCTTAAGGTAGGATTAACCTGCTCTTTCTGCCCCAAGAATTCAGGTATCGGAGCACCACGGACCCCCTCTGCAGCCAGAGAAAGGAAGAGGCACCCCAAGAAGACAGTTCTTCTTGCCTGAGGAGGTCTCCAACACAAGGCAAACAGCACTTTTTTCCTCCCGTCTTTAAGAACATGCCTGCTTTCAGACACACACGTTGGGACCAGTGAATCCTCTCCTGCCAGCTCAGCGATTTCAAGTCAGACTCTTTGTTCATCCCACTCCACCTCAGCAGACTTCCACACTTCCTTCCCCTTCCAGGGCTGGTCCTGCACCCACCCTCGCTTGCCCGTGCCTCGCAAAGCAGGCAGGAGAAACCAGGAAAGAGCCACCACGCCTAATAAAGAGCAACCGGGCACGGAGTGCGGTAGAGGAGCCAACTGGGGAGTGACACAGGGCAAAGAAATTCTGCTGCTCCTCCAGGGCTCCCCGGCAGAGGTAGAAATAAACCAGCACCATTCATTCAGTCGAGGAGCTGCTAACAAGCTACTGCCCAGGCTTGCTGCTGCTCTGAGATGATACTCCAGAGCGAATGGGAAAGCAAGCAATATCACTGCAAAGAGAAACCTGGTTACACTTGCAAGGCAGCATTTCCCAGCTGGAGGCTTCCAGGACCTGCTCTTTTCCTCCAAATCTTTCTTCCATAAAGTGAGGAAATAAATGGATTAGGACTAAAGATATAATTTAGCAGCAACAATTTAGCAACTGGTCTGCAGCTGGGTGGCTTTTCAGAGTACCTAACGACTTTCAGATGGCCATCAAATGTTTCTAAAGGAACCCCTGTGGCTTCAGGGAAGCAGAGCCAGGACCTTGAGCACTGAAGAAGCTTGAGGGACTGCAGCAGAACTCCTCCTTGCTGAGCCCATGGGGAAGTGGGAGCCGAGAGATTCCCTACCTGAAGCAGGGGCCCAGCTTGAGCTCCGGGCCAAAGGGTTTGTCAACGACAATCGTGGTGCCAACGCCAACAGCCTGGACGGGGATGACGCAGGCATGACTGTTCTCAATGAACAGCACCACCTCGTCCTTGAATTGCTCCGTGTCATCCAAATTCGCAGTGACAACCACAGACACCTCGGCCTTGGCAGGGATCACTCCTTGACTGGGTCCAATACTCCACCACGCGTTTTCGCCAGCCTGCAAGACAACCAAACACTCATTTAGGATGCAAACCACGGACCTGGCTGCCACCAGCCAAGGGCTGCCCAGACAACACGGTCACACCAAGCCAGTGGCTGGGAAGATTCCACTGACATTCACGTACGACTTCTCGGGTTCATGCTGACACAGGGCAGCTCGCTTGGAAAGGAGCCCTGAGAGCACTGCTCCAAAGGTGAATCTGCGAGTCTGCTCCCTCACAAAGCTCATTTATCAAAGCTTGGCAACAAGCCCGCCAGAAAATTGTACCCCAGAAACTATTCCTGAGGAGTGAGGATGGGCGTCTCGACGGAGCCAGACCTTCAACTCCCTGGGGTGACCCGGCACAGCCCTGCTGTCCCAGCCAGGCCAACAGCCCGTGTCAGGGGAGGAGGATTTGCAGCCTGCCCTCATTCTTTCAGTCAGCATCTGCTCTGGCTCCAAGGGGCAGCACAGCGCAGTGCTGAACAGGAGACCTGCCAGGGCCACAAGGCTCTGCCGAGACACTTTCTCTTGGCTTTCTAGGTCAGCTTGCCTGCCCCCAATCCAGCCTGTGTCCCACAGACAAGAAATCTCTTGGAACCACGCTACAAAATCCCCCCACTTTCCAGACAAATACCCAACCTCTGATAACATCTCTGCTACTTGCTTATCCTTGAGTGTGCCGGAAAACGATGCCACAGCTGCATGCATTCGATGCACAAAGGCAGTGGCTATTTCTGACCCTGTAGGAGTTTCTTATACTATTGGACATCAGAGTTCCTGAGGAACCAGTAAGGGTTGGGATCCATCACTTCAGAACTTCACCACAACAGTCAGAATCTTATCCCAGCACAGACGTCCATCGTGAACAAAAGCTTCCACAGTCTGCTTACAATGGACACCAGTGCGCAGCTGATGGATAGAGGGAGGGAGGGAAGGAGAGAGGGAGGAAGGGATGGAGAGCTGCCCTAAGGGACGACTGAGGAGACACCAGTCAGTTCTCTTGAAGCTACTTACAGCTGATTCACTGAAGTGATCTGGTCACTCTGGCCTTGCACAAGTGACAGAGGAAGCAGAACACCGCATTACAAATGCAGCTGCGCTTGATCAAGCCGTGGCTCTAGCAAGAGCCATAGCTCTAACAACAGCATTCCCACTTTGTCAGGCTGACCCACTGGCCTCGTAGGGCTGCTCATGAAGGGGAAATAAACCCCGTCCTGCACCGGCTGGGTGCAGAGCCTTGTCCTGGGTGGTTCAGCATTCCTGGTGGCGGGGGACCCTCTGTTCTTCATTTCAAAGCTGCTCCTTATCCACACAAACAGCCAGCGCCAGGAAACAGCCCAAAAGCACCCCGAGCCCTGCACGAGGAGGAGATCAGAGCCTGAGGCTGGCTACCTGCTCCCACCACCAACCGGCCTCCTCCTGGCTCCTCAGCATCAGCATCTCCTCAGCACAAGCGTGGGGACCACTGCGGTTTAGCCTCTGCCCCGAGCACCAGCAAGGGGATGTTTCACAGAATCAAGGGGCAGAGCTTGTCTCCGTTTGTGTTCCCTGTCCACAGCTCACCCCTCCAGGATCGCATCTGCCCTCCCTGCCAGGCTGGGGAGGTCAGGGACACCACTCTGACCATCGCGGTTCTCCAGGACACGGCTACGGCTTGGCCAGCTGTTGCCACGCACAACGTTTCATAACCAAACTGCCCCTGCTTTTCCTCTGGGAAAAGCTCTCAGCTTGCTTCTAGAAGCACAGCCGTCTTGAAGACTTCTAAGCCTCTGTAATTCAGCTGCCAACAGGCACAGCACAACAGGACATGTTTGCTTTCCCCTGACGAGCAGAGTAACAAGTGCTTTGGTTACCAGCAAGTCAGAAAGGGCACTCAAGGAGGCAGCTGCTGAGGGCACTGGGGTGCTTGCTCTTTGCAGAGATGGAAAGCAGATTTTTATGGTGCGGACAAAGAAACCTGCCTGGGAATCTCCCACTTTGAGGGTCTCTTGAACCCCCAAACAGCTGCAAAAGCAGCAGGAGGGAAATTCAGCCCCCTCCCCCTTGCCCAGGGGGCTGAGCCTCTGCTCTCACACACTGCTGCCTGCTCCATGCGCGGACACAACCAAGTCCCCAGCGACAGGCCTGGGTGAAGCAGCTCCACAGCTTCAACAACCCAGCCTGCACCAGAACAAACCTCCTCTGAAGCCCCTCACAGACTCCCCTCCGCTGGGAAGCACCCCCCAGCCCCAGCACACTAGCCCTTCCCGCCCGCATCAGCCCATCAGAGGATCCCACAACCTTCTTCTGCTCCGCAGCCTGTTCCACCACGCGGCTTCCAGGAATTAAACAGCCTTCTTCTGCAGCCACACGCTCTACAACGCTACAGAGCCCACAGGCTCTGCAGGTACACAGACCTTACGAGTCTACTTCTGGCCAACAACCCAGCTGGTTTCACCCCCAGGGAGGTGTGAAACCCACTTCACCGTAAGCACCTTGAGGACAGACCTCTCAGTTCCAAAAACAAAGACTCCCACAGCTAAACGCCTTCCACAGAATAAAGGGAGAACTTGCAGAAATGAGCTCCTTTCTGCTCAAACATCTCTGCAAACTCTGCTTTACTGACGGGTGCCCCAGCTACAACTGCCCCCAGAGCCAGGCTTCTCTTGCTCCACTGGGATGGAACATCTTGCTTTCTCTCTCAAGACACGTCTCAGGGATGTGGAAATGTTGCACAGAAATAAAGAATTCAGTCACAGGCTGCTATGGGCCAGTCACTTGCACTGGAAAACAGCCCCAGCGACACTTACCATCTTTGCCGAGAAGGATGCAGGGATGACAGACTGATTGCAGAGGTGGAGGCTTCGGGAAGCATCTTGTAGAACTTGGATGCAGCCAAAATTTATCTCACTTGGGTGCACGTGGACAACTGGTCCTTCGCCAGTGCTCAGTAAATGGATTTTCTGCTCCAGGAGGCAGGCAGGAAAAAGAACAAAACAACAGGGAAAGTCTACAATGACTGGACAGCTCTAAGGGTGCTCGTAGGCTGGGGGAATTCTGACTCTTTGAAGCTCTCAGGGTTGGGAGGCTGAAACAGGAAGGCTGGAGCAAAGGTGGCACCTGGAGTGATCCCTGCGGATCGGAAAGCCACAAGATCCCATCATGAGGGGATACAGAACCCCCATCTCCCATGCATGCTTTTCACACCTCCTCCACGCTGTCAGCTCTCCTTCCTCTACCCTGTGCCTACGCCTGCTCCTTCTACTGCTCCATCACGCCATAAACCACCCTCCCTGACTGCTGCGGCTGCACGGCCACACTGCACAGCAACTTCTTCAACCTTCCGAAAGCTTCTCCTGTCAAAACCAGCACAGCCTGGAAGCAAAGCTCCTCTGCACAGTAGAGATCATGCAAGCTAGCTGCCTCTCATTTCTGCTTGTGTGCATTCCTGGGATTAGTTCTTTCTTGCATTGAGACATTCATTATTAATTGCATCATTCCAGCAGTATTTTTTCTGGTGACAGCCTGAGACCCAAAAGTTTCTTCCTGCAGAAGGGGCACAAACTAGTGGAGGAGGAATGGGGATCCTTTTGATAAGCCCCCTTCTCACGTCACTAAAACCAATGAGAATTCATTCAGTCTGGCTGGATCTCCCCAGCTCCAAACACCCCAAGCCTTAACCAGGCTTGTAGAGCCTCAAGAAAGCAAGGCTCTAGGGAGACCTTAAAGCAGCTTCCAGTGCCTAAAGGGGCCAACAAGAAACCTGGAGAGGGGCTTTGGATAAGGGCCTGTGGGGACAGAACAAGGAAGAATGGCTCTAAATTGACGGGGGGGGTGGGGTTGTGTGTGATCAAGATGGGATCCCGGGAAGAAGTTCTTCCCTGTGAGGGGTGGTGAGGCTCCGGCACAGATTGCCCAGAGGAGCTATGGCTGGCACAGGCTGCCCCATCCCTGGTACTGTTCAAAGCCAGTCTGGATGTGGCTTGGAGCTACCAGGTTTAGTGGAAGGTGTCCCTGCCTGTGGCAGGGAGTTTGAACTGGAGGAGCTTTGAGGTCCCTTCCAACACAAACCACTCTGAGACGCTGCAATATCTTGCGTTCTGGAATAAAAACCAGCCACTCCCCTGAGCTCAGGTTTGCATCAGATGATGCACAGGATGCGTAACAGGACAGCGGTGGTTCTGCTGGCCCTGAAAGCTCTGCAGCAGTCAGCTACCAGGGAACTCCTGAAGCTGCACTCAAGCCATAAGGCAGAGCCAGAGAAAATGACACCCAGAAACTCCCATTTGCGCAGGCAACAGCCAGCCAGGTTTTGACCGGCATTTGCTGGCTGCGAGCAGCAGCCCAGCACGAGCGCAGCGCCTTGAGGATGGACTGACCGGGCACAGGGTCACTCAGTCCCATGTGTCGTGTCTTTAGGGACAGCCACGATCCTCCGACTGAAATGCTCACCCTTTGGGCAAAAGATTGACACGTTCACCTCCACGTCCAAAAGATTAAGTTAGGGCGAACTTTGAAACTAAAAACTGTTAGCCCAAGGGCAAAAGCTGTGCAAGAAACCAGTACTTAAAAAGCAGCTCACAGTTAAACAACTGGTTATTCTAGTGGGGAGAAACCTTCCTCTTCAAGGGAAATATTCCTTCTATATAAAGAGAAGTTGCTCCTAAGAGCAGCTGTGGTCAAACTTCAGACCTCCAGCACTGCCTGGCCTTCCTCTTCACTCTTTACACGCATATCCACAACAGGGTGGAGTGGAGATACTTGGTGGCACCCAGGGGATTTAGGAGCAGCATTTCTGTTCACTTTCAGAAAAGTCTGAATGCCTGCAAGTACTTTCAAAATGTCAGCCTTATTTGTCGTTGCAGAAAGCATCAGGTTCCCAGCAACCCTCTGACATCCTCTTTCATGCCCCAAGGTTTGACAAGACTTTTTAATACAGCTGCTTCAAAAGTTAGTACCATTTTAAAGTTTCATTAACTAGATTCATTCTCAGTTTCAGCCAGATGAAGCCAGGAGACTACAGACACCACCCCCTTGTCTACATTTTGTTGTCATTGCTGCTGTTGCGAACTACATCTTTTAGCAGGCTTCAGCCCACGAAGGCTTTGCCTCATCCGCTTCCAAGCTTGGTGGACAAAGAAAGACTGTGCTCCAGATGCAAGCCCTGTGGAGACTCTGGTGTCCTTGGTGGGGCTTTTGGCAAGGACATCTGATGGATGGCTGTTGCTCACACATGACGGACCTGACTTTCAGCAAAGCTCGGGGTTTCAGGTTAAGCTCGTTATCCTGTCTCACATCCCCGTAATTAAATGCTGTGTCAGACACTTCCACACAGACACACGCAAGTGTCAGACACACCACCTAAGGGGATACCAGCCTCCCTCTCCTCCAGGCATTAGTGTTGCTTATGCCACGAATCCCTTCTTTCCTTGTAGACAACAGCCGTAGATCATTTTCTCTGGAAGATCCCCTACACGCTTTACACGCCACCAAGATGAGAGGCACAAAGCTGCAGGTCTGCCCCAGCACTCACCAGTGGGGATTCTTTACTCCCAAACACCGCAACATGAGCAACGGTGTCCTGCTCTCCTGTCACCTGGACTTCCAGTGTGAACGGGATCTCCACCGAGCTGTGAGGCTGGATAATCCCACGGGGCTCAGGGCTGGAGTACCACACAGCAGCAGCATCCTTGTTCTCCTGTAAGGGACAGAATCAAGCACGACTTCAGAGCGACCTTTGAGGAAACTTTCAACTCTTCAACATCTACCACAACGGCAACTCGCACACGGGCCTAAAAATCCCTAGGAGGAAGCAGAAAGGCACAACTCAAGATGCAAGACATGTATGGGTTCAGCATCCTGAGGGGGTTCAAAGCTGCTGCCTCCACAACCCCCGTCCCGTGCCGACAGCCTCCTTGCAGCAGCTTTTCACAACCCTGCAAGCTCTCCTGCATTGAAAGCATCCTGAAGACTAGAATATAATCTGCTTCCTGGAGAGTTTAAGCTGCTTCCTCAAGCTGATATTCAGGTAGCTTCCTGTTCCCAGCAAACCTTTAGGCTTGAATACAAACCAGCAACATCTTAACCAAGCCTGTTGTTTCCCTAACAACAAACCCCTAGGTGACATTGGAGCCAAGAGGCGGATGCGATGGCAAACCTGAGGAAGAGCCCAGTAGCAGCCTGGCAGGTTGCTGTCGTTCACAAGGGTCAGCATCTGCTGATAAGGGACTTTGAGAGAGCATCGTCCAAATGTCACAGCTGGGTGGAGCACTCGCAGCAGGGGAATGCCACATCTAGGCAGAGAGATGAGCAAAAGGGAATTAGGTTCTGAGACAGTGTTGCTTGCTTGTTTACTTCTCAATGAGCACCAAATGGAGCAGACACATTTGTCACCGTCAAGTAGACATCTGATACCCCTACAGTGACAAACAGCCTTTAATTTCTTTTCACCCAACAACCTCTTGCAAAAGAGGGGCAGACCCCGAGTCTCAGCATCACAAAAGCTGCTCAGTGCCCAGGCAGAGCACGTTGCCCTGTCCCAGGTCAGCTTTGCCCCTCCTTTGCCCCAGGAGGCTTGCAAGGACCCTCTCAGTGGCCCCAGCAAGGTGTGAGCTCTGAGGGAGCTTTCCCACTGAGGAGCAGCGCCCTGTGCCGTCAGCCGTAACCCTCTCCCACGCCCTGTGGCTGCCTTGGTCCTTTCCCCACGGGTCCACACACCAGCTGCTCCCATTTGCACTTGTTCTACTCAACTGCAGCCCAGGCACTGACTGCGCAACTCTGCCTGGGAGAGGGAACAGCACCGCTGAGCTGCATCCCTCTTGCCATTGAACTGACGCCCACCGCAGCACAACAGGCCTGAATCTGCCTGAAGCAAGAACAACTTTTAGCTTAACTCTGAGAACATCAATGCTCAACAGAGCCAGAGGGAAGCACAAAAACCTGAGCTCACCTTCCACACCAAGGACTACTTTGTCTTTCAGAAGATCTCACCTTTACTTTTCCCTCACCACTCCTGCCCTAAGCCCCTCACCCATCTGCACGCCCCCTCCTTAACTGAGACAGACAACACCTTGCAGCAGCTGCTCGCTGTAGCCCAAACCAGCGTTGCATTCTGGTCACAACCCAGCACAAGTCCAACGCTTGCAGGAAGGAGGAGAGGCGGCCCTTTGGAAACATTACACCTCAAGCCCCCAGAGCAGGCCAATAGGGAATAGAATCACAGTTTCCTGTAGGAAAAGGCTCTGGGCCGTGCCTGTGGCTGAGCACAAGTGCTGCTCATCATGGACTGCTTTCCATGCGCTGCTCTTCTCCTGTCTAGCTGGGCACAGCTAGCTCATTGAGCAATGCTCCTCGTTTGGAGCTGGAGCCAGCCAGCTCTGTGCAAGGCACCACCACTTGCTCGTGGCAGATGCACAGCGAAAGAAGACGGGCTGCAAGGAAGCGCTGGTACCTGGCTCTGATGGGCAGTGATAACACCTCTCTGCCAACACCATCCACATCGACCACCAGGGCCAGCTTGTATCTCTTCACGGTGTTGGAGCACAGGGTGACCTGGGAGACAAGAGCATCAAATACTTCATCACTCCCCAAACCCATCGTCCATACGCAGAGCCCTCCAGATCTCGTTCCACGGCAAGGAAAGGGAGGATTTAGTAGATATTAGGAAAATGAGGTATCAGGAAGAAGTTCTTCCCTGTGAGGGTGCTGAGGCCCTGGCACAGGTTGCCGAGAGAAGCTGCGGCTGCCCCATCCCTGGCGCTGTTCAAGTCTAGCTTGGACGTGGCTTGGAGCAACCTCATCTGGTGGAAGGTGTCCCTGCCCATGGCAGGGGGTTGCAACTGGATGAGCTGTAAGGTCCCTTCCGACCCAAAACAGCCTAGGGTTCTCTGATGTTTGCCTTTAACTCTTCTGCTGGTTCACGTGTAGAGCACAGTCTCTGGCAGTAACAGAAGTCTTTGGACAATATCTGAATTACTGAATACGCTTTGCGGTTGCCAGGGCAGATGTAGAGCCCAACACTAGCGCACATCTCTTACTCGCATGATGCTCAGAGCCAGCAGTGCTAAAGCCCCCTCAACATCACTGAAGCTCCAGCTCCACCTCTGAAGCACGCAGGGCTGGACTCTTCCCGTACCTGGATATCCAAGTGTCCCTTGGAGCAGACGGTCCCTGTCAAGGGCCTGATAGTAAATTCAGCTGGCTTCTTGGCACCTCGCGCTGGCTTTCTCCACGACGGACCAGTGCTGTCTGACACCTGAGCAAAACTGGTCACGCTGGGTGCTCCTGAGCCGTCCCCAGGAATGCGAAGGTTGAAGTTGAAGGGCACCGGGGAAGTGTTAGTGAGGCGGCAGCACAGGGTGCGAGGAAAGCCTGGGAAAAGAACACAACAGCAGTTTATTACCCCCTGATTCCTGGGGTGGACATCCTGCTGTGATGAAACTGCGCTTGGAGTTTGCCTCCTTTCAACGGCAATTACAGCCGATTGAGAAGCTCTGTGGGGAAGTCGTCCTCAATTAAGTTCCCTTCTACGCTTGTCACACAGAAATGCCCACTCTGTGTGACGCTGAACACCGCAAGTGTCTCTCTCTAACTGTGAGGAGCTCTCACCTCCCCCAAACCAGCACCAACTCCTTCTCAACCATGACGGTGCATCCAGAACATTTACTCTGAAAAGTCAATCCGGAAAAGTCCCTGTGAACTCCACAAACACTCCCACAGTTTTCAAGAGATAAAAGCAGTATGTTGGCATCAAAGGGATGACCCAGGAAAGGAAAGGAAAGGAAGGATGAACTTGGGAGCCACAGCATGATGCAGAGCACTCTAAAGCACCTTCTCCAGACAGGAACCCCGATGCATCTCCTGGTTTGGGACAACCAAGACTGAGCCCGTGACAGCTCACAGCCCACTTCACTGGAGGCAAACCTGATGCTTGCTCAAGAACAAGCAGGACCTGTGTCTCACCCTCCCAAAGGAGTGGGGTCACACAGCCACGCTGCACGCTGGCTTTCATTACCCCACAAAGGCTGACATGGCTTCAGCTTTGCTACTTGCTTTCCATAATGGAAGCCACTGACACAACCACAGCTCATCTGGGGGGTTGAGTTCACATTTAAACTTTAGACCATCTCAGAGACAAGTCCTTTGTGAGACTGAGATGGAGAACCAGAATCTGCATCTCAGCGGACATGCTCTGCGTGCACAGCCACCAGCTCTGCCAGCAGAGCTGGCCTTTTGGTGGGGAAGGAGGAGCCCACGTCTGAAGACATGGCTGCCCCATGCAGAGCTACTGCTTGGCCATGTTACCCGGGAGCTGACAACGAGTTGGCCTCGCAGCACTAATTGATTTCTCACGCTAACGGTCAGGTGGGGAAATGGTGCCCTTGCCTCACAACAGCAAAATTCACCCAGGGCACCTACAACGGGCCTTCAGCTCCCGGGAGAAAGACTTTCACAGTCATTCTGTTGCCAGGGACTGGGAGACTGGGGCTGGACTGACTGTGAGGGACACCAGAGAACACTGACTTTCTACTCCTTAGGTTCTATTTGAACCATTCAATTGGCTCCGTGCCGTTCTATCTGGTAATGTTTGAGCTCACCACGGCAAAATACTGCCTAGCAGCTGGCAGTCCTGCTTTTGACACGCTGAAGGTGGCTACGGAGGAACACAAGTGACAATGCTGTCCTGGCCAAGTGCTCCATTTGGGTAAGGCTCAGACCTCCCACCCTGCAGCCCAAGCCCAGGGCACACTCACCAAAGGAGACTTCACCGAAGCTGAGGGACGACACATTGAAATGAAATGCCGGCCCGATGACACAGCCGCTGTGAGGACAAAGGCAGACGAGACATTGCCTTGGTTAAAGAGAACTGCAAAGCCTTCAGCTTTCCTTGCCGTTGCGGTGGGTAAAAGCCGGCCTGAGAACCTCAGCGCCTTTCAAATCAACCCCTCACCCTCATGCTCAGCACAGCATCCAGGTGGACAGGAGGCAGCCAAAGCAAAGTGGTCAGCAGCCCATAGCTGCTGGTGGGGCTTGGGGCACAGTGTCGTGCAGGGTATGCCCCCAAGTTGGTGATGGCCTGAGGAAGGACACCAAACGAGTGACGGCTGCGTGCCTCACTTTCCCCATCTGGAACGTGTTGGACGCAGGGGTGTCCCCACTCAAAGAGGGTCAAGGTAACTACCCTTGCCAGCCACAGGTTTCCTGCTTTGGCATTTCTTAGCTGGAACTGCTCTTCCCATGGAGTACACGAGCACCTTTCTAAGAAGATCTTGATCCACGCAATCGTTACGGGGGCAGGACTTTGAGACATGAAGCCAGGGGAGCCCCAAACATCCCTTGACAACAGCAGCAACAATTCAACACAGTGGACAGTTGAAGCTGGGACGAAAGCATCAGCTTATCACCAGGGCACCAGCTGACACATCCAAGAGCAACACGTCTTAAACCACCCAACACAGAAGCGTCAAATCATCTACGGTGCAAAAGATTTTTAGGATCATCAAGTCCAACTGTCACCCCAGCACTGCCAAGGCCACCACTAAAGGGTGGTGTCACCATGTCACTAAGGGCCTCATCTACACGGTTTGGGAACACTTCCAGGGATGGTGACTCCACCACTGCCCGGGGCAGCCTCTTCCAATGCCTGACCACCCTTTCGGGGAGAAACTCTTCCTAACATCCAGTCTAAAACTGCCCTGCGCAGATTGAGGCCGTTTCCTCTTGTCCTTTCCCTTCTTACCTGGGAGAAGAGACCAGCCACCTCCTGGCTCCATCATCCTTTCAAGTAGTTGCAGGGATAATGAAACCTGAACCCACCACACCACCTCACCTGCCCTTAAATTCATCAGACTTTGAGGCTCCAAATTCCAGAACTCACCAACATCCACCTGAATCACCACGTGAAGCTGCACAACACCCATTCATATATTTCATGGCTCATGCCAACCAATGCCAGCTCTGCCTCTCAGTTCAAAATCAAGGACCACAGCAAATGGTGCCTTCAACCCAAACTATTCCATGGCTCCCTCTTGCTGACAATTACACTGCATTTGCTGCTGCCGCTGTTGCAAGGAGTCAGGGTCAAACTGGAGTCGAGGTTAGCATGGGCTCTTAGTGTGGGGATGCCAGGATGACAGCCAAGATCAAGACCTCAGACAGGCCTTTTCTTTCTCTGCTCCGTCAGCAAATGAGGGAGGTGGGACATGATTACCCAGAGAGAGCTACAAAGGTGACCACCAAGCTCTTAGAACCCGCCTCACCTCACAGTCAGCGTCAGAGGCTCAGGGGATCCCTTCACCCTGAACTGGAATTCTTCTGTGAACTGCCCCAGGACAGTAGCATTGAAGGAGATCCAGATGACCTGATGCTCGAAAGGCAAAAGCACGCCCTCCCGGGGGGCAAAGGTGAAGCAGGAGCCCAGAGCTCTCTCCGCATAGACCACGCCGAAGGGAGCCTCAAGAACTCCTCTGTTGAGCAGGATCACCTGCAGCAGCAGCAAGAAAGCAACACGGAAATACATGAGGAATCCTCCTTGCTTACAGAAGGCTCACTTCTTTCCTAATTTTGCAATTAACGTCTGTAAAAGGCAGAAGATGCTGAGCACTGCTGCCAAATACAAGAGGCCAAGTTCTGCCTCGGGGGGGGGGTTCATGCAAAGCAGGGATAACTTCACACAAATAGAGCCACTCTGGGCTTATTCCCCTGACACAGAGCAGTCCACTTGCCCTGCAGTGCCAAGGACCTGCTCAGCACCACCAAGTTCATTCAGACCCATCCCACAGCTCCATGAGGCTCACTGCTGCCCAGGAGCCATCCGCATCCACCCCATGCCCTGCGACCCGTCCTGCTCACCCTGTAGCTGTGGCTTGAGCCCACAGACACCTCCCCGATGCTCAGCTGCTCACAGCTGAGTTCCACCTGGGGCCCGACGCCTTCCCCGCTGATGCACAGGGGCAGCCTGCTCTCACAGCCTGTGGAGGGAAATCTCTGTGAGTGCAATTCCCTCTGCTACCCGGCAGTTCCCAGCTTGTCTCAGTGCTGCTGCCGGTCCCTGGGCTGCATGGAACCAGCTCTACGTCCTCCAGGAGAAGATAGGGGACCCATCTCATCCCTCAGGAGATACGGCTTGGGGCTGGGTTCTCCTTTCTAACCAACGGCCTGGGCTGGTGTCTCAGAGAAACACAGACTGCTTTGCGTTAGAAAGGACCTCAAGATCATCCACTTCCAATTCCTTGCCATGGACAGGGACACCTTCCACTAGACCAGGTTGCTCCAAGTCCCGACCAGCCTGAACTTGAACATTGCCACGGATGGAGCAACTTCCTTGGCCAGCCTGTTCCAGCGCCTCACCACTCTCACAGGAAAGAATTCCTTCTGTATATCAAAACTAAATCTCCCCTGTTTTAGCTCGAACCCACCACCCCCCTTGTCTTATCTCTCCAGTCCCCGATGAAGGGTCTCTCTCCAGTCGTGGAAAACCAGCCTCCTCATTGAGCAGATCACATAAGCCATACCCGTACTGCTAACGTACACATCCCTCGGTGCAAAGGCAAGCGAGACCTCGACGCTTACAGCCAAACTCCAAGGTGGGTCCTTTCCCTTAAATTTGCTACAGATGACAGAGCACAAGATCTTCAGGCTGAAAGCTGCTCTCAGCCACTGAAGCAGCCTAAGGTGCCTGAATCCTGGCTCAAACTTTGGATGAGGTCTCACTGCCATCCCATTCTACTCTGCACACAAAGCGAGCAGCACGAGGAGGAGGAGAGAGCCACGCAACAAAGACTCATCTTGGACGTAAATGGTCTACAGGGGCCTGGTGCTCCTTCACTAAAGCTGTGTTGCAAATGCTGCCAAACCCATGGCAGGAAAGCTTATTCCTTCACTGCTTTGTCTCTTCTGGCATCAGGAAGCCAGAGCCCTGCTCTCGGACAGGAGACCACCAGGAACCACAGGGACAGCGGCATGTGCCAGCACTGCTCTCTTGAGCCCTCCAGAACTACATGAGATCCGAGTGGGCTGGAAGAGTGTTTGTATCTCCTCTGTGGCAACAGGAGCAGGAGGAAGGAGCTGTACCTGAGATGTCACAGTAGACTGTCTCTTGGTAGACTCCGGCTTCTTTGGGCTTAAAGATCACGCTGATTTCAAGTGAAGAATTTGGCAAGATATCTCCCTCCTGAAACAGAAGTGACAGCAAACCATTTATCTTCAAACATCACATTCTTGTTTCCACTACAGCCCTGTAAGCCTTTCTTTACAGCACCAGCAAAGAGCAAGGAGCAAGCGACACTTGTCAACAGAATTTATAGGAGAGCTTGCAAGCAGCTGTAGAAACACCTTCCAAAGTCCCTCGCCTTTACTGGCACCCGCAAGGGGCATTTTGTTACCCTCAGAAGAGATTGAGCTCTTGCTCAGGGATTTAAGTCTGGGCCACGCTACCACTTTCTGCAACTGTCTGCTGCTTCCTCAGGGTCTTCTCTCTCCGCTGCTCTCCCAGAGGATCCTGGCACTGGTGCTCAGTCCCAGGAAGCCTTGTCACACATTTCAGGAGGCATCCCTGGTTTCTATAGGCTCTCGCTTCCTGCAACTGGTTTAAGCAAAGGCACCTCTTACAGCCCTTCAGCCCTTAGCATTACAAAGACAGCTGACCTAAGTAGCTACACCTCTGGCAACTGTAATACTGCCCTACAAGAATTAAATATTTAGTTTACAGAAGCAGATAAAAAGAACAGAGTCGCTTTTCTAGCAGCACAGCCAGGCTTTGATTCTGCTCTGCCGTTGGGTATTCTCAGGAATTTGCCCAGAACGGCCTTGAACTGAGTGGAGCCTCCAGCACTCCTGCAGCATAAATATTCACTAGCTACGGTTCTTCCCACTGACACAGCACTTACAGCTTAGAGGACAGCCCCCACAAAAATTAAAGAGCTAGAGCATGGGAAGTTATTGGCCTCCAGCTGTAAAAAAATCCCCAATGCACAACCTGCTCTGAGTCAGGAGAACACGGCGAAGGACAGGTAGAGAAGAACCCTTTCAAACACCAACCGACCAGTAACTGGAAAAGTCTGAAAGAAGAAAGTCACTTGCAATCTTCTCAAAACCTAGAGAAACTCTCCGTGTGGGGCAGGAGACACTGCCCGTGACACAAAGCCCTTGCTCTCCCGGCCTCCTCCCATTCCTGCCTCCCCGTTCCTCTTGCCAGGGCAACTGGAGCTGGCTCAGTGCCTCAAGGCATCTGTCTGACTCTGCATTTGATCCTAGCCCCACATAACTCAAACTCAACATCACGACGGTGAGCTGCCACTGCACCAAAAAGTACAGTTTCAGCAAGAACCTGGAGAACACCGCAAAGGTGCATCTCAAACAGTGAGGACTCTAAAGGAGTTTCTCAGAGTGGTCAAGTCCCTAGGGGCATGATTTGCTCCATACTAAGACCACACCGATTGCTGGGATCATTCTGTACGCACTCGTTAACTAGTGCAGGAGGCAGCTTTGAGCTTTGGGCACGTGCCATTTCTTCCTTTACAAGCTAATCAGAGGAGGGTGAAGCACACAAACCCCCTTGCCAGGGATGATGTCTTGCCATCCGCCAAGCACCAGGAAGCCATCCACTCACGCATCACGATCCTCACAAGGGACACATCTCCATACATCCAAGGTGCTGCTGGGTCCCAAGGCACAGCAGATGAAACTCCTCTAAGGCACCCGAGGAACAAGCTTATGGACTAGCATTAAGGCCTCTCCTTTTCCAGGGATCAGCACAGCTCTCAGGAACAATGCTAATACAGCACCCCTACTGGAGCCTTGCATTCGTATCCTCGCTCCCAAGAGAACCGGCCCAGCAGTTAACAGGCTCAGGTCTCTTGAGCTCCTGACAGGAAATCACCATCCAGCGGGATTCAGCGTATCGGGGTGGAAACTTCTGGCAGTCCATCCACAGAGATGTTCCCTGCATTGGCAGTGAAGCTGTAAGCCAGAGCGTTTGACTCCAATGACGGAAGGCCAGGAGAAATCATCACTTTATCCTACTATTATTATTATCCTATTTATCCTACTAGTCCATGGCCAAACCCCATTCTTTAAAGACAGAACTATGATGGCAAACCCTTCGTCACTTCTCCCTTCATTCCTGCTCTATGGCAGGCTATAAAAGCAGAACGTTATTTCTCTCGGGAAATTCCAATAGGCTGTTGAAGAGGTTCTTCACGTGCCTGCTACTCCCCAGGAAAAAGAACTGCTGCATAAAAGGATGTCATAACACTGCACAAGACAGCAGGGGAGAGACTCGTGTAGGAGCCTGCTTTGATTCAGCCCTAGAGCAAACTGTGTCACAGAAACACGGCCATTTAGGAAAGGTTTCCACTCCCAGCTTGGGGCTTCATGTCGCTACATCATCACATCTTGATGTGGACAGGACTCGGCCAGAATTCCAGAGCTCCCCTTAATGCACCTCAGGAGCTCAAGAGCAGGTGAAGCTCATTGTGGAGACATAGTGACCGTAATGAAGCAGGAGCCCTGGGGCACACTCCAGAACCAGCTCTGACACACCACAGGATGCTCTGAATGCTCAGCTCAGCAGCTCCCACTCTCCCCGATATCCTTGCTGCTCTGACACACTGGTGGCTCTCAGCCTTACATGGGTTGCAGGAGCAACCGAGAAGAGAACAGCAGCCCCTTCCTCGGAAAACAAAATAAAACAAATAAACTAGTTTCACCCACTGTAAAAGAAAGAAGAGGTTGGGATTATTCCAGGCTTTACTCCAAGATGAGAAGGGATGTTGCACTGCTCAGACAGCAGGCATTCTTCATCCCAGACCATGCAACTATTCAGAACGACGGCTCTGGCTGATTGAAGGACATGGGCGTTTTGCTTGCATCACCAGGTAAGGGAGCACTTTTCTCTACCTATCTGCAGTAGAACTCAAAAAGCCTGTTTAAATCTGAGAGCCTCGTGTCCAGGCTCACAGACGACACTGGAAGGGAGACTCAGATGTGGTATACATCCAGGTTTTAGGAAGGGATTGCTGTTCCCGTGATTAAACCTGGGCTCAATGGGGGCTCCTTTCCACAGGGGACCATTTCATTCTGCAGGTCAGTATGTGAACCAACAGTGCACCAGTGTCCTTTCTTCAGCCCCATGCGCTACGTGGAAACGTGTCCTTACAGAGAATAACTGATAACCTCTGGCCACTGTGAAGACACTCACAAAGTGCCCTTAATTCACAGCCCTTGCAGCAGAGCCCAGCCTGGGGGCGGCTCTTGCTGCTGTTCAGAAAGGCTTTTTGCAACAAGCGCCCCCAGCCTCACCAGAAACCTGAGGTCTCCTCTCTTGGCACATCAAGCAGCTGACGTGGGATCTGCCAACGGACCTCATTCAGAGATGACAAGGAGGAGGAGCAGGAAGGGAGGTTCTCAGCCATCACTCACCATGGGCACAATGGTGAAAATATCATTGCAGAAAGGCACGGAGTCTCCCTGCACCTCTGTCCCCTGGTTCTGGGAGGTGCAGATGGGAAGGGAAGGCTGTTCTCCGAGAGGGCGCACCACCCCGTGCTCCTTAGGAACATCAACCAGCTTGTCCTCTTCCTGCCTCTGCAGCCTGTGCCATGGGAGAGACGAGCCAAACAGATAACTGAAGAAGCAGCACATTTGCAGAGCCTGTGCATGAGCAGCAAAGCACCTGGGGAGGAAGAGCAGCAGCTCTGCATGGGGCTGCCCTGAGACAGGGGCTCCCACATGGATCCCATTATTCCCCTCGTTCCCAGCACAGCAGGGCCTTTTACTCCTCACTGACAAGCTAACAAGAGGTTTCTTAAAGCTGGCAGCCCTCAAGAAAAAGCCTCCTGCACTGGGAGGAGGGGCCACAAACCAGGACACTGAAAGGCAATTCCCCAGCCTACAGCAGGTCGGCCTCCACCTTCTGGGCCAACTAAGCACTCTACCCTGCGTGTGACTGCAAAAGGAGCCTGCCAGCTTATCAAAGAAGAAACCGCTTGACTATCACAATAGTTGTGCCACCTGCAGCTCTTCAGTGCTACTGCTCAGTGCAGTCCCAGGTACCGAGTGCCGACACCTTCCTCAGCCTCACGGACCCTCCGTAGTGCACGGAGCTCTGAACTCAATAGTCTGCGGCTCCCAAATGTGAATTTGCCCTCTGAGGCAATCCAGGGATTGCAATCAACCTTCTCTCCCCAGAACATCATCCTCAGCTGTAGCACGGGTGGCACTGGAATGGCAAGGGTTAAGCTCCACGCTGTGCATGGCTTCATGGGCCCTAATCCGTTCAAAAGCCCCAACAGCCCTCTGAGGCTGTGCGTTAGTTTTCCCCTGGGGCATCTATCTTTCTGAGGTGAATCTCTCAAACAAACCTCAGCTTCTGCCGCTCCTCCTCTTCCTGATCAACAGAACGCTTCCACTGGAAGTGAGCCGTGATGGCACTCTGATTGTGGATGACCACGCATCTTTGGTTTGACAGCGTGACGGAAGTCTTCTCAACCGTCAAGGAGCTCTTGTCAAGCCTGATGTTGACATTTACAGCTCTTCCACAAAGGCTTTTGTGAACATCTTCACCTGGAACAAAGCAAAGGCAAGACTCAGCTCATCTCACTCGCTGATGGAAGTACAAGGAACAGAGCAATCTGCAGGCAACGGAAGAAAGAGCTGCAGCTTTGAGCTGCATCAGCAGTTCCCCGCACCTGGACATACATCATATCCTGACAGCTGCACACGGTACAGCATGAGGATGTCCTAGCACCACCTTAGGCACCTTATTCTGGGGGGGTGTTCGTGGAGGTTTATCCCCAAGGTGACAGCATTTACAGTGAGACTTTTCACTTCTGCCCAGCTGCCTTTGGGCCGCCATCCCACTCAGCTCACAGGGAATTCTACATCCAAGTCACTCAGTGACGCTGAGGACCCTCACCTCAGTCAACCCTTGCCCACGCTCTCCTGCAGGCAGGAGATGCCCCCGTGTCGTCTCATCCTCATCTCCTGGTCCTGAAAGATTGGGCAGAGCTCTCATCTCAGAATCCGAGCGGGAGCATTTGAAATGAAATGGAGAAGGGAAGAAGGAACAATGGAAAGCACAGAGCAGCTTCTGTGCTGAGCTCTGCACTTAAAAGGGTGCTACTGGGCCCTCAGATCCACCTGCCAACTCCTTCTTTTGCTCCTGCTACTCTCACAGCCGAGTGCCTCACCACTGCCAGCACGTCCTTCCTTGTCAAACGTGCTGCTGTTACCACTTCACCACTGGAGAAGTGAGTCCCTTCACTAGGGTAAGTGTCCTCTGGAAAGCTGGAGACTTCCAGCACCAGAGCAACACGCACAGCAGCACAGCCATTTCAAAGTGTTTCTCCAAGGTGGTCTTCACAACCTACCTTCAGACATCATTACCCCCCTCACATTACTGACTCCAGCCCTAGCAGCAGCTTGTTCATAAACCCCACCATTAAATAACTGCTGCTAACATGGGGGTTTCTACAGAATCATTCCCAGGCTACAGCAAAGCTCAGAGCACCCTAATGGCTACCGCTGCCACAGTTACTGCTCCTCACGGTCACAAGTCCTCAGCATGGCCCAGCTCTCAGCACAGCACCCACTGCACCCACGCGGCACATCACAAGAAGAGGGTCTCTACCTCAAAGGCCTTGCCAGGAACTGTAACACAACAGATCGGGATGAAAAGCAATGACCAGTCAGGAGAGCTCTACGGGACAGGTTGCAGGCTCTTCAGACAGCTCTCCTGCACGTTAAAAGCCATCTCCTTTTCAATCAGGCTCCTTGCTATGCACCCTTCTGCAATGGAGCACTCAGAATATTCACCGTCGCCCCCTGTGCACCGTGCTTAGGAAGATCTGCCGGCCTTGTTACAGGCTGAAATAGTCCAGCCCAGGAATATCTGGCAGCCAGCATGGAAGCTTTGCTCTACCCAGTGTGAAGGAGCCTTGCAGAAGGGATTCAACGGACAATGAAGCCATCAGATGATGACAGACAGCGCAGACACCGCTCTGTTTGGAAGGACACACAGAGGGTGCACCACGCACTTACCTGTGTCATAATGAACTATCATGGGACTGGAATAAACACCGGTCTTTGGCGGGTGAAATTCCACCGTGACTTGCATCGCTTCTCCAACGCCAAGAGTCCCAATGGAGGGATCCACAGAGAACGGGCTGCAAGGCAAAGAGAGAGATCAGGACTGTACGGGAGATCTGGGCCCTCCGTTAATTTTGCAGTCCACCTCACTTCAGCTCACTTGTGCAAGCAAGGAGCAAGCAAACCACCGTCGGTACAACAAAACCAGAACATCCAGGATCAGAAACAGAGCGGGTGACTCTCCCTGCTGAAGAGAACCAGACCTCAGAAGATCCCGGGGCATAACATGACCTCAGGCCCCCATACTCTGCACCCAGTTCTCAGTTCTCAGCTCTCCACCTCTGCACACGTGCAATCCAGTTACTCAGAATTCCACTTTTTTGTGGAGTTCACTTCAAACTTCTGTAATGCTTCCCATTTCTTTATTGCAAATCGGGACTGAAATAGTTCATTGCTGAAGTTGGGGAACTCCTAAAACCCTTGTCAAGGAGCTCTCGACACACGCTCTAGCACCCAAGCGAGTAGTTGGCAAGTGCATTGCAAATAGCAGGTCTTGGAGTATCTTTCACCTGCACCCTCCCTAGCTTTCTGGTTTGGGCTGTAGTCCAGTTCTGAAGGCACTGCCTGCTCCTCTCCACTTCAGAGCTCCTTCTGCTTAGGCATATTTGGTCCCAGGCATCAGACCAAGCCCACGGGAAAACAAAGTCCCCGCACCACACACTCGTATTGCCAGGGCCTCCACAGCAATTGCTTTCATCTATGATCTCTGCTTGCTAATGTAGACACAGCTGCTGATGAACTCTTCAGTGCCTCTCACCAGCTCATTGCTCGCCCATTTCTTGATGCTGCGTTTGGCCTCCGTGACCTGAGCCCCTCGAGCTCTCCTCTGCCACGCAGCACCTTCTTCAGCAGTCAAGCTGCCTTCCTACCTTGGCTCTTCCAATCTAACAGCATCAGACCTGCAAGATGCTGCCTTGGAGACACCACTGCACTGTAAAACTTGCTTGCAGAGCTTTCTCAAAACACTCTAAGCAATGGCAAACCCCACGGATCCTGCCCATGTCCAGCACCTCAGATACTCTGCCTCCTTTTTCTCACTGTTTACAACTCCATGACCACGCAACAGCGTCTGCACAAGACATGAGCTCCTTTACCTCAGAGTGGTGATGCTGTAGCAAGCCTCCCGATTCCCCACGTTGCGCACCAGCAGAGTTTTCTGGGTGCTGAACCTGACTGGACAGTTGGAGAAGTTCAGCTGCTCAGGGAAGTCCAGGCTGGCTCGGGCACCTATGGCTCGGATAGGCACAAAGAACTTCTCCCTCTCTGTGATGATGATAAGCTCGTCGAAATAATCCTGCAGGGAAAGAAACAATCTCAGCACAGTGCCTTTAGCACCATGCCCATGGCAGAAGAAGAGCTGCTGCTTTCTGGGACTCTCGCAGTAGCATTCCATAATGCACTCGCACTTTTTACCTTCATGGCCTTTCATGACACATTATTGCACAAGCAGGGGCAGCCAGGGACCATGGGGCAGGTCCTCTTTAGTTTTCTATAGGCATGCTGCTTGAGGATTGCACAGAGTATTCAACTACATTTAAGCAGCAAACAGAAGATGAGTAAAAGGCCATGCACAGACAGCAGACTCTCGGCCCTGAAGCCAACAGACATTACCTTAGATATTCCACCACGGAAGGAGAAAACAGCCTGAAACTGGCAAGAGCCTCCAGCCTACGGGAGCACAACCTTCACCACCAGGAAAGAGTCTCCCCCACGTCTAGATCCAGTGCAACCCTACTGAACCCAGCACCAGTTCTTCAAAACACACACCAGATGCCTGCTTTGGAATCCAGCCCTGCAGGTTCCCCTTCCCCTCAAGGCGCCATCTCTCGAGACCTTCAGTCTCACCTTGTTCTCATCAGGTCTGAAAAGGATGCGGTAGGTTGAAGACATGCCCGGTGCTACCTTATAGTCCTCATCACTCGGGCTGATCAACTCGAAGTAAGGAGAGTTCCCCAGGATGACGTTCAGCAGACGAGGAACCTGCAGGAAAGACACAGAACTATGATTTTGTCGCTTGTGGAAACATGAGAAGGGACCAGGACGGGCCACGTGCCATCCTTCCTTACCACCTTTCCAAAACACTTTTAGCTCTGCGTAACGCACAAGGGTGGACTTGAATCCCTTCTGCTTAGCTACATAGCTGCAGGACAGAGGCCGTAGGAACAACATGCCCTGCTGTGAAGGAAGCAGGAAGGAGATGCAGTACCTCAAGTCATTCAACAAGCCCAGAGAACATGCCTGCTTCTGCCTGCACACACCCGTGCAATCATGCCTCTGGAGGCGGAATGTATTATCTGAAGGCAACCCAGCGTGGGTTATACGGGGGGGGGGGGGGAGGGGGCGGGAAGGAAGTCACTTCTGACACACCAGCGTGGAGTGCGGCGGTCAAGCTGCGGTGCTACTCATGGGGGTGGACCAGCAAGAGAAGGAGACCACAAACACTCTGGCCTTCCTGAGAATAAAAGCTTACCTCAAGAGCAACCATCCCCAGGAGGAAGCAGATGGCAAAGAGAATTTAAAGGGGGCTGCAAAGCAGCAAGGGAGATCCATAACAAAAGGAAAGGCTGGTGCAGAGATGAGAACTAACGTGCCTGTATGAACCCCCACAGGCCGTGCCTACCAATGATGGTCCTCAAAGGCACTTTCTGCTTTGAGATAGGTGGCCAGCACTGCCTCACACTGTGGTGGCTTCATCACCGAAAGCCACCCTGAGCTCTCTGGAGGCTCTTGCTGCCTGGGGACTGCAGCCAGGCCTCTGCCAGTGCAGGAGAGCCACATTTCTGGGTATCCCTCCTCAGAGCCAGCCTTTCCTGCAGGCATCCTGCTGCAAGTGTCTGTCCTCTGCGATACCACAGGCACGGGGACAGCAAACAGGCATTCTCTAGCACACAGGCAGCAACCCCCCAGCACCCAATCCCAGCTCATAAAGTATAACAAGGAGACTTTGAATGACAGGCAGCTCCACTGATGAACACACGAGGCTTGGAAAAAAGGGAGGCTCATTCTGCACCCCCGACCCAAGCCTCATAACCCATGGCCAAGGCAGCCCTGGACGCTCTAAACACCCTTTGCTCCCAGCAATGCCCTGGGGCAGACAGCTCCAGGAGCCCATTTCCCACTGCAGCCACACGTTCCGGTCGCCAAATCCCTTGGCACGTGAGCCCAGGTGGCAAAGATCTTCAGCAGGAGCCACCCAGGGCACCTCTTGAGGGTGGGGAGGAGCAGCCTGAAGACAGGAAAGCAATTCCACAGCAAGTAGGCAAGAGCACTGAGCAGAGAGCGAAGCACTTCCGTACTGGAGTGATTACAGAGCACCTACTGGGCTCCATTACACTTTGCCTCTCCTACACTTTGCTGCTAGCTGCAGTTCTAGGGAGCAGACAACCTCAGCACCAGGCAGGATACATCAGTAGGACTCAGAGGAGTCTGGGGAACTCCTGAGACAGAGCGCAATGGTCCTTTTCTCCAGGACATGACCAAAACCCAGCAAAATTAGAACATGATACGCTCTCTTGGCATTATCATCTCTAGCTTTGCGCATTTAAAGATGACAAGGCTTTTCCTTAGAGCTGATCTTCCTTTTACACCAGGGCCGTCCAATGCCTGAGGTCGTACTAGCTTCACAACTAATACATTTGGGCTAAAATCAACAGTTCACACACTGCCTCCCCTTCACAGGGCATAGAAATCCCAAGCTGCAGCTGTACCCGCCTATTACGTTTTATTGGGAATGGCACCAACATCAGTGCAGATGTTGTTTTCCACTTGGGAAGCACGAATAGAGCAAATTCACTGCTTGCCTCTTCGCTGCTACTTGGCAAAGGCAAACATTCTGCGGTGCTGCATGGATGAGGGAGCAGCTGAAGCCAAAAGACACAGTGGGAATGAAGCAGAGCAGTAGGAAAAGAGAAACTGAGGCCCATTTTAATAAGCAAAGGCTACACCTACAGCAAAGATTGCCCAAAGTCACTGTGAAACACACCACTGGTGTCCCTTGGGCATAGGTAGCCACGCTGCAACTTCCCAGTATTCCCAAGCTATACCAGGAACGATACACAACTCTCTGGGGGTAACTGAGCGACCATACCTTCATCCTTTCTTGCCAAAGGGTCTTCCATGCTCCACCACGTCCCTGTAAAACCTGTTCTCTCAGGAGATAACTTTGACTTCTCTTGCTCTTCCTCCCCCTACATTAAGCCCTGACAGTGTCACTCCTTTTGTCCCCCTCTTTGTTTCTCCCAACAGGGGGATTTGAGGAGGGGGTTAATTCACCTGCACACTTCCACCTCCCCCGTGCCCTCCTCTCACGCACACATCTTGCTCTTTCTTACGCAACAGGAGCTTGAATTACGCCTGTTTCTGACCTTTCTCTGCTTCCAGCACACTTCCTGTTACGTACCGAGAGAATCCCTGTGTGGAAGAAAGTGCTCCGGGACAGGACACTCAACTCAGCCCCTTTCCTCCCTCCTGTCTTTTCCCATCAGCTTGCTCTTGGCACATGCCTCTCTGGAGCAAATGTTTCCCCAACTGAAATTCAAAAGCTCTCCATTTCCCCCTTTACAGCAGAGCAGAACAAAATTGCTGACATTTCTCAACTTTTCCCTGCTCAAGTTTCTCAGGACATCTCCAAAGGATCACAATCTTTCCAGCTCAAGTTGGAGACCTTCTGGAGCACATTACCCTGCCCGTGCTGGGATTCTCCAAAGAGAACGCACAGCCACGCTGCCTTAGAAACACCTGAGCAGAACTGAGCTAAGCTTAGCAGGAGCCTCAAGTGGCACCTCAAGTCCTCCCCTTTAACTGCTCCTGCTAAGCCAGCCTCTTTCCACTGCTCTTCTGAAACACCCGGCCTGGAGTGCTAATGCCAGCAGTTACAACTTACTCCAGCACAAAGTGGAGAAGACTCAACCCCTGTGCTGTGACAGGGAGCTGCACACACGTGGCTGAACAGGCTGAGAGAGGGAAACATGCCCTGCCAGAAACCAACATTAACCAAGGAGCCAGCGGGATACGCTGCGCACTCGAGGTAAAGCATGACAGCAGGCAAGAACTGCACAGCCCTCGACATTCCCATCAGAGCAGGGCTTTCAAGGGCAAGCACGCTGGCTCAAAAAACTCCTTTGGCTTAGATACCACCAGTGCACGGCCAAAACCAGCGGCAGAACCCCCAGCACGGGAACATTTCCCCCATTTGCAGAATAACGCTGGTGAGACACTGGATTCTGCATGCGATGTGCTGCAGCAGGTAACTTGCTCTGCTGCACACCGTGTGAATTCCACTGCTCTCCTCCTCCAGCCCAGTGCTCAACCTCCACAGCCCAGCACTTACCCTGTCCGTGTTCCTCAGAGCTAGCGCCGCTATGTAGAACTGCTGGGGAACGTAGTTCTCAAACACCACCTCGGATGGGAAAGGCTGGAACAACCTCTGGTCCACGTCAACTGCTGACAACTGCAGACGCAAGACAGAGCAGAGAGAGCTTCAGCTGCTGGCAGAAACATCGACGAATGAAGATCCCACACTGATCTCCGGTAAATACAATCTCTTGGCGAGTACATCTGCCCAGCTCACACTAGGAGATGGCAGCTCACCCACCTCTGCTCTCAGCTGAGCAAAGCTTTCTGGACCAGCTTGAGCAGCCTCAAGCTAAGAAGCTCTTTTGGAGGCTGTTTCTCCACGTTGCCTTCTCCAAAAGGAAAAGCAGCGCTCACCTCCAGCAGAGCCCTCTGCTAAGGTGCTCACTCAGCTCCAGACACTTCCTGGAACAGCCACGAGCACTCGGGGAGCAAGCAAAACCCACGAGTTTCCATGGGCCTCCACAGGAAACAATTTGCGGGTGAACTTCCCCCTGACGCAGCAAGACTGAGTCCCACGCATCCCAAGTATCTTTTTTTTGATGTAGAGCCCAGAAACCAGTTGCAAGACACCAGTACCAGGGAGGAAAGGCCAACAAGAAAGTAACAGGGCAGTCGGGAAACAGACAAATGAGGTGAATGCTGGATGGGGATGAAGTTCAGCTCTTTCCCCAGCATTACTGGGCAACTGGAGCTAGACTGTAATTCGTATCCCCTTTCCCCGTGAGCTTGAAGTTGATGCTTCTCTGTATTCTATTACTGCTGGTTTATTTAATACTGCTGCAGAAGCAGCTCTGAAAAAATACACACAAAGACCAAACGCTGACCCAGCAGAGGCATTACTTGCAGATAATTCCTCCCTGCTTGCTCTCCCCTCTCCCAGCTGCACTGCTGCCACTCGAGAGACACAGGCAGGTCTCCTGCTTCTCCACGGTCAGGCTGAGGCCAGTAGCTGTAGCACTGCCAGTCATTTGGGCGCCCGTCTTACGTGTTCCCACCTCGTGCGCTGTCTGGGGCAACCCTTAACTGATGTGATACAGGTCTCTTGCTGGCAACTTTCTGCTCAACAGCCTACCTCAGTCATGCACCCACCTGGACTGTGTGTTAGAATGAGCAGTCCTGCAAGAAAAGCAGCTTTAAACATCCATCTAGGAGAGCACTGAGCCAGGTAAAGCGCATCCACTCTCCTCTGCCCAGGGCGATTCCCCTGGGTAGCCAGCAGACTGAAAACTCAAACACCCTGGAAGGGTTCCACGCCTTCTTACAAACCAAAGCATTAATGCAATTGGGTTTGTTACGGCTTAAGTAATTGCCACAGGCCCTCAGCCTTCAAAGGCCACTACTGCCACCATTGAGGGAGTCCTGTCACCCCATGCACGGGGCACTTGACTACACCAAAGCAAGAGGTGGCTGTTTGAAGAGCAGGATGAGGAACAGCAGCTCCTGCCCTTGTCTCCTGCCCCAGCCCTCCCCCACTAGCATGCTTTAGCGACGGTAGCTCAACTCCAGCAAAACCCACCAACTGCAGGAGAGCTTCCACTGGCTTCGTGCAGATAAGGACTTCAATGGCTCACTGGAGAAACACGGTTTGCTTTTCCCCCAGCAGAAAGAACTCCACCACCACCAGTTGGAAATGACAACAGGACCTAATCACCAAGCTGCTCGGGTGAGCTGGAGGCAAGCCTGCCCCAAGCACGTGCCCTCTTCAAATGTCACATCAAACAGCAAGGAAAAGGGCAGGGAAAGGCTACCTTTTGATGGGAGACGTCACCCACGTCCCGAAGCTGGAGAGGCCGGCGCCGCCTCATCTCCCGAGGGCTGGCCAGCCTCTGCTTGCTGCTGAGAGACTCTTCTGCCTCTCTGACCACCTTTGGATTACGAGATGCTACCACTCTGCTCTGGAATCCATCCGCCCTTCTGGAGGACCTCAGGGGCCGCGGGGTCTTGCCACTGGCCATGTCGCAGAGGTCACCTGGAAGAAGCAACAGTTGGACAATCCACAACCCCAGAACCTTAAAACCCTGGACCCGTGGAACCCCGCAACCTTAGGGAAGGGCCCTTAAAACTCACCCAGTTCCAACCCCCTGCCACGGGCAGGGACACCTTCCACTAGACCAGCTTGCTCCAAGCCCCTGTGTCCAACCTGCTCTTGAACGTTGCCAGGGATGGGGCAGCCACAGCTTCTCTGGGCAACCTGTGCCAGGGCCTCGCCATTCCTCGCACACCCAAAGGACTCAGCTGTGTCTCCAGCCTCTGGCATCCTTCCTAAGCAGAGAACACGGGGCCTCCCCACCCTCACTCATCATTAGACCATATTTAGGCTCCAGTCATAGACGGAAAACCCCACAACAAACAGCCCCTGAGCCAAAACAGCCTTTTGCTCTGGGGGCACTCCCACCAGCCACAGAGACACTCCAGGGGCTGCTGGCACTTCTCACCCTTTCTGCAAGGAGCCTGCTCCTGTTTCTAACTAACGCAGCACACAGCTCAAGACCCTGATTAAGAACTAGAGTTTCTCAAGGCTACTTTGCCTGCTTGAAGGTACAAAGGTTATCTGGCAAAAAACACCTCCTTCCAGGCATCAAATCACCCCACTGCCCAAGAGCATTTCTCTGTGTCAAAGGACGCCCTCATTTCCGCTTCTTAACACCCAAACTCGAGGCTTCCTACAGGCATTCCAGGCTGTCACAGCAGGAAAAAAGCAGGAAACCATCAAAGGCACATGAGCAATTAGCTCAAATCTAAGTAAAATCCAGGATGATATTCCCTCCCGCTTCCCTGTGTTCCACATCACCTCTCTTGCGTGCACTTACTGCGCACACACAGCAAGACAGCATCTAGGCAAAGATGGCCATTCCCTGCCCCTCGACTGTTCCCCACGCTCTGCAAGGCAATGCAATCACCTCATTCCTTTACTCCCAAGGCAGCTACAGCACTGCACGTGTTTGTGGTGCTGGGCCCTTCCCAGCTTCAGGAAACAAGGCTACCGTTCCCTTTTGTTCTTGCAAGAAACACCAGAGCTCTGCACCGCCCTATGGACAGGAGGCCCTGCTGCAGCAAGAGCTGGGATTTAGAGGTGGAAATAACTCCTTTTCAGGGGAGAAACCTAACGGGGATGATCCAACATTGATCTGGATTTGAGTGGTTTCTTACCGGGTCTTGAGAGTAACGGGCTCATTCGTTCCAATTCTCCAAACTGTGATTTCACTTCACTTGAAAGGAAACCTGTCGTCACCCCCACAACGCTTATTTCCAGAGGGCTTCCAACCTCCACATCCCAGCCAGCCCAGCAGCTTCCCCCCGAGCCCTGGAGCAAGGCTCTTCCACAGCTGCAGAGCCCGCAGGGACCAACCTCCCAGAGGAGCAGGAAAGGAGCACAACGGAGCAACGGGGCACATCTCCGTGCAGGGGCAGGACAAAGCAGCAACCAGGACACAGCACCCCTCCAGCCCCCCCCGCCCCCTGCCGTGGCTCCCTGCTCCCCACCTCAGACAGCCAAGGCTCCCTTTGCTGCAGGACCTACAGCCTAGCTCCAAGTCTCTACCATCACTGCAAGCTGCACGGCAATTGCAGAGCCCCTCCAAGCCCTTCTACTTGCCCAGCCCTGCTCTTAGCCCAGGGACATTTAAATCCTGCCGGCTATCACACAACTGCCCCATCCCTGCTGCCAACGGAGCCGCCTTCTCCCTGCTGCCCAGGGCCAGACGCTACCTGAGGACGGGTGATTCACGCTTCTCCTGGAGGATTCCTCCGGGCAGGGCCCAGCCTTGGCTCCTGAATGCCCTCGCGCTGCTCGGCAGCTGTGGGCAGCTGGAGGGACAGGAGCTGCCCAGGGACGCCTCGGGGTGGCTGTTGCCCACCAGCACAGAAGATAACTGCTGCTGGGCTGCCAACAGCCAGGGGAACCTGGGCAGCAAAGGACAGGGCGTGGACCTGGGCTGCCCAGCCCCTCTCCTCAATGCTCTGCCTTTGCCACCTAGGGCAGGCTTTCACCAGCGCCTCGAGGAAGCAGAGCTCAGAGCCTCACAGTAGCTCAAGCCTGCTCCTGTCTCAGCGGCTGAGCAACTCCTGCTCTGACTGCGCCACGGCTGCTGCTCGCATTTAACAGCAGCAGCTCCCCTCTACGTCACAATAGGCGAGCTCCACACGCCCTGTCAAGAAGGTGCTCACCCCCCCGCACCGCTTCCACACCAAGGCCGCCACCACTTGTGGCTCTGGCATTTCTCCAGCTCCAGCCTGGAGTGGGGACCGTGCTTCCTGCCTCCAGCTCTCTCGCTATCACTCTCGGCCACCTTGTCTCTCCTCTGCTGGCTTGCTTCCACGGCCACTGCAGGGCCTTGCTAAAGTTACAGCCTCGCAGATCCCTGCAGCGCCCCCCTACGCCTTCAAGGTCTCCCCGCAGTGAAGGCCTGCAGCAGGATTCAAGTGCACCTCACAGCAGCATTTCTTCACGCTCCGTCAGCGTCAGATCACTTGGTTTATACACTGCAGAGGAGACAATCATTTCTCTGCTTCAGGAGGAAAGAAAAAAGCCTCCACACTAACTACAAAGCAACGATTTCATTCCGACTTCGCTGGCCCTGCTGAGCACCCATCGATGACTTTGGACCCATTAAGCCTGCGCACACGGGCACACGCACCAGCCAAGGCCACCCAACTTCCCGGGGCATCTCAGCTGCCAGGAGCTTCACACGTTTGCCGCACAGCGTTTGCCGGAAACAAAAGCTATCCGTGAGACTCTCGGCCACACGCAAAGCAAATCCTCACATCGGCTTGGCGGGGAACGTGGAGCCCTCAGTTTGAAACCAACACGCACCAGCTGGGGCTTTACAACCCACTCAGGGAGGATAGGAGCCCCGAGTGCTAACTGGCTCTCCAGGCAGCCAGCCTCTGGAAACACTCCAAAACATGTCCCGCATGAACGTGTCCAGCCACGAATCCAGGTGGAAACTGGAGAGCTCAGGCAAAGACACCTCAGGTGTGGCACCCTTGTGTGCTGAAGGCACCAAGACAGAAGCTCTCTAAGGAAAGGAAACCTGTGACAAAAGCTCTACCACAGCTGAGATAATGAACAGGAGACCAGTAGTAGAGCTTCCTGCTATTTCTTTGATAACCTTCAACTGCCAGCCGACACTGAGACAGCCCAAGCTCCCTTCAAGGCTCTGCTGGAGGCTCCCCCGCTCCACATGCCACCATTCACAACTGCGCCTCCTGCCTTCAGTCCTTACACTACTACTGTCCCTTCCCACCTGCCTCTCCCGGCGTCTGCTCTCCGGATCCTGACTTTGCAGCTCCCTTTTAACCTCTTTTGTCCTGGCACCTGGATGTCATTTCAGAGACTCAAAGAGTCATTTAGCTTGGAAAAGACCCTTACGAGCAAGTCTAACCCAGTGTTGTGCTTTAAGGCCAGACGCTAAGTCAGACCCATGCAGCCGCTCACTCACTGCCCCCCATCCCAGCTCAGGCTCCCCCGAACACCAGCTCCTTCGCACCCAGCACTGCCAAGTCCACCACTAAACCCTGGAGCACCGCATCTACGGGTCATTTGAATGCCCCCAGGGATGGTGACTCCACCACAGCCTTGGGCAGCCTGTTCAGGGCTTGACAGCCCTTTCTGGGAAGGAATTTCCCCTAATAGCCAACCCAAGGTTTTCTTTTCCCTTCACACTAGGAAACCATTTAACCCAGCAGCTGCAACCCTTTGTGTAAATTTCAGAACATTCAAGAAGTTACTCCCAGTTCGGGGGGAATCTCTGACACGAGCAGGGCAGCAGCCGAGGCTGTGACTGCCAGCAGACAGTGCACACAAAGATGGGTGCATTCGGGACGGAGGTTCAGGCCCAATTCCGCAAGGTACCACGTCTCACTTTAAACAAGAAAGGGGACAGATGTCAGGGGCACTGAGAACTCTGCACTTACAGAATGGTTCGACAGTCGCTCCTGGGGCTGACACTGCCTTCACCCTAACTGCCTTGGCCTCGTGTCTCCACTGGCAGCTAAAAACCATCTAAGTCACCACGATACTGAGGACAGAAACATCCTTCAGTACCCCCACACTGCAGGACCAGGGCTTAGTCAAAGTCACACAGGCAGAGCAGGGCTCAGCCTCTCTTCCCTCACACCCAGCTCTTCTCCCCCTCCTGCCAGGGCCTTCTCCATGCCACCCAGCACCACAGGACACTACAGGCTAGGGAGTACAGGGTCCTCCTCTCCTCCTCCCGAGATACAGAGCTTCCTTCAGAGCCTGAGCAGCAGCACCTACAGCCCAGCAAGATCCTCCCATGGTCAGCTCCAAGGGCCACACTAAGTGCCACAGGCGCTCCTTCCCTCCACCTTCTCCTGACCAAGAGAAAAAACAGCAAGCACGGCCTTTACCTGCTCCATCACAGCTTGCTTGGCATTTGCAGCTTCAGACATCCCCTGGCAGCTCCATTTGCAGCAGGACTGCTCTCCTTGGCTCCTGCCTTCACAGCAAGCTGCTCATCCACAGCAGGGCTACCACTTCTGCTGCGAGGCACCTTCAAACACCAGCATGTGCTTCTGTGATTGGAAGCAAGGGAGAGAAAGATCAGACCAGGAGACACAGGGAGGGGACAAGCCCAGCCCATGACGGGCCTTTCAACCTGAGCCCACAGGAGCACTGGGCACAAGCCCAGCAGCTACCAAGCCCCACAGGCTCTTCAGAAGCTGTGAAAGGAGCAGCTTGCCTTATTTCTCACTTGTGAAGCACTGCAGGGACAGGCCTATCTCTTGCTGCTCCCAGGCAGCTAGGGCAGCTCCCTGCAGCACACACGCTGTGCTGAGAGCTGCTGGGCAGGCTGCAGGCACCAGCCCTGCTGTGCAAGGAGCTTCCAAACTGAAGCAGGCACCAAGAAATAAAAGCAAAGCTGAATGTGGCTTTACCTGCTCCAGGCAGGTGCCTTCACAGGCCCATTACAACCATGCAACAGCCACAACCCTCTCAACTCAAGCCAAACCCCAAAGCAATCGCTGCTCGCTGAAGAAGGGACCACTGCATTGCCTTTTGCTTAGCCAGCTCTTTGACTGCATTTGTACCTGAAAGTCTTTTGCCAAAAAGACTGGGAGTTTTGTCAAAGAACAGCCCTGCAGAGGCTCTCCTGGGCTGCAACCCGAGCCAGGGCTTTGATTTTAGAAGACAAGACAGCAGCCACACCCAAAACCACACAAACAAACAAACCAAAGAAAGAGGATAAAAAGATGAAAAGACAGGCACCCAGTGGGTCAGGAGCAGCCACCTTGGCAACTGTGACCATCGACACAAGCATCTCTGACTTTCAAGGCTCAGAGCTGCAGGACAGACCCACTCGATCTGGAGCCGTCAGCCTCACTGCAGGGGTTTTGTTTCCCATTACAAGGTCTGTTACAGGAGCAGCTCAAGGGGGTGCAGGTTTCATTTGAGCAGCCTCTCCCTGCCAAGGATGAAAGCAAGGACCCCAGTACCCCATTGGTGACTTCCTCTCACACTGGGAAGTCTTCTCATTAAAAGGGAAGAGAGGGGATGGATGGAAACGGAAAAGGAAGCCGGAGGCTGCCAGCCACTGGCCCATCCTGACTCCATCCCTCTCCCCACTGCAGCAGGAGCACAACTGGCTGCTCTTGGAAGGACAACAAGGCCATCGGGAGACAAGGAGGATTTCAGGTGGGCAACAGACAGCAGGAGCAGACGAAATCTTGGTCAAGAAGAGCTCCTTTTGTCAGGAAAGGACAGTCCTTTCCTGTCTGCCATCAGGAAAGACGACACATGAGGACTGTCTGGAAGCCTCCCGTCCCTGCAAACAGCAAGGGGTGCTTGTGCTGGCCCAAAGAGCCACGATGCCCAAAGCCTTTCTTTCCAGCATGCCTCTGCCTCCCAGCACCAGCAAACCCTGGAGCAAAGTCCCTGTATGGGAGCTGAGATCCCCAGCAGGGCCTGCAGGAATCTCACGCTCCCAGCTCCCAGCCTGTAGCTCGGGTATTCCAGCATTCCAGGAAGCCTCAGCACACCCAGGTGATGTCCTAATCCCAAGAACATAAGAGAAGCTTCACAGAGCCACCACCCTTCCTGTGGGGGTGGGCCTTTGCTTCATTCCTGTCCCCAGGGCAGCCCTGCAAAACTCTCCCTTACAAAGCAGCACAGGGACTCCAAGAGCAGGGGAGGTGGATGGACCAAGGGTGACACAGCAGGTGACAAATTTGCGCTTGTCTAATTACAGCTCTGCCAGGCACCAGGCAAGGGGGTTGATCTCACAGGGAACCAACTTTCCTACCTGTGAGGCAAGGCCAGCCCTACCTGCTTGGGAGCAGCAGAGTCACAAGGGCTGGCAAACAACTCGCACCCAACACAGTGCTGTGGGTACTACGGAGAGCCTGATCTACCCCCTCTCTCTGTAATCAGCCTCTCTAACACCTCAAACAACATACGCAATGAGCTTTCGTAGCAGAAAACGGTATCTTTTACCAGACTAACTCACTGGGAGCAACAAGCATGGCTGACAAACCTTAACTTACCTTTCAGCACGCTGCCTGGACCAACATGTCTTTAAAACAGGTGCCTGCAGCAGTCCTGAAGGCAGACAGAAAAGCACCTCAGCTTGGCGGGTAGAACAGACGATAATGCGCAGGAAAACTAACGTCTACCTTTATGACACATCAGCTTTTCTCCAGCAACTGCCTACAAGCAAGGTCTTGTCCCACGGGGGACACAAGGTTTCACAGTCCAGATCTGCTGTGGGCTTCGATGCCCATCACATCTGCAGTCAGGTTACAGCTGCTGCCTCCTGCCTCGGTCACCCACCTAAACACCTTCAAGAGGGACGTGGAAGGGCACCGAGCATCCAGCTGGTGTCTTCAGCGCCCTCTATTGATGAAGAAAACCAGAACAGGGCAAGGAAAATCAGCCGCATCAGGGCAGCCCTTTCTCCAGCCTCCCTGGCAAAGGGAGCTGAAATGCAGCTGGGGAGGAGCATCCACTTGGCAGAGAAGGATTTCTCCTCCCCAGCGAGCAGCACTTGCACGGCAGCAGACAAACTGGCTGACATCTACAGAGAGCTCTGAAGGCACAGAATCCTCTAGAAATGCCAATCCTTAGTCCTGCTCTTCCTGGCCCACCAGGCTTCTTTGTCTCCCACAAAAGCTACGAGACACCACAACTTACACACCTCCTGTCTCCCTGAGAACTGATCCTGCGCTCGTCCTCCTTGACTTCACTGTCCATTTGAGCCCACAGCACAATTTCAAGGCCTAGAAACACCAGGCACAAAGTGAAAACAAAGGGCAGGCATAGTGCACCCCTCCTGGGGACGTAGGCCCAACAAAACCCCTCTCTCGTTACCGTCATCATCCAGGTAAGCCTGAAACAGCTGCTCCTGAAGAGAGAAGCAACACAAGCACCTCCCGCCACATCCCTCCAAAGCCCTGCTCGGTCCCTGCTGCCACCATGGGCTCCCTCTGCCTTCCCAAATTCCCCCCATGACATCCCCGCTGCCCCAAGTCTACCTACAGGTCCATCTGGCAGCTTCACAGCACAGCAGTTGTCTTGCCAGTGAAAGTCATTCGTCTAGAAGAGAAAAGGCAACCAGCATCTGCTTCCCCAGCAGCGCTTGCAGCCGACAGGAATACTGCCACATTTCTACATGCTTTAGAATGCTTCTTTCCTCTCCCTTTCACTCCTCAAAGCACACCACATGGGTCATCGGCAGGATCAAGCACAGAACCACGCCAAAATTCAGGTGAAAGAGACTTTGCGTGTCCCCGGCCTAACGCCTCCGCACAAACGGACTGTGCAGGGATGTGTCCAGCAATGTGAAATCTCTCCTAGCATGGACATTCCCTGCTTCCCGGAATCACGTAAAACTTTCATCTCCCTTTACAGTTACCACACAGTCACGGTCGTCCTCAACCTTAGCACAGCCAAACGACTCTAAACATGGCACAAAATCAGTGAAAACAAGCAGCACATCTCTCAGCTTTAATGCAACTCAGAACAAAATCCCCACAGCATTTTCACTCAGAGGAGTACCCAATTCATCCAAGCCTCAGGCAACTGATTTCAAAATGTTACGCTGGCTCCAAAAAAACTTCTGGTTTCAGAAAAATCATGTCGCTCACAGCTAATCACCGGGCCTACATATCTGTCCTTCACTGGAAACCTGCAACAGCAGGGCTGCAAAACTAAACTGACCTCAAGTTTGCACGACTCTCGGGCACATCACAACCGACTTATACTGAGACACTTCATCAGCTTTCACCCCAAACCACATTTGCCAAAACCTGGCAGCCTCAGCGAAGGTGGGAGTCATCAGACGATCTCCCCAAAGTTAAACACGTTCCTCCTGTGCTTCCTTACATATGCCAAAAGTCACAACAGAAATTAAGTGTCACTTCTCTCCGAAACCTGGGCTCAAAAGAGAGACAGGACAAAGCAGCATTCTCACCATTAAAAGGACAAGTGCCATTCCTAACTTTGAAACTCCTGCCATTAAGCAGTAGGCATAATAATAACAATAATCATAACAGACGCGCCAAACCGCATCCTTTATTGTTAACAGAAGGAGCAGCTGCTATCAAAGCATCCTTTCTCCCATCACCTCCCTGTGTCTGCCAAGAAAAAAGCTCCAGCCTATATGGGGCATCAGGACCCACCGGACATGCATTTCCTTCAGTTTAGAGACCTGCCTTTGCGCGGAAGGGTGCGCACACATTTTTGGGGGGATACTTCCAAACAGCTGGATTCCAGTTCCCCACCAACTCAGTCCACGGGATCTTGATGTGCACAGTCAGAGAATCGGAGAATCAGAGAATAGTTAGGGTTGGAAAGGACCTTAAGATCATTTAGTTCCAACCCCCTTGCCACAGGCAGGGACACCTGGCACTAAACCGTGTCACCCAAGGCTCCGTCCAGCCTGGCCTTGAACACTGCCAGGGATGGAGCATTCACCACTGCTTTGGGCAACCTGTGCCAGGGCCTCACCACCCGCACAGTGAAGAATTTCTTCCTTCTAGCTGACCTGAACTTCCTCCAGTTCACTTTAAGCCCATCACCCCTCGTCCTGTCGCTACCGTCCCTGACCAAGAGTCCCTCCGCAGCATCCTTGTAGGCCCCCTTCACGTACTGGAAGGCTGCTATGAGCTCTCCACGCAGCCTTCCCTTCTCCAGGCTGAAGAGCCTCGACTTTCTCAGCCTGTCTTTGTACAGGAGCTGCTCCATCCCCCTTAGCAGCATGGCGGCCCTCCTCTGGATTTGCTCCAACAGCTCTATGTCCTTCTGTTCAGGACACCGGAAGTGTACACAGTGCTCCGCGCGGGGTTCTCATGAGAGCAGAGGAGAGGAGCAGGATCACCTCCCTTGACCTGCTGCTCATGCTGTTGGTGATACAGCCCAGGACACAGGCGGTTTCGGGGCTCAAGCGCACGCTGAAGCCGGCTCATGTTCCCACCCCCAGGTCCTTCTCCTCAGGCTGCTCTGAATCACTTCTCTGCGCAGCCTGCAGCTGTGCCTGGGATTGCCCTGACCCAGGGGCAGGAGCCTGCACTCGGCCTTGTTGAACTTGATGAGGCTGGACACCTCTCCAGCATGTCCGGGTCCCTCTGGATGCCATCCCTTCCCTCCAGCGCATCGACTGCACTACACCGCTCGGTGGCGTCAGCAAACTTGCTGAGGGTGCTCGATCCCACTGTCTGTGTCGCCGACAAAGACGTTGAACAGGGTCTGCCCCAACACCGACCCCTGAGGGACTCCATTCGTCACAGGTCTCCAGCTGGACATTCAGCCATTGACCGCGACTCTCTGTGCGCAGTCATCCAGCCAATTCCTTGTCCACCGGCTGTCCATCCAGCAAATTCATGTCTCTCCCGTTTAGAGACAAGGACGTCGTGTGGGAGGGATTTAAATGAAATTTATTTGCTCCAGAGAGCACGAACGTGGCGGGAAGGGCCGCGGGCAGCTGGTCACTTGAGGGTGGAGGGCAGGCCCCGGAGGTGGTAGATCCAGGAGCCCCCAGGGCAAGAGACCACCAGCCTGCTGGTGACAGGAGCCCGGCCGCCCCTGAAGGAGACGGTGATGGTGGTGCTGCTCTTGGCGCGCAGCATCTCGGGGGCCCTGACGGTGAAGGCCGGGTGCTTTACTGCATACTGGAACGCCGTGGCCTTCGGGAAGACGTTCCTGAAGGAGATGGAGGTGGAGCCGCCGGCTGGGATGAGGAAGGGGCCCTGGGCTTCAGGGGGCAGTGCAAGGCCGATGAGTGGGATGCGGTACTGCCCGCCCAATGCGGAGCTGAGCTGCAGCGTGGCCTTGGCTTCGCCCAGCTGGCAGGGCTCAAAGGTCACTTCCACGCTCAGGTCCGAGCCCCCAGCGCCAGCAGGTGCCGCACTGATGGATTTTGCCGTCTGGAAGTCGGCACAGTCGGTCTGCGCAGGGGAGACAAGAGACCATGGAGGGCGGGTCACAACAGCAGAGCCAGCACCTCGGGAAGAACACGATGGTCCCCTGGCCCTGGCCTCTCCCACCCACACCACACCCCTGGTGAGTGCCTGCCCTGAATGGGCATGACAACTGTGCAAACGTGCCCATCAGGGACAACCCTGCACCCAAGCCCCAAGACCCCTGACTGCCAGACCTGGGCTGCAAGGGGGAAGCAAGCCCAGGCACCACAGGGCCTGCAAAAGCAGCTCCGACCAGGGCAGCAGACACGCGCCCACACGGGAGGACAGTGCAGCTGGCAACAAGCCCACACGAGTGGCAAGACCCCTGGGCTCACGTGGCCACCTTGGCTCTGCCAGGCCAAGCCAGAGGCACTTGGACCCCTTGGTGGAGAGGGCTGGTGCTGGCCAGAGGAGCTGCCTGCCAGCCAGAGCCCCGGCAGCCCGGGCTCACCTGCAGCAGGTACTCGGTCTTCTGCTGGGCAAAATTCCGTATTTTGGTGGTGATGGTCTGACGGGAGCCCAGCGTGGCGCGGAAATACACGGGCTTCTCTGGCCTCTGCGAGATGGCTTTCAGCTGCAGGTTGTAAGACAGAGAGCCCAAGTCGCTGCTCTGGAGCACCAGGTGCCCGGTGCTCTCACCCGTTTTCAGGGGCTGATACTCCAAGACAAGATCCGCCTGGGAGGAAGGAAGGAAGGAAAAAGCCACTGCGTCAGGCAGAGGCAGGGAACACGCCAGCCTGAGAAGGGGGCAGCTGGTCCCTGCTGTGCTCAGGCAGTGCTGGAAGGCTGTGCCGCCTTCCCTGCTCTGATTCCCTCTCTCTCGGGCACAGCCTTGCTCCTTCTGGGAGACGGTTCACTTAGGGACAGATCCCAACAGCTCAGAGCCCTCCAGCATCATGCTAGAAGCTTCCCACCCTAGAAAGCCCCAGGGCACACACCGCCTCCTGTCAATCCAGGCTGCAGACAACCCGGCCGTGGGCTGAGGCTTGTCCTGCAGCCACTCACAGCTAGAAGCACCACACTGAACGAGGGGCACGTGGCACAAGGACCTGCCACGTGAGGCCCAGTGGCAGCGTGTTACAGGGGGCAGCAGGGCAGACTCCACCAGCGCAGGAGGATTCCCACTGGGGATATTCTCGCACCCTGCTCCCTCTCTAGATCATCGGCAGGGAGCTGCCACCACGGAAAGAAGCCCCAGAGGGCTCCTTTCAGGCATCACCCTTCAAGAGCACCCCCTCTAGCCAGGAGCAGGGAGAGCAGAGTGAGCCGGAGGAGCTTTGCTCCTACCTTCGACTGTGCAGGAACAGTAAAGTGCTGTGGAGCGCTGACATCGGGCACTTCGCAGGTGACGTCAAACGTCACCGGGACAGGCAGAGGGTTGTCCACCTTGACGGTGGAGGACACCCTCTGCCGAACAGCGGTGCTCATTTTCACAGTGCCGATGGGTCCCGAAGCCGTCACCTTGAAAGTCACCACGTGGAACAAGTACTCTCCGGTTGTCTCGTTGAGGAAGGTCACCTGAATCAGACAGAAAGGCAAGTGCTGCTCACTGCACACATGAAAATAGACCCAAAAGAGCCCAGTGAGCTCAGCGCCCTGCTTCCAGGAATGGCTATGAGCACCCACCGAGGAAGAGTGCCAGACCAGAGAAAGCACGTGTGCTATTTCATAGGACCCGTGCACACGGAGGTATGAAAAGAGGCGTGTAGCTTCTCGGTGAGCCAACAGCTCCTTGAAGGGCCCTGCAGACCAGTGTCCTCACTCACCTTTGCCCTGAAGACTCCTTCTTTGTAGGAGAAGAAGGTGAGCTGGTAGTCCTTCTTTGCAGAGCTTGGCACGTCAATGTAGGAACACCCCTGCAGCACAGAACTGCTTTCCACGTTCTCTGGTTTCAGCATGTCAATAACCACCAGGAGCCTGTGGGTGAGAAGGATGCAGTGAAGGTCAACAGAAAGGACTCGCCTAGGATACCCATCCTGTGGGGGTACAATACAGCCCCTCTCATCCTCAGTGCCTCAGGCACAGGGCGCCAGCTCTCATCCCCCTTGGAGGAAAGCCCTCCAGGATGGCTCTGCACAGGCAGAACGTGGGGATGGCCAGACATGGCCAAGGAGAGGGAAAAGCTTCCAGGAAGGCGCTTCCAGGCACTGGAAGCTTCCTTCCTTGTGCTGCTGCAGGGATTGCTGATGGGACCAGACTTCCTGGGCTGGACTCACCTCTGTGGGCTGTGCAGCCAGTTGGACACAGGGATGAGCTCCGTGTGGGAACTCCTGCATGGAACCTGCCGGGAAATGGCCCCTGAACACCGGGGGGCTTCAGCAGTTCCTTCCAGGTGGTAGCGTAAGCCTGTCCCGTCCGGCAGGGGGAAGAAGATGGAGCCCTACAGACAACGAATAGGACAAGTCGGCTCTGCAGCACCCCGGGACAGTTCCATGCCTGAGGCTCTCACTGGAGCAGCTCCAGCACCCCAGAGCCCTTCTCAACTGACCCCTTTCATTTAGGAGCTTGTCGCTGGCGTGGCACAGAAAACATTGCAGAGGGGCTAGTCACCCCCATGTGCCCAGCCTGAGACCTGCAGGAAGGGCTCCTCCCAAAGCTCCTGCATGACTGTCAAGAGATCTCTCTCGTTTCCCACCTGCCTGCTCACGGCCAGGGGGGCACTGAGAAACTGCAGGGCACCTTTGCCCTTCTTGCTCCCTGCAAGCTGCAGGACACCAGCCAGGTGGTGCTGGCAGAAGTGGTCGTGCCCAGGGCTTGGAGAGCCTGTGCAGCCTGTGCACTGAGCATGGGGGTCTCTGAGCCCCCTGGGCTGCCACAAGCAGCAACCAGGAGCTGCGCAGAACAAACTTCATTTCTTGCCCTTCAGAAAGCCTGCCTTGTTAGCTTAGCTGCTCCAACACCTGTGGGGTCACTCCCCAGTTCCCGTCTGCCCTTTGCCCGGGCCTGGCCTCCAGCCACCACAAAACCCAGCTTCCAACAGAGAGCACAGGACACCTTCAGCTTGGACAGGACCTCTGAAGGTCATCTCCTCCAGCCTCCTGCCCAAAGCAGGGGGAGCTACGAGGGTCGTGCCACCAGGCTCAGCACGCTGGCACAGCTCACGTACCTGATGCTTCTTGTTCTCAGAGCTCATGCTTAGGGGTCTGTAGGTGACCTGGTAGGCCTTTTCTTTTTGCCTGGCCTCCAGATGGATAAATTCAGGCCCTTTCCAGTACTTCCCCTCAATGATGGGCTGCAGGGTCCAGGCCTCGTTGCTTGGGTTGGAAAGGAGGATGGTCTGGCTCTGCCTCTCACGCACACTGCAGCTGAAAGTCAGGGTCTGGAACAGAGGAGCACAGAGGCTGCTGGCTCGCACCCACAACCCTTCCCACTCTTCTCACGCTGGCTCTACACCAGCACCTGGAGCACAGGGAGCAGCTTTCCCTTGTCACGTGCAAAAATTACACTTTGGCCATAGCTTTTGGAGTAAATCCAGCTGCTTGTTGTTGAAGAAGGGAGCAGAACAAGCCTTTCGCATGCTGGCTGAAAGGAAACGGGGAGTCCTGAAAGGAAACTCCAGTGCAAGGACAAGATCTGCAGCCACACAGCCCCTTCCTTCATGGGCAGGATGAAGAGGACCTCCACGCTCTCTTTGGGAGCAAGAGCCAACAGCTGCCAAGTTGCCCGCTCCCAGGGGCTGGATGCAGATGCCTTGCCCCTTCCTACTGCTGAATGCCCTAGCCCTGGCCCGGCAGGGGGGAGAAGTGTGGCTGCGGGTGCAGTGCCGGCATCCAGCGGGGTGGCTCTGTGGGGAGGGTCTCAGAAGAGCCCGGCAGGGTGTTCCCATGGCACGGATGCTGCAGTGCAGAGCCACGACAGCCCAGCTGCTCACTGCAGGAGCAGCACCTTGAACAGGGGAGAAAGGCAATGAGAGGGCTCAGGAATTCTGGCAATCCTGCCCAGCACTTTCTCTCTGGGATACTCTGGCACGAGCAAGTCTGTGCTCACAAGTGTCCTTCAGTTCCTGCCCTGCGAGAGATGTGGTGCAAATGCTGGGCTCCAGGGGCCCATCCTGTCCCTGCTGCGTTACCTCTTTGGGGCCAGGGGCCTCCACGCAGGATCCTGACAGCGTAAGCCGCAGCGCCTCACTGCCCTGGATGAAGCACCGCAGCCCCTCGTACTGGACAGCCTGGCTCAGCTTCGAGGGGCGGAAGGTCACAACGAAGGGGACATCCCTCCCTGGGCTGATGTAACCCTTCGTGGGGCTGATGGAAAAGTCCGGCTTGAAGCTCTCCACGTCCCACGTAAACCTTGCCCAGGAAAGCACAAGCACAGGAAAGAAGGATTAGCCACGGGGAGCTCTGAAGGCAGGGTAAGTCTGAGTGTGAGGCTCTAAGTCTCTTGTGGGTTTTCCCACCACATCTCAGGCCTGATGCTGAGCCACCTGGCAATAAGGCTTCAGGCTGGGCAGGACCCACTGCACCCACAGGCAAGGGGGCTTGTACCCTTTTGCTAACTTCTAGGGCCTGACTGCACGGCCATGGCTGCACAACTCTCCACCGGGATGGAGAAGCACAGGGGAACTATCTGGGCACACTACGGCCCCACACAACCCTCATCCAAGCTCTCAGCCCTCAGAGGGGGCGGGCTTCTGCTTTACCTGACTCCTGTGACGCCCGCGTTCCGCATGACCACGCGCCGCCACGTGTAGCTCTGCTGCACCACGGCTCCAAAGCTGAGCTGCTCCTGGTCCAAGCTCACGAGGCTGCCCTGGCAGGAGCCCCGCACCACAAAGAGGGAGCGCGCCAGCCCGCCGCACTCCAGCAGCACTTCCCCGCTGAACGGCTGGATGGGGCGCTTCGGGGAGAAGGTCACCTCCACTTTGCCTCTGTCTCCTCTGGGCTTCAGCTTTAGCTCCTTGCTGGGCTTCAAGCACAGAACCTACCCCAAGAAATGAAGGCAGACTATTTCATCTGGCAAGCGAGCTGTGGAGCCTCCCTCATCAGACTCACGGAAGAGGCTTCCAATTCCTCTTCTGTCCCCACCAACACTGCCCCACTCCCACTCATTCCCTCCTAGGCATTCCTAGCTAATACCAAAGGTGTTTCTGCCACGTGTCCACCTGGTCACGCTGAGCTCAGCTCTGTCTTCTAAAGCTTTCAGGGAAGTTCAAACAGAGCTGTAAATCTCCCTCTTGCAAGATTCACCTCCCTCACCTTTCCACACCTAAAATACATGGCTGCATCCTGATGTATGTGTCTAAAACAGCTTAGAGGAATTGTGCCGCCTTCTCCCTTCTGTCTCTCCGGGTCTCCTGGCACCCAGCTCAGCTGAAGCATTCACACTGCAAGCATCTGCTGGCAGAGCAGTGCCAGCAGGGAGGACAGGGCAGGCACAGGCAGCCAGGGCAGCCCACAGTTCTCATTGGCTACTAGCTCCCACCCACAGCGCCTCATCGCCCCCTGCAGGCACACCAAAGTGCTCTGCGGAGAAGGAAAGGGCCTTACCCCAGCTTCCTGCAACTCTGGCGCGGTGGATGTGACTCTGAGCTGAAAGGCCAGAGGGGCTGCACTCTTGTTGGCTATGGTGACGATCTTCTTCACCGTCTGCCCAATGCAGACGTTTCCTAGCTTCACCACCTTTCCCGGTGGATCCACAACGTCAACCTGAGGCGGCAGGGACCGATATCAAGCAAAAGGAAAGAAGGAGAAAAGGTTTTCTGCCACTCTCCTGGCAGAAACCCAAACCATGGTAGGCTGGGGAAGAGATGAGGAAATGAGTAAAACATGCTGCTTGCCACCTGGAGTTTTAGCGTTTAGATTTCATCTCACCTTCACTTTTATGCCCCTTCCTTGGGCCTCACCGGTCAGCTTCCCGGCCGGGGCACAGGGAGGCAGCAACAAGCTGTTGTGGCTGTTGTCACCTTGCGGTGTCCGTAGGAGCTGCGCAGAGAGGGAAGAGAAACCATAGACAGGATGAGTTTCTTGACCCTCACTACGTGAACAGACTCCCCAGCCAAGCCATCCCCCCGTCTCCCTGGCACAAGCCTGGGAATGCTGGAGCGCTGGGAATCTACAGGAGTGTGCACAGACCTTCCCTCTCACCTGCTCCTCAGCAAGGCGCTGCTGGTCAAACTCCAGCGAGTAAACCTCACAGGGGGTCTTCACCACCACTGTCCCCTCTTCCCCATGGCTCTGTGGCAGCAGCGGTCCCAGCTCGAGCTCCGCGGGGCTGAACTCCAGCCGTGGCTCCAGACCACGTCCCAAGACCGGCACCTGGAGGCGTTGGCTGCTCTGGCAAATCTGGATGTGCAGCTCGCCCCGGTAGCACTTCTGCAAAGAAGCAGCACAGAAAGCTCCTCCGTGAAGCCCCAGGTGACAGCGCCTCCAAGTCAACAGTCGCCCCAGGCTCAGGGGTCTTGTCAGCACCTCTAAGCTGAACCCAAAAGAGGTATTTACTTAGAGCAGGGGCTACAGCATCTGCATGGCTCTGAGTAACTGCGGTGAGTCCTGCTGTGGACTGTAACTGGAGAGTTGGCTACCAGGTGGATCTAAAATGCGCTGTCAGAGGTTTTCACCTAGTCATGGGGGAGCGCAACGCTCATCAGAAAGGTCTGCTTTCTCAGACACAGTCTTGGCACTGCAGCACCAGGCAAACATCAGTTGTGTGAAAGAGGCAGCTGCGCTCTCACTGGACACAAATAAGGATCGTCTTCTCTGCTCAGTGCTCGGCTCTGGTCAAAGCCAGACACGAGACGGTGAAATCTCCACGAGCAATTCAAAGATCCCTGGGACTGTCCCCTGCCATGGAAGCACTTGCGTCCATCCTGTCACACGCTGCCAGTTTCCAAGTCACGGTGTCCACATGCAAACTGCCTTTGGCAATGCTCCATCATTTAAGGTGACTCCCGAACTGCGTGGGAATGTGCAGGGGAAACTGAGGCACGGTGGGCACAGGGCTGGCAGAAAGCTCCATGTGGAGGCAGAGCTCATCCCCCGCTCCCTCTGCTGGCCTCCCCTTACCACACTGCCCTGCCACACCTCCTGGGGGTGACACCCTCCAATCTCACCTCTTCCGTGGGTGAAAAACGGACTTGGACATGGCACTGCTGTCCTGGAGCGAGCGTTCCAGCTGACGGCAGCACCTCGAAGCCACAGGGCGCAGACTTCATCTCCTCGAGCAGCTTCTGATGCTCGCTCGCCGGCAGATGTTTGTTCACCTGTGCACAGAAACCACTCGCGTGAGGTCTCCTTGGTCTGGGAGGACAGAGCCTCGGCTCCTGCAGTGCTTCGACATGCTGGCACGGTGCAGGGAGCACCCTCATCCCACCCAGACGTGGCCACCACTGCCTAGAACTGGAGGGCAAACGTGTTGGCAGGGCAGGTAGATGGGGAGGCAGTGTCCTCAGAGGAGGAAGAGGAATGGGTGAAGATGGCAGGCAAGTGAAGCATCAGCTAGTCAACAGGCCCAGGTGAACCAGCCTTGCTCTGTACCCTCAAAAGCTCCCTCAAGCCAGCTGCAGCCCAAGTGCTCAGGCAGCCAGAGGGGCAGGAAAGGCAAGAGAGGCAAAGACAACCCACCCGAGAAGCTGCGTGTTACACCTTGTCTGCGCTTTACCTCCTTAACAGGCTCATTCACGCTGATGGACCATTGACAGGGGACCTGGAACGTGTTGTGGAGCTGGATGGTTTCTTCCTGGCACTGCCCACACTGGACAGCGGAGAACTCCAGCCTGTCCCTGGAGAGGCTGAGGGACGGCTCAGCCACGATGGCACGGAGGCGGACCTGCGATGTGGGGCCTCCTCTGACCTAGAGAAGGACAGAGCATCCAGTTGAGAGCCCGGCTGACACTCGCTGCTGTGCCCAACCTGCTGCCTGCCCCAGAAGCTGGAGTACCTTGATGGGCAGGAGCACATCCACCTTTCCCAGAGGCCGGCTGGCACTTTGTGGGTCGAAGCACACTTCAAATGTCTTGCTCTCACAGGAGGGCAGGCGCTTCACACGGTCCAGGCACACGCTGAAGCCTGAACACAGGAAAATAAAGCAGCTGAGATACACAAGCAACAGGAAGCAACATCAGAAGCACGGTAAGGCCACAGGGCTGTCCTGGCTGGCAGCTCCGTGAAAGACTCCTTTGCACCTCCAGAGAAGCTGCTCTTCTCCCCTTGTCACTGCCCAAAGCAAAAGGATTTTCACAGCCAGAACCCAGGGCTTGCGTGGTAGAAATGAACCACATTGGTTGAGGAGCTCCAGCAATTTCTTCAGCGGGCATCTCAGGGAAGGATGCACAGACCTCTCCAAAGGAGAATTTCCAACTAAGATACCGAATGCTCTGCTGTTCCCTGGACAGCGGCTTAGGACAGATGCCTGACCACCCCTCAGAGACAGCAGTCACCACGTGACGGAGCTGCAGCCTTACCTCAAGGCCTCTTTGGGAAGCCTGTTTCGATACAGCAGAAGATCCCACAGAAGATGGGGGATCCCTTCAGGAAAGGCTGAGCACTATGAACTCTAAGCAAAGCACTTCCGAACCACAGAGGGGCCTTCTCCTTGCAACATAAACCCTCAGAGTGCACAAAGAAACTCAGAAGAGGCCGAGAGGCGGTCGAGGGCATCAGCCCTTCTGGCCCCTGCAATGAGTTTTTAGGGCAGCCACACGCGGACCAGGTCTCTGGGCACTGATCGCCACAACTCAGGCTCTTAACAGGGCACCCAGCAGGGGGGCACTAAGGAGGAAAAAGCTATCCAAGGAAGTACTCAAATCTCCCCATGTCCAATGGCTTCAGCTGATGTGTCAGAGACAGCTCCTTCAAGCCCCTGTGAAGCCTCTCCACCACTGGTTACCTGTGTTATCTAGGACATATCCATCAACATGGAAAGATGCAGGGAAGTGCCCGGTGTTGGTGACCTTCACGATGCGTGTGTGGATGTCACCGGGAACAACATAGCCAAGGTCCAGGACGTATTCGGGCAGCTCAGCTCTGAAAGGAGGAGTAAGAACACTCAGTAAAGCCCAGCATGGCGTGGGGTGGAGAAGCAAACGGAGTGGATAATTGCGTATTCACTGCTGTGAAAGCTCAACCCAAGCTCAGGAAACCCAAGGCCTGAGCACCCAGTAATAAGACTTGGCTAAATCATGGGGAGTGCAGGGCCTAGGATTTATCAGCCACCAGTGGGATCTTCGGCTGAGTTTCAAGTGGGTACTGGACACAGTTCCTATGCTGTGAAAAGCCATTGCAGAGAAGTGCACTGCATCTCCACTGGTCTCAGTGAAACCACTAAACGGGTGTTCGGCCCAAGCCTGAAACTGCTTCAGGACCTTGTCATAGGATTTCCTTGCAGAGGATACCTCCACTGCTCTGCAACCACATCTGTCCCCAAAGCAGCACCTGACACTATCGCATGCAGTAACCAACGCTTACAAGACTGCTGAGAGGGTCTTTTTGCAGGCAATCCCACTTGGAAAAGCACATAAGGGATCTGGACCATTCCCTGCTCTTCCTGCTTAGCACAGACCCCTCTTGGCGCAACGACGCCAGCTTTGAGATGCCCCTTTCAGAGCTGGTCAGCTGGGGCGGTGCCTGTGCTGTCTGGAAGGGCTTGCTGCTCTGCACCCCCTCAGCTCTGAGAACAGAACCCAGCAACTGTGGGGAGTGGAGCACCTCCAGAGCTCAGGGTAGCACTGTGCAAGTGAGAACACCGAGCTGCCCACAGGGAGCACATCGTAGCTCCCAGCATCAGGCCCTTTCTCAAGTCTTCAGCTATTTCCAGCTCTGAGACACAAGAGCTCTCAGGAGCAGGGCTGCACTGCTGGCTGTTACCCTCGGGGCCCCTGGAGACAGGCCACAGGAGTCCCTACTAACTTGAGAAGCCTCCGATGTACACGCTGGTGAAAGGCAGTGTCCTCCGCAGGACGGGACGTGAGAGCTTTCTGCTGCTCCAAGGCATGCTCCTCAATAAGCATCTCCTCCATCTGCATCTGCAGCTCAGCATCCCACTGAGGAAAGTAAACACAGGGGCTGGTTAGCAGAGGTCCTTCCCAAGGCACAAGCTTGTCTCACGTGCAGGATCCCACCCTGCTCTTGTTGAGAGGGGTGACGGAGTCATTCTGTCTCACTGCTCAGTGTCTGTGACACTCCCTGCTCTCTCAGGCAGGATCGTATCTCCAAAGAAATGAACTCAAGCACCTCTGCCTGCCCACTTATCAAAGCTGATCTGGACAGACGGACAGGCAAGCCAGAAACCTTCCAAAGCTCCAAGTATGGCCCTGCCTCCAGTCAGTGCCAAAGCAGCTTGCACAAAAGCTCTCCTGCAAAGGGAACCATGAGAGAGCTGGAGCCTCTTGGAGATGACAGAACACAGCACAGCCTCAGGGGGCATTCAGGCTGCCGCTTTACGCTCAGTAAACCTGGCAGGGCTTGGCCGGTGAGCAACAAACCCCCCTGCACCGACCTGTGTGTCCTTCAGAGCCCCATAAACCCAACTGCTTGAGCACAGCCTTTAGCATCTCCCTGGGGTAGTCAGGAGCTGGGGACAACTCCCAGAGGCGGGCAGCCCACGGGGCACGCTGAGCTGACACAGTCCGTTGCCAGGGCTGTGCAGGGAGGCCCCCAGTGCCAGCAGGGCCCTGGGCAGGTGCCGTGGGGCGCAGGGGCTCCAGTGACACGCAGCAGGGTGGCACGTGCGGGACAGGGCAGCAGCTCTACTCACCACGGTGCCCGAGTCGTCCATGCGGGGCTCGCCTGCCACAGCCTCCCCCAGAGCAATGGCCTCCTCTCTCTGTCTGCCTTTGTCCACCTTTTCTTTGGCCTTTTGGAGGATCTTCTCATATTTGGCATTGCCTGAAAGCGCAGAACACCACCAATAGCAGTGGGGCAGCACAAATCCCACGCAAGACGAGAAGCCCCGTTCCCCCGACACCCGGACACAAACTGCTCCAGCAATGCAGGGAAAGGAGATCCTGCTGCTTCTCACCCCCACCCGTCTTTCTCGCCACACAGGTGCATCTCAGCCACCAAACGGGATGCAAACCCAACCCTGTCAAAATCCCTGCCGGCCTCTCTTACAGCTTTCCCAAGCTTTTCTGCCCAGCCATCATCTTCCCAGACCTCTGGCAAGCTGTGCAGGATGGTTCCTGCGGCAAAGCCCACATGGGCTTGTCTGCCAGAGACTAAGGAAGCAACCAGAGGGCTGAGTTTGCCTGACAGCCCTGAAACCTCCAGGCCTGCTGGAAGTGCCTGTGAGCTGCCCTATGGGCATATGGCACGAGGGAAAGCCAGGGCACCTTCCTGGCGAGCACACAGGCAGTGCTCACCTTTGATGTTCCTGGGCAGGTCCAAGTGGATCCTGGGAAAGGTCCCTTCTCCTTTCAGCGTGATTTTCTCTGGCTCCAGGTGACCCACTTGGATCTGGAAAGCCCTGCAGAAGACTCCAGGCACTCCTGGCAGGTAATAGACTTTGAGCACTTGCTGCTTGCCAGGTTCAGCGTAACCCTGCAGGGCACAGAAGAGGGAGGGAGGGAGTGTACCAAAGAGGATTCAGTGGGGGGATGGCTCACATGACAGACACGCTGAGAAGGCAAGACAGGTTCTCATACATAAGGAAACTGATATCAGACATCACTACCTCCAGCTTTCTTGGATCCAAACGCCCCAGTCTCCTACACCAAGATGCAGTATGTCTTTCAGAGGCCTCGCAAGGCTGCCCTCTGCTCAGCATGAGCACAGCTCTTCTGCTGACAGGGTTTACCCTCTGCTAGCCAGAGCCAGGCACAACAAACCAAAGCTTTGCACCAGCTGCTCTGGAAGAGCAGCGAAGGGCCTGTGCTTCCAGCAGGGCCAGCAGCTCCTGGCAGCAGCTTGCAGGACAGGACATCAGCGTCTCATCCCTCAGACGCACAGGCGCTGAGGAAGGTGGAAGCCACTTGGCCCTTTGGCTTCCTCTTCCCGTTGTAAAAGGGCACCAAGGCAGGAACACTGCTCCAGCTCTGAGACACCCAGGCAGGACGACAAGCTGGAATGGAGTGATGCTCCAGTGATGGCACAACCCAGGAGCTCAGCACTCAGCTCCAAAGAGCTCCCGGAGCACTCGTGCCTCCCACTGGTGGTTGCTGTAGGACAGCAGAGCCAGCGGCGGCCAAGGCCACTCAGCGGCTCCATTAGGATTGGGCTCGATGGACCTCCTCTGCATCTGCAGCAATCGCTCACAGCCCTGTCTCTCCTGGCTGGTTTTGGACGGGGCTTGTGTCTTCATTCCCCCTGTTTTCCCCCAGAACTCTCTCCTGGGCAGCCTGACACAGGCCGGCTGAAGCCCTTGTGCTACTCACCGTGCTAGGCACGACCAGGGGCACGCCAGGCAGAGGGCTGGCTGCAGTGCCTGTGCCGGGGCTCAGCACCACAAAGGCAAATCCCAGCTTCCCGCTGTTCTGCAGGGTCACCGCTGCTTCCGTGACTTTGTTAAACACCTGAGGAGAGGACAGAAGAGCAGGAAGTTACAGGCACACGTCTGCTGCTGAGAATGTCATTCCTCTTCCATTGCGTTGAAAGCAAAGGAGCACAGCCCAGAAGCAGGCAGCGCACAGGAGAGATGGGCACTGGGCTCTCTGCGTTAACCTGGGCAACCCGCGGCCACAGGGTACCTCTGAGCCCTGCACGGGAACAGCTATTTGTGGCAGAGGTGCGATAACAACCGTGGAAAGATCAGAAACAAACCAAGTAGGGGACACAAGCCCTCTGCACTTGAAGGTGTCACCCAACAGCGAGCTGAAACACAGGAGGAGGCATTGAAGCACTTCAGGAGAAAAGGCACCTGCACGCAAGTATTTGCGGGCACAACACAAGCCGAAAGGGAGGGAGACAGGGCAACGCGCACAGGGCCAACAGCTGGAAACAGCTGTGGGGGTCGTAACTGGAAAGACGTACAGTGGGGGCTATTCTGGGACATTCTCTGCAGCTACAGCGACTGGAAGCCCAAGTCAGCTGCCTCCTGGCTTCATGAATCAGGAGCATTAAAAGAGAGAGCACCTCCTTGGACCTCTGGCTTTAGGAGCAGATCAGCGGATGGATGTCTGAGGGACACGTCCCTCTGGAGATCACCACTGGGATCCTGCCTGCCCCAGGAGGCAGCGTTACTTACCTCCAAGAGGAGGGATTCCCAGCTTTGGGCTGGGCTGGGCTGGGCTGGAGATGGCCATTAAACACCAGCTTGGAGGTATCACCCAAATGTTGGACTTCCAAGCCACAGAGCCAGCAAAGCAGCTGGGAAGGGGGGAGAGCCCTCGCCCCGGGTGGGCAGCAACCCACCGGTCATGGGTGGAGACAAGGAGCTCTGACAAGAGCAGCGTGCGGTACCTGCAGCCCGCAGTCGATCTCGGTGGTGTCCAGGAGGTAGCTGATGCGCGAGGCCTCCCCACGCAGAGCCACCTCGTAGCTCGGGCCTCCCTCCACCCTGCACAGCGCCGTGACCTGGGTGACGGTGTTGGCGTGGCCGAAGAAGGAGAAGGTGACACGCTGGCTCTGGCCCGGCTGCAGCTCACCGTGCAGCGGCAGGATATCGAAAACCTGCAGGCAGGGAGGAGAGATCCACACGTGGAGCACGGCAATTGATGCAGAAGAGCAGCCTCGGCTTGGCCCAAAGGACAGACGGGGCTGCAGGGGCCTCTTCCTCAAACACCGGCAACATCAGCCTCATCTCACCCTGCAGCCATTCCACTTACCAACGGGGTAAGAGACCATGGGGAAAACCTTCTCCCACACTCCTAATTAATGCAGGAGTGCTACGCTACATTCATTTCTGGTGTCTCCTGGCAGCAAGAAATGCTCTCTGCTGCAGAATTTGCCTTCAAAAACACCTTTTCCTGCCCTCACAAGAACACGAGACTGGGAGCTGAGAGCCCGGGGGCAGGATCCAGCCCAGCTCCTCGCACTCCTGGTGCTTTTCCCTGGCTCTGATTCACATCCTGCTCTCTCCAGATGCTGCAGCAAATGCTGCTGCAGGAATTTCCTACCCACCACCTGATCAGGACCAAGATGGAGAATGGACTCCATAGGTGCCGCACAAGGAGTGCTCTTGACCAGCCCTACAGCACCTCCCATGTGGCCTCTCCAGTGACCAGCCATGCGCTTGTGTTGTGGTTTAAACCCAGTCAGGTAACTCGTTCACTCACTCCCCCACTTCTTTCCCTCCCCCTGCCCCCGGAGGGACGGAGAGGAGAGGCAAAAAGAATGCAACTCCCACGGGTTGAGATAAGAACAGTTTAGGAACTAAGGTATAACACAAATCACTACTGCTACCACCAATGATAATAATGATAAAGGAAAATAACAAGGGAAGAGAATACAACACCTCACCACCAGCCAACCGATAACTTGCCACCCCCCCAGCCCGACCAAGCTGCGACCGATACCTCCTCCAACCCTGCAGTCTCCCAGCCCTTCCGGCTAACTCCCACTTACATCCTGGGCATGATGTGCTGTGGTATGGAATACCTCTTTGGTCAGTTTGGGTCAGGTGTCCTGTCTCTGCCTCCCCCCGGCCTCCCCTCCTCCCTGGCAGAGCACGAGGCTCACAAAGTCCTTGGCCAAACCAAAACATCGCTATCAGCTCTGTTCCCAGGCCGAAAGCCAAAACACCGCACTGCACCAGCTACCAAGAAGGAGAAAAATGACTGCTACTGCTGAACCCAGGACATTATCCACCCCTTATCCCATACCATCCACGTCATGCTCAGATCCCACATTTTCAATATACCATCACTCTTATCTAAGTGCATGGACCAGTAGCTATAAAGCTGCTGCGTCCATCTGGTCCATGATGCCAGGCTCCATCTCTTTTAACAGTCTTTCAGAGCAGGAGAGACTGTGTGCAGTGTTCACACTTGTGAATAACCTGGGCAATAGTGTCCATTGCTAAGTCCACCCCTCGATCATGAGTCCATCTCTATGTTGCATCTCTGCCCTGATGGCCTGAAGTGCCATGGGCCCACCAGGCTCAAAATAATTCACTGTCCCCTTCAGCAGTTTCTGCAGCTTGTTGCTGGGGACTCCATACGGCTGCCTTCCATCTCCGATGCTTCCAAAGCACTGGAGGGGCCCAGTGGACTAGATACTTGCCCATACTGTCCCACACACCCTGCCACTCATGACTGTCCAGCCTTGGGGAAAATCTCTTGGTCCCCCTGCATCGTCGTCTAACCCCAGACAAGACCCAAACCTCACTCTGCTTAACTTTTGAGATCAGACAAAATGGTGGTGGGTAGAAGACAGTCTGTGTGTGTGCCAACATACTAATCCCCATCACAATCAGCAGGCAGGTCCCAAGGATACCCAAAGGCCATTCAAAACCTTCAGAACTCTCAAACGATGCTGCTGCACTTGTCACTGGGGCTGGTGCAGCTGCTGGGCTTGCCGGCTCTCCCACCGCCAGCTTCTCTTTTCCTGAGTCCAGCTCTTCCTCCTCTGCCTTGCTGGGAAATGCTGCGTGGTCTCCTGCACCCTCCTGGGGCTCTGCGGGCGGCTGCCGGGGAATGCTCTCGGCCGTCGCAGGGCTGGGCTCCTCCGCGGGCCTGGGCTCGGCCGCGGGGCTGGGCTCCGCCGCGGGCCTGGGCTCGGCCGCGGGCGCCTCCGCGGGGCTGGGCTCCTCCGCGGGGCTCGGCTCCGCCGCCGCCGCCTTTTCCCGCTGCTCAGCAGCCGCCTCCTTCCGCTCCTCGACCGCCCCAACCTCCTCCACCCGCAGCCGTCCCCTCGCGGCCTCCGGCCCCGCTCCCGCCGCCGTTTGGTCCCAGGAGCCGCTCTCCCGGGCCGCTTCAGCAGCCGCCGGCTCCCGGGGCCGCTCCCCCTCGGCTCCCCGCGGCCTCACGAAGATGGAGGCGAGGGCGAGGGCCAGGCCGGTGAAGAGCAGCGGGACGGGCAGGTACAAGTCCACGGCCACGTCCGTCCCGCCCTGCTGCTGGAGCCCGCCCGTATTACAAGTCATTGCCATAAAGCACAGTGAGACAAGAACCTTAGCCCAAGCAACACACTTGATAAACACTAACACAGCAAATACCGGCTCTAAGTAATGTACTGCATTCTGAAGCTGTGAGATCAACAAGAACAACTCTGAGAGCCAATAAATCAGCATTGTGACAGATGACTATTAATCCGATCAGATCTGTCGTTATCTCAACCCCTCGTGCCCCACGTTGGGCGCCAAAAACAATTGTCGTGGTTTAAACCCAGTCAGGTAACTCGTTCACTCACTCCCCCCCTTCTCTCCCTCCCCCTGCCCCCGGAGGGACGGAGAGGAGAGGCAAAAAGAATGCAACTCCCACGGGTTGAGATAAGAACAGTTTAGGAACTAAGGTATAACACAAATCACTACTGCTACCACCAATGATAATAATGATAAAGGAAAATAACAAGGGAAGAGAATACAACACCTCACCACCAGCCAACCGATAACTTGCCACCCCCCCAGCCCGACCAAGCTGCGACCGATACCTCTTCCAACCCTGCAGTCTCCCAGCCCTTCCGGCTAACTCCCACTTACATCCTGGGCATGACGTGCTGTGGTATGGAATACCTCTTTGGTCAGTTTGGGTCAGGTGTCCTGTCTCTGCCTTCCCCCGGCCTCCCCTCCTCCCTGGCAGAGCACGAGGCTCACAAAGTCCTTGGCCAAACCAAAACATCGCTATCAGCTCTGTTCCCAGGCCAAAAGCCAAAACACCGCACTGCACCAGCTACCAAGAAGGAGAAAAATGACTGCTACTGCTGAACCCAGGACAGCTTGTTAGGACATGAGGCCACTCTGGGAGCAGCACCCAGGACCGCAGTGACAGTGGCAGTACGTAACTGCTTGCTACACAGGAAACGTGGAAGTGAGACACACTGCCACTTACCTCCTCCACACCCAAGGCGAGGGGCTCTGTCTCCAGGAACCTGCAAAAAGAACAGAACTTTGCTCAGGGACCTTGCAGTGGAGGGAGGGAGGGAGGGAGGGAAGTCTGCACAGCAGCTCCTCGGCAGGATGGGGCCCCTGGGTGGGCATCAGTGGTGTGAGCTCAGTAATGAGCTCCAAAACCGGGATGGAGCAGGTCGACGCTTCGCGTTGACACTGCTAGAGCAGTGGTGCAGGCAGCTGGCCACTGCTTGACTCCACATCTGCTCTCTCCTGCTGCGTGATTCTGAAGATCCATTCTGGCACGGGAGGAAACAGCTTGGTGCAAAGGCTTAGCTCAGCTTTGAGCTCTCAGAGGTCCAAGGGGTGAGGGTTAGGGTGTCTCTAACCACGTGGGTCTAGAACAAGAGTAACCATGAGAGATTCATGGCTCAGAAGTCAGAGAAGGGGCACAGGTTGGTGTACGCTGCCTATGTCCAACCACACAGCAACCGTCGGATTGTCTTGCTCAGGTGATCACTCTGCCCCAGGTAGCAGCAATGACCAAAGAGTAGGGAGGAAAGAAGGGGTTGGACAATTAGAAGGATAAAAATGTAAGCACACAAAGTCTTGTTGAGGCAGAGAAACAGCATTTTTCTCTCCGGACCAAAATAAATGTGCGTGACTGATCCTGGGAGTCTCTGATGACCAGCTCCAGCAAGGTTCGAGGTAGGGAAAGTCCCAATCTTTGATCTCACCTTCATGAGACCTGATGTTTGATTCCCTCCATGTCAGACTGAGTTAGAGCTGATAATTTAGAATACCAACAGTGCTTAGTGTGGACCAGAAATAACATCTGACACGCTGCCCGTCTGCAGGCTCCTAATGAGCACCTTGGAGACCATCTTCGTTTCCAGCTCTGGCACAGAGCATCCCACGGTGTCTGCTGAGCGCCCCAGAGGGGTCACAACACTGCTTAAGGACCATGCAGAGCAGCAGAGGAGCTCTCGTCACGTCCACAGCACTAAGGAGCAGCCAAGGGGCTGTGCAAACCCTCTGGAGAGGTGGACACCCCTCGGCAGGGGCAGGACAGAGGCCGTGTCCTGCCGAGGTGCTCAGCACCCTCTGCTGCCAACAACGCAACCACTCAGCACCCACCACTGATCTAAGTTACGGGAGAGGGCAGGGGGCTCCCAGCAGAGCTGACAGCCCTGCTCACCTCCCTCCAGCTGCTTTTTCAGACTTGCCTCTGCATTTTAGGGTCTGCTCTTGAAGGTGTCGTGCATCAAGCAGGGCCCCACTAAAGACTTGGTGTTACTTGGGAAGACTCAGCTGAGAATGGGCCACCCCAGTGCCCTGCTCATCTCCCCCAAGCCCTCCTAGTAGCCACAGCTCATCGCCAGTTCCCACGAGGTCACCTCCTGCGAGTCAGATCCCAATTCCCTTCACACAACTGCTTCTTGATCAGCTCTCTTGTTTGGAATAGCAGCACTGCAGTGCGCCACGGTGAACTTTGCTGGCTTTCCTAGGGCATTACAGAAAACCGTTTGCTACTGTCCTTCAAACTGCCTACACCAGACTTTTGTACCATGCAGAGAAGCCACAGCAGGAGGACCACTAGGAATGTGCTTCTAGATGGGCTTCAGCACCACTACAAGATTGCTCTTGGGCTTGGAAACCACAGACCACCACTGGATGGTCCTCCTCCCCAGGGATGTCCATACAAGGGCTCCCTCCAGCATCTACAGCTGGACCTAAAGCCACAGCAGAACCTGCCATTCCTCTCTAAAACTCTAAATAGCTCTTCTGTGAATGTGACGTGCAGTTCAACAGATGAACACTCGCTTCGAGGGGCTGTTTGCCTCAGGCCCAGAAGCTCTGAGAAAGCAGCTTTCTACATCAGCCTTCCCAGCATCAAACTGGCGCAGATCACCTATTCCCTGAGCACCTTGGCTGAGCACAGCTGAGAGGTGGGATTTCCTCAAGGCAAGGTTGAAAACAATTTGGCAGATCAGACAAACGGCCTCGGCCTTTGCAAACCACAAACAGGACATCAGGAAGAAGAGCTTCCAGGAGAGGGAAAGGTGCACATACCTCACTGGGTTCACCTGGCTGTCCTTCAGGAATGACCAGTGGTACTGGACAACCAGCGGGCTGCAGTTGCTCATCTCCATGTAACGCACATCCTTGGTGTCATTCAAGATGCAGCCAAAGTCCAGGGCCGTGGTCTGGAGCTGGAGATTCGGGAAGTAGACTTCTCCCCGAACAGTGACCTGCTCTTCATGAGGATGCTCCAGGAACCTGATCTTCAGAGCCTTCTCTGCTGCCCGGATAAGCAAGTCTTCCTCGTAAGCAGGGTTAAATGCGATGCAGAGTTGAAGTTCCTCCCCTCTCCTCAGCTTCGTGGGCTGCAAGGAGATGAAGAGAAAATGTTCCACGTGTGACCCCAACATGAGCTTCTCGCTTCATCCTCCGTTTTCTTCACAGCGTCTGACCAAGCACCACACTTCTGTCTGAAGCTAGCTGAGGCTCACGCTTCTGTGCTCTGCACCAATACAAGAGGAAATCCACACTGGTCTCCTCAATTCTGGATCCCCAGAAGCCACGTGCTAAACACAACCAAAGCAGCACTCTGGCATCCAGGCCTCCGCCCTGACTCTGGAGGAACTCCTTCATCCTGCAGCACAAGCACAGTGGCTTTGCAGCCTCACCCATGCAGGCGCTGATCACTGGCAGGCACAGAAACGGTGGCTGGACCTATGACAACACGTGCCTCACAGAGCCCATGCCCAGCACCTTCCGCAAACACCAGGGCAGGAGCCAGACAGCAGCTGGAGAAGCCTACCTCAGCCTTCCCAAAAGCAGGGCTGCCCTCAAAGACAGCAAGCTGCTCCCCACGTTATCTGAGGATGGCTGCTAGAGAGCTGGCATGCTTTCCAGGAGGCACCTTTCCTACAGCTTGCCCAGACCTGCTCCCTCCTCCTCCTCTCTTCAAGCCAGGAGGTCTCCTCCCGATTCAGATGGCATTCTGTTTCCTTCAGCAGCTCATTTTACATCTGATTTAGCTCGGCCCAGTTTACTGCAGACTCTACAGAACACACTTCCCTGCTGGAAGACCTCCCAACAGAGACACACCACCACGTTCATCCCTCTTCAAAGCTCAGCAGCAAGAAGGTCCAGGGCTGCTCACCTGAGCATCTGCAGGGAGAGGCTGCTGGTCCGCACCGCAGATGGAGAAGGGCTGCTCTAAGGCAAGGACCACAGTGAGGGGCAGGCAGCAGATGTTCTTTAAAGAGAGAGGCTTGTACTGAAGAGTCAGGACATCACTGGGGTGCTACAGAAACAGGAAACAAGAAAAAAGGACCTTGAAGCGGCCATGGACTTCCTCCCCAACCCCAAAAGCGCATCCATCTCTATTTACTCTTTTGATTGGTTTCTACCCCTCTGGAAAGTTTGTCCTCCAACTGTATCAGACGCTTTCATGTTTAGAACCCACAGCATCCCCCAGGGGACAGGCAAACAGGCTCGCCTACAGATGAAGGAGCAGGCCCCCAGAGGAGGCAGCTGCTTCAGCAAGATCCAAACCAGAAAGTGAACCCAGTCTGGCTCCACTTGCGTGTCCTCTCCTGGGCAGAGAGGACACACAGGCACAAGGCCATTTCCACTCACATACAGTACTTTCTTACCACCTTATCAGCTCTGCCAGGCCCGTAAAGCAGTGACGCTGCTCACAGGAGACAAGGCCTGCAGCGGAGAGCCTGCAGCAGCCCGAGGTCAGCTTTGAACAATTACGGGCACACGCAGACAGCTCCAAACCTCAACAGTCTGGCCGCAACCTGCTGCCCCTGCTCCAGTGACAAGATGTTGCAGTCTCAAAGCTAAGCCCAGCCGAAGCCTTTTCCTCCTGTCCGTGCATTGCTCCGGGCTTCCGGCAGGGTTTAGCTAACCTAGACAGTGGTTGGGAAACTAATTCTGGATGTATTGACATCCAACTCCTGCAGTGTCGTAGCACTCAATACATGGGAGCATGTGGCATCAAGCAGACCCCAGGCAGACAGCAGGGGGAGCTGAAAAGCTTCTGATTAGATGTGAACTGCCTGCTCGCAGGATCTGGGCTTCTCCGGAAGCCTGGGAACCGGAGGAGGGACCTGAAACCACAGAAACTAAATCAAGAGCTATCTGCTCTTTTTCAGACACCTGGCACGAGGGGGAAAGATGATGCAGGAGTCGGGATCCAGACACTAAAGGGCACACACTTTGCACTGGTGCTCTCGTCACTGCAGCTGAAGGGCACCCGTGGGTCCTTTGAAGAAGGTGAGGCTTGGGAAAGGCAAAGAGGCAGCATCCACAGCGACAGCAGGGAAGGCAAAGAGGCACAAGAGACGCCAGTTTTTCCTCATCAGCTTGAGGAGTTGACAGGAATGGCAGGTTTTCTCAGCTTCCCTACACGATCGCTGCTCAGACATCACCACGCCTTGGAAGATCCTCAAAACCCTGAGTACAGACACTGGTGTCTCTCGAGAAGGGGCCATGCTCCCCCTCGGCAGAGCAGCTGCAATCTCAGTTTTACCTGGGTGAAGTTAGAGAACAGCCTCATCTCTAGCAGCATCCTCACTCCTTTCACCACCAGCTCAGGGAGAGTGAGCAGGGATCTGCTCTCCACCTGCAGCCCCAGCACACGAGGTGGCTCTTCCAAAGCCCACGCTGCTCTCACGGCTCCCACACCTCGGCCCGTGCCCTTGGCTCAGCAGCTCAATTCCCTCTCCACATCAAGAAGGGCAGAATAGAGCCGTGGAGACTGTCCCCAGCCCCAGAGGGGTGAAAGAACGAGCTCGCCATTCATGACAAAAGCTTGGCCTGGCTTAAATCAACAGCCAAAGCTCTGTGGACTTGGAGAAGCTGTTGAGCTTCCTCCTTTGGACACAGGCACACCCCAGCCACACCAGTCAGTGCCAGCATGCAATCCAGAGACTCACCTTCTCCACCCGGAAAGGGATTTCTCTGCTGGATATTTGCAGGGCGGGAGCAATGAACTCGCACGTGACGTCCACCTGCATGATCAGATTCTTCACTCCCTCCTTGCCCACGATGGCGTGACACAGCAGCTTCTCCTTCACCACCTGCATGCGAGTCACACGGCACCCAGGGGGTGTTACCAGGGTGTCCAGAAAACATACTGCAGCTGTGAGCCACCCACCCACAGACCCCATTACTGCAGGAAGTTACAGCCACTGGTCTCCTCAGGAGCTCTCTCTTCTTTAGATGCTGCATCCTCTTCCTTCTGCACTCACATGTCCCTGATGTTACAACCCAACCGCCACAAAAGGCCCTCGGGAGTCTTGTGCTGCCTACAGCTGTCACAAGAATCCCTGCCACAAATGATTATTGGTTTGATTTGTCCCACTGACAAGCAAAATGCTTACTGAGAGCTCTAGGAACTCATTCAAAAAACCAAACCAGACGGTATGAAGGGAAACAGGTGATAGAAGGATCAATGCCAGCAAATCCTCCCTTGGAAGTTTAGTGGAAAGGATCCGTGGGAAAACCCCAAACAGCCAGCCTGCCTTCCTAGGATGTACTGTGTCCTCCGAGAGCTGGCTTTAAACCAAACCTCCCCAGGAAACAGACGTCTTCCACTTGGCATGAAAACCCTTTCCTTAAGCTGGATGCCCTTACATCCAAGACTTTTCCTCATTCCTCATGGTTTCACTTCCCCACATTCCTCCCTTTATTCCTCTCCCTTCCCTCTGACACACCACCACAACCCAACTCCTCCTCAGAGCCTACACACTTCAGAATCACCTGTGCTGCACGTGCAACGCAGGGTCTTGGGCTTCTAACCAACCTCAAGAGTGTGAAGTTCTCAAGACCCAGGGAAGGTGGAAAACCCAGTCCCAGGGTCTTGGCTTGGACTGCAGGAGCCAGGTAGCCACGGCTGAGCTCACAGATGCCCATTTGGCTTTCCAGGTAGGACACCCTCACCAGTGGCCTGACCACTTCATTCCCTTTCCGGTACCTTCTTCCCCCTTCAGCAAAGCCTTACGGGCTCAGGACTGCACAGGGACAGTCCCGTCGGAGTCAACCAGCTGAGAAATCAAGTCTTCCTCAAGCTACCACTGAGGCAATCCTTTAAAACACCTCTCAAACTCTAGGAGCAAATGTCAAGGGGCTGCAGAAATGCCCTGATGCGGACGGAACTCACCTGGGGGGTGCTGCAGGAGCCTTCCAGCACCATCTCCGCTGTCTGGCCAGGCATCAGCTCCGTCCTCAGCGGCTGAAGCTTAAACACGGGGCCGCAGGAGGAAACCTTGCCCTTGGTGTTCCTGACGGGAGGGAGATGCTTGCGCTGCTCAAGTGTGGTGCCACCTTCTGTGGTCCAATAGAGCAGATGGGTGCGTTGTCCTTTGTTTGTCATCTTGAAGCGGTAACAGCAGGGATCCAGGCTAGAGGAGAAGCAGAAACACAAAATGGCAGGGGAGCTGCTATTTGCCAGGGGTCACCCAGCGTCAGCACCCTGAGGGCACGACCTGATTGCACACTCGGCAACAAAACCACCTCCAAGAAGGCTGACCGAGCGTAAAGCTTCACCAAAAGGCAGACCTTGGCTGCCCCTAGGTTTGTCACCATCCACCAGCTGCTCTGCTTGCAGCCAGCAAGGAAGAGCTTCGTACACAGCCTGCCCCAGATGCAAGTGGGGGCAGGAACAGCCTCGCTGCCGTTCCACCTTCCCCTTGGCACCTGTTGTTCATGCCTCTGAGGCGTCTCTTAGGGAGCATCCAACCCTCATTGCCCCCAGCGTACCACCCTCTGGGGGCAGCCGACAGCAATGGCAACAGCTCCAAACTCAGCCCGCAGGCAAAGGCATGAAGGGCGGCAGAAGACGTGAATCACATGGACGCTGTCCCCTCCCTTGTGCAGCCACCCTGTGCAACCACACTGAGCGCAGCAAACTCCGGACAAGCACCAACCTCCCTGCAATGGCCCTGCTTACGTGGACGGCTCGTGGCTGCCTATTTTACCTCTCCAAATCTGTCCCAAGTGCTTAAGGTAGGATTAACCTGCTCTTTCTGCCCCAAGAATTCAGGTATCGGAGCACCACGGACCCCCTCTGCAGCCAGAGAAAGGAAGAGGCACCCCAAGAAGACAGTTCTTCTTGCCTGAGGAGGTCTCCAACACAAGGCAAACAGCACTTTTTTCCTCCCGTCTTTAAGAACATGCCTGCTTTCAGACACACACGTTGGGACCAGTGAATCCTCTCCTGCCAGCTCAGCGATTTCAAGTCAGACTCTTTGTTCATCCCACTCCACCTCAGCAGACTTCCACACTTCCTTCCCCTTCCAGGGCTGGTCCTGCACCCACCCTCGCTTGCCCGTGCCTCGCAAAGCAGGCAGGAGAAACCAGGAAAGAGCCACCACGCCTAATAAAGAGCAACCGGGCACGGAGTGCGGTAGAGGAGCCAACTGGGGAGTGACACAGGGCAAAGAAATTCTGCTGCTCCTCCAGGGCTCCCCGGCAGAGGTAGAAATAAACCAGCACCATTCATTCAGTCGAGGAGCTGCTAACAAGCTACTGCCCAGGCTTGCTGCTGCTCTGAGATGATACTCCAGAGCGAATGGGAAAGCAAGCAATATCACTGCAAAGAGAAACCTGGTTACACTTGCAAGGCAGCATTTCCCAGCTGGAGGCTTCCAGGACCTGCTCTTTTCCTCCAAATCTTTCTTCCATAAAGTGAGGAAATAAATGGATTAGGACTAAAGATATAATTTAGCAGCAACAATTTAGCAACTGGTCTGCAGCTGGGTGGCTTTTCAGAGTACCTAACGACTTTCAGATGGCCATCAAATGTTTCTAAAGGAACCCCTGTGGCTTCAGGGAAGCAGAGCCAGGACCTTGAGCACTGAAGAAGCTTGAGGGACTGCAGCAGAACTCCTCCTTGCTGAGCCCATGGGGAAGTGGGAGCCGAGAGATTCCCTACCTGAAGCAGGGGCCCAGCTTGAGCTCCGGGCCAAAGGGTTTGTCAACGACAATCGTGGTGCCAACGCCAACAGCCTGGACGGGGATGACGCAGGCATGACTGTTCTCAATGAACAGCACCACCTCGTCCTTGAATTGCTCCGTGTCATCCAAATTCGCAGTGACAACCACAGACACCTCGGCCTTGGCAGGGATCACTCCTTGACTGGGTCCAATACTCCACCACGCGTTTTCGCCAGCCTGCAAGACAACCAAACACTCATTTAGGATGCAAACCACGGACCTGGCTGCCACCAGCCAAGGGCTGCCCAGACAACACGGTCACACCAAGCCAGTGGCTGGGAAGATTCCACTGACATTCACGTACGACTTCTCGGGTTCATGCTGACACAGGGCAGCTCGCTTGGAAAGGAGCCCTGAGAGCACTGCTCCAAAGGTGAATCTGCGAGTCTGCTCCCTCACAAAGCTCATTTATCAAAGCTTGGCAACAAGCCCGCCAGAAAATTGTACCCCAGAAACTATTCCTGAGGAGTGAGGATGGGCGTCTCGACGGAGCCAGACCTTCAACTCCCTGGGGTGACCCGGCACAGCCCTGCTGTCCCAGCCAGGCCAACAGCCCGTGTCAGGGGAGGAGGATTTGCAGCCTGCCCTCATTCTTTCAGTCAGCATCTGCTCTGGCTCCAAGGGGCAGCACAGCGCAGTGCTGAACAGGAGACCTGCCAGGGCCACAAGGCTCTGCCGAGACACTTTCTCTTGGCTTTCTAGGTCAGCTTGCCTGCCCCCAATCCAGCCTGTGTCCCACAGACAAGAAATCTCTTGGAACCACGCTACAAAATCCCCCCACTTTCCAGACAAATACCCAACCTCTGATAACATCTCTGCTACTTGCTTATCCTTGAGTGTGCCGGAAAACGATGCCACAGCTGCATGCATTCGATGCACAAAGGCAGTGGCTATTTCTGACCCTGTAGGAGTTTCTTATACTATTGGACATCAGAGTTCCTGAGGAACCAGTAAGGGTTGGGATCCATCACTTCAGAACTTCACCACAACAGTCAGAATCTTATCCCAGCACAGACGTCCATCGTGAACAAAAGCTTCCACAGTCTGCTTACAATGGACACCAGTGCGCAGCTGATGGATAGAGGGAGGGAGGGAAGGAGAGAGGGAGGAAGGGATGGAGAGCTGCCCTAAGGGACGACTGAGGAGACACCAGTCAGTTCTCTTGAAGCTACTTACAGCTGATTCACTGAAGTGATCTGGTCACTCTGGCCTTGCACAAGTGACAGAGGAAGCAGAACACCGCATTACAAATGCAGCTGCGCTTGATCAAGCCGTGGCTCTAGCAAGAGCCATAGCTCTAACAACAGCATTCCCACTTTGTCAGGCTGACCCACTGGCCTCGTAGGGCTGCTCATGAAGGGGAAATAAACCCCGTCCTGCACCGGCTGGGTGCAGAGCCTTGTCCTGGGTGGTTCAGCATTCCTGGTGGCGGGGGACCCTCTGTTCTTCATTTCAAAGCTGCTCCTTATCCACACAAACAGCCAGCGCCAGGAAACAGCCCAAAAGCACCCCGAGCCCTGCACGAGGAGGAGATCAGAGCCTGAGGCTGGCTACCTGCTCCCACCACCAACCGGCCTCCTCCTGGCTCCTCAGCATCAGCATCTCCTCAGCACAAGCGTGGGGACCACTGCGGTTTAGCCTCTGCCCCGAGCACCAGCAAGGGGATGTTTCACAGAATCAAGGGGCAGAGCTTGTCTCCGTTTGTGTTCCCTGTCCACAGCTCACCCCTCCAGGATCGCATCTGCCCTCCCTGCCAGGCTGGGGAGGTCAGGGACACCACTCTGACCATCGCGGTTCTCCAGGACACGGCTACGGCTTGGCCAGCTGTTGCCACGCACAACGTTTCATAACCAAACTGCCCCTGCTTTTCCTCTGGGAAAAGCTCTCAGCTTGCTTCTAGAAGCACAGCCGTCTTGAAGACTTCTAAGCCTCTGTAATTCAGCTGCCAACAGGCACAGCACAACAGGACATGTTTGCTTTCCCCTGACGAGCAGAGTAACAAGTGCTTTGGTTACCAGCAAGTCAGAAAGGGCACTCAAGGAGGCAGCTGCTGAGGGCACTGGGGTGCTTGCTCTTTGCAGAGATGGAAAGCAGATTTTTATGGTGCGGACAAAGAAACCTGCCTGGGAATCTCCCACTTTGAGGGTCTCTTGAACCCCCAAACAGCTGCAAAAGCAGCAGGAGGGAAATTCAGCCCCCTCCTCCTTGCCCAGGGGGCTGAGCCTCTGCTCTCACACACTGCTGCCTGCTCCATGCGCGGACACAACCAAGTCCCCAGCGACAGGCCTGGGTGAAGCAGCTCCACAGCTTCAACAACCCAGCCTGCACCAGAACAAACCTCCTCTGAAGCCCCTCACAGACTCCCCTCCGCTGGGAAGCACTCCCCAGCCCCAGCACACTAGCCCTTCCCGCCCGCATCAGCCCATCAGAGGATCCCACAACCTTCTTCTGCTCCGCAGCCTGTTCCACCACGCGGCTTCCAGGAATTAAACAGCCTTCTTCTGCAGCCACACGCTCTACAACGCTACAGAGCCCACAGGCTCTGCAGGTACACAGACCTTACGAGTCTACTTCTGGCCAACAACCCAGCTGGTTTCACCCCCAGGGAGGTGTGAAACCCACTTCACCGTAAGCACCTTGAGGACAGACCTCTCAGTTCCAAAAACAAAGACTCCCACAGCTAAACGCCTTCCACAGAATAAAGGGAGAACTTGCAGAAATGAGCTCCTTTCTGCTCAAACATCTCTGCAAACTCTGCTTTACTGACGGGTGCCCCAGCTACAACTGCCCCCAGAGCCAGGCTTCTCTTGCTCCACTGGGATGGAACATCTTGCTTTCTCTCTCAAGACACGTCTCAGGGATGTGGAAATGTTGCACAGAAATAAAGAGTTCAGTCACAGGCTGCTATGGGCCAGTCACTTGCACTGGAAAACAGCCCCAGCGACACTTACCATCTTTGCCGAGAAGGATGCAGGGATGACAGACTGATTGCAGAGGTGGAGGCTTCGGGAAGCATCTTGTAGAACTTGGATGCAGCCAAAATTTATCTCACTTGGGTGCACGTGGACAACTGGTCCTTCGCCAGTGCTCAGTAAATGGATTTTCTGCTCCAGGAGGCAGGCAGGAAAAAGAACAAAACAACAGGGAAAGTCTACAATGACTGGACAGCTCTAAGGGTGCTCGTAGGCTGGGGGAATTCTGACTCTTTGAAGCTCTCAGGGTTGGGAGGCTGAAACAGGAAGGCTGGAGCAAAGGTGGCACCTGGAGTGATCCCTGCGGATCGGAAAGCCACAAGATCCCATCATGAGGGGATACAGAACCCCCATCTCCCATGCATGCTTTTCACACCTCCTCCACGCTGTCAGCTCTCCTTCCTCTACCCTGTGCCTACGCCTGCTCCTTCTACTGCTCCATCACGCCATAAACCACCCTCCCTGACTGCTGCGGCTGCACGGCCACACTGCACAGCAACTTCTTCAACCTTCCGAAAGCTTCTCCTGTCAAAACCAGCACAGCCTGGAAGCAAAGCTCCTCTGCACAGTAGAGATCATGCAAGCTAGCTGCCTCTCATTTCTGCTTGTGTGCATTCCTGGGATTAGTTCTTTCTTGCATTGAGACATTCATTATTAATTGCATCATTCCAGCAGTATTTTTTCTGGTGACAGCCTGAGACCCAAAAGTTTCTTCCTGCAGAAGGGGCACAAACTAGTGGAGGAGGAATGGGGATCCTTTTGATAAGCCCCCTTCTCACGTCACTAAAACCAATGAGAATTCATTCAGTCTGGCTGGATCTCCCCAGCTCCAAACACCCCAAGCCTTAACCAGGCTTGTAGAGCCTCAAGAAAGCAAGGCTCTAGGGAGACCTTAAAGCAGCTTCCAGTGCCTAAAGGGGCCAACAAGAAACCTGGAGAGGGGCTTTGGATAAGGGCCTGTGGGGACAGAACAAGGAAGAATGGCTCTAAATTGACGGGGGGGGGTGGGGTTGTGTGTGATCAAGATGGGATCCCGGGAAGAAGTTCTTCCCTGTGAGGGGTGGTGAGGCTCCGGCACAGATTGCCCAGAGGAGCTATGGCTGGCACAGGCTGCCCCATCCCTGGTACTGTTCAAAGCCAGTCTGGATGTGGCTTGGAGCTACCAGGTTTAGTGGAAGGTGTCCCTGCCTGTGGCAGGGAGTTTGAACTGGAGGAGCTTTGAGGTCCCTTCCAACACAAACCACTCTGAGACGCTGCAATATCTTGCGTTCTGGAATAAAAACCAGCCACTCCCCTGAGCTCAGGTTTGCATCAGATGATGCACAGGATGTGTAACAGGACAGCGGTGGTTCTGCTGGCCCTGAAAGCTCTGCAGCAGTCAGCTACCAGGGAACTCCTGAAGCTGCACTCAAGCCATAAGGCAGAGCCAGAGAAAATGACACCCAGAAACTCCCATTTGCGCAGGCAACAGCCAGCCAGGTTTTGACCGGCATTTGCTGGCTGCGAGCAGCAGCCCAGCACGAGCGCAGCGCCTTGAGGATGGACTGACCGGGCACAGGGTCACTCAGTCCCATGTGTCGTGTCTTTAGGGACAGCCACGATCCTCCGACTGAAATGCTCACCCTTTGGGCAAAAGATTGACACGTTCACCTCCACGTCCAAAAGATTAAGTTAGGGCAAACTTTGAAACTAAAAACTGTTAGCCCAAGGGCAAAAGCTGTGCAAGAAACCAGTACTTAAAAAGCAGCTCACAGTTAAACAACTGGTTATTCTAGTGGGGAGAAACCTTCCTCTTCAAGGGAAATATTCCTTCTATATAAAGAGAAGTTGCTCCTAAGAGCAGCTGTGGTCAAACTTCAGACCTCCAGCACTGCCTGGCCTTCCTCTTCACTCTTTACACACATATCCACAACAGGGTGGAGTGGAGATACTTGGTGGCACCCAGGGGATTTAGGAGCAGCATTTCTGTTCACTTTCAGAAAAGTCTGAATGCCTGCAAGTACTTTCAAAATGTCAGCCTTATTTGTCGTTGCAGAAAGCATCAGGTTCCCAGCAACCCTCTGACATCCTCTTTCATGCCCCAAGGTTTGACAAGACTTTTTAATACAGCTGCTTCAAAAGTTAGTACCATTTTAAAGTTTCATTAACTAGATTCATTCTCAGTTTCAGCCAGATGAAGCCAGGAGACTACAGACACCACCCCCTTGTCTACATTTTGTTGTCATTGCTGCTGTTGCGAACTACATCTTTTAGCAGGCTTCAGCCCACGAAGGCTTTGCCTCATCCGCTTCCAAGCTTGGTGGACAAAGAAAGACTGTGCTCCAGATGCAAGCCCTGTGGAGACTCTGGTGTCCTTGGTGGGGCTTTTGGCAAGGACATCTGATGGATGGCTGTTGCTCACACATGACGGACCTGACTTTCAGCAAAGCTCGGGGTTTCAGGTTAAGCTCGTTATCCTGTCTCACATCCCCGTAATTAAATGCTGTGTCAGACACTTCCACACAGACACACGCAAGTGTCAGACACACCACCTAAGGGGATACCAGCCTCCCTCTCCTCCAGGCATTAGTGTTGCTTATGCCACGAATCCCTTCTTTCCTTGTAGACAACAGCCGTAGATCATTTTCTCTGGAAGATCCCCTACACGCTTTACACGCCACCAAGATGAGAGGCACAAAGCTGCAGGTCTGCCCCAGCACTCACCAGTGGGGATTCTTTACTCCCAAACACCGCAACATGAGCAACGGTGTCCTGCTCTCCTGTCACCTGGACTTCCAGTGTGAACGGGATCTCCACCGAGCTGTGAGGCTGGATAATCCCACGGGGCTCAGGGCTGGAGTACCACACAGCAGCAGCATCCTTGTTCTCCTGTAAGGGACAGAATCAAGCACGACTTCAGAGCGACCTTTGAGGAAACTTTCAACTCTTCAACATCTACCACAACGGCAACTCGCACACGGGCCTAAAAATCCCTAGGAGGAAGCAGAAAGGCACAACTCAAGATGCAAGACATGTATGGGTTCAGCATCCTGAGGGGGTTCAAAGCTGCTGCCTCCACAACCCCCCGTCCCGTGCCGACAGCCTCCTTGCAGCAGCTTTTCACAACCCTGCAAGCTCTCCTGCATTGAAAGCATCCTGAAGACTAGAATATAATCTGCTTCCTGGAGAGTTTAAGCTGCTTCCTCAAGCTGATATTCAGGTAGCTTCCTGTTCCCAGCAAACCTTTAGGCTTGAATACAAACCAGCAACATCTTAACCAAGCCTGTTGTTTCCCTAACAACAAACCCCTAGGTGACATTGGAGCCAAGAGGCGGATGCGATGGCAAACCTGAGGAAGAGCCCAGTAGCAGCCTGGCAGGTTGCTGTCGTTCACAAGGGTCAGCATCTGCTGATAAGGGACTTTGAGAGAGCATCGTCCAAATGTCACAGCTGGGTGGAGCACTCGCAGCAGGGGAATGCCACATCTAGGCAGAGAGATGAGCAAAAGGGAATTAGGTTCTGAGACAGTGTTGCTTGCTTGTTTACTTCTCAATGAGCACCAAATGGAGCAGATACATTTGTCACCGTCAAGTAGACATCTGATACCCCTACAGTGACAAACAGCCTTTAATTTCTTTTCACCCAACAACCTCTTGCAAAAGAGGGGCAGACCCCGAGTCTCAGCATCACAAAAGCTGCTCAGTGCCCAGGCAGAGCACGTTGCCCTGTCCCAGGTCAGCTTTGCCCCTCCTTTGCCCCAGGAGGCTTGCAAGGACCCTCTCAGTGGCCCCAGCAAGGTGTGAGCTCTGAGGGAGCTTTCCCACTGAGGAGCAGCGCCCTGTGCCGTCAGCCGTAACCCTCTCCCACGCCCTGTGGCTGCCTTGGTCCTTTCCCCACGGGTCCACACACCAGCTGCTCCCATTTGCACTTGTTCTACTCAACTGCAGCCCAGGCACTGACTGCGCAACTCTGCCTGGGAGAGGGAACAGCACCGCTGAGCTGCATCCCTCTTGCCATTGAACTGACGCCCACCGCAGCACAACAGGCCTGAATCTGCCTGAAGCAAGAACAACTTTTAGCTTAACTCTGAGAACATCAATGCTCAACAGAGCCAGAGGGAAGCACAAAAACCTGAGCTCACCTTCCACACCAAGGACTACTTTGTCTTTCAGAAGATCTCACCTTTACTTTTCCCTCACCACTCCTGCCCTAAGCCCCTCACCCATCGGCACGCCCCCTCCTTAACTGAGACAGACAACACCTTGCAGCAGCTGCTCGCTGTAGCCCAAACCAGCGTTGCATTCTGGTCACAACCCAGCACAAGTCCAACGCTTGCAGGAAGGAGGAGAGGCGGCCCTTTGGAAACATTACACCTCAAGCCCCCAGAGCAGGCCAATAGGGAATAGAATCACAGTTTCCTGTAGGAAAAGGCTCTGGGCCGTGCCTGTGGCTGAGCACAAGTGCTGCTCATCATGGACTGCTTTCCATGCGCTGCTCTTCTCCTGTCTAGCTGGGCACAGCTAGCTCATTGAGCAATGCTCCTCGTTTGGAGCTGGAGCCAGCCAGCTCTGTGCAAGGCACCACCACTTGCTCGTGGCAGATGCACAGCGAAAGAAGACGGGCTGCAAGGAAGCGCTGGTACCTGGCTCTGATGGGCAGTGATAACACCTCTCTGCCAACACCATCCACATCGACCACCAGGGCCAGCTTGTATCTCTTCACGGTGTTGGAGCACAGGGTGACCTGGGAGACAAGAGCATCAAATACTTCATCACTCCCCAAACCCATCGTCCATACGCAGAGCCCTCCAGATCTCGTTCCACGGCAAGGAAAGGGAGGATTTAGTAGATATTAGGAAAATGAGGTATCAGGAAGAAGTTCTTCCCTGTGAGGGTGCTGAGGCCCTGGCACAGGTTGCCGAGAGAAGCTGCGGCTGCCCCATCCCTGGCGCTGTTCAAGTCTAGCTTGGACGTGGCTTGGAGCAACCTCATCTGGTGGAAGGTGTCCCTGCCCATGGCAGGGGGTTGCAACTGGATGAGCTGTAAGGTCCCTTCCGACCCAAAACAGCCTAGGGTTCTCTGATGTTTGCCTTTAACTCTTCTGCTGGTTCACGTGTAGAGCACAGTCTCTGGCAGTAACAGAAGTCTTTGGACAATATCTGAATTACTGAATACGCTTTGCGGTTGCCAGGGCAGATGTAGAGCCCAACACTAGCGCACATCTCTTACTCGCATGATGCTCAGAGCCAGCAGTGCTAAAGCCCCCTCAACATCACTGAAGCTCCAGCTCCACCTCTGAAGCACGCAGGGCTGGACTCTTCCCGTACCTGGATATCCAAGTGTCCCTTGGAGCAGACGGTCCCTGTCAAGGGCCTGATAGTAAATTCAGCTGGCTTCTTGGCACCTCGCGCTGGCTTTCTCCACGACGGACCAGTGCTGTCTGACACCTGAGCAAAACTGGTCACGCTGGGTGCTCCTGAGCCGTCCCCAGGAATGCGAAGGTTGAAGTTGAAGGGCACCGGGGAAGTGTTAGTGAGGCGGCAGCACAGGGTGCGAGGAAAGCCTGGGAAAAGAACACAACAGCAGTTTATTACCCCCTGATTCCTGGGGTGGACATCCTGCTGTGATGAAACTGCGCTTGGAGTTTGCCTCCTTTCAACGGCAATTACAGCCGATTGAGAAGCTCTGTGGGGAAGTCGTCCTCAATTAAGTTCCCTTCTACGCTTGTCACACAGAAATGCCCACTCTGTGTGACGCTGAACACCGCAAGTGTCTCTCTCTAACTGTGAGGAGCTCTCACCTCCCCCAAACCAGCACCAACTCCTTCTCAACCATGACGGTGCATCCAGAACATTTACTCTGAAAAGTCAATCCGGAAAAGTCCCTGTGAACTCCACAAACACTCCCACAGTTTTCAAGAGATAAAAGCAGTATGTTGGCATCAAAGGGATGACCCAGGAAAGGAAAGGAAAGGAAGGATGAACTTGGGAGCCACAGCATGATGCAGAGCACTCTAAAGCACCTTCTCCAGACAGGAACCCCGATGCATCTCCTGGTTTGGGACAACCAAGACTGAGCCCGTGACAGCTCACAGCCCACTTCACTGGAGGCAAACCTGATGCTTGCTCAAGAACAAGCAGGACCTGTGTCTCACCCTCCCAAAGGAGTGGGGTCACACAGCCACGCTGCACGCTGGCTTTCATTACCCCACAAAGGCTGACATGGCTTCAGCTTTGCTACTTGCTTTCCATAATGGAAGCCACTGACACAACCACAGCTCATCTGGGGGGTTGAGTTCACATTTAAACTTTAGACCATCTCAGAGACAAGTCCTTTGTGAGACTGAGATGGAGAACCAGAATCTGCATCTCAGCGGACATGCTCTGCGTGCACAGCCACCAGCTCTGCCAGCAGAGCTGGCCTTTTGGTGGGGAAGGAGGAGCCCACGTCTGAAGACATGGCTGCCCCATGCAGAGCTACTGCTTGGCCATGTTACCCGGGAGCTGACAACGAGTTGGCCTCGCAGCACTAATTGATTTCTCACGCTAACGGTCAGGTGGGGAAATGGTGCCCTTGCCTCACAACAGCAAAATTCACCCAGGGCACCTACAACGGGCCTTCAGCTCCCGGGAGAAAGACTTTCACAGTCATTCTGTTGCCAGGGACTGGGAGACTGGGGCTGGACTGACTGTGAGGGACACCAGAGAACACTGACTTTCTACTCCTTAGGTTCTATTTGAACCATTCAATTGGCTCCGTGCCGTTCTATCTGGTAATGTTTGAGCTCACCACGGCAAAATACTGCCTAGCAGCTGGCAGTCCTGCTTTTGACACGCTGAAGGTGGCTACGGAGGAACACAAGTGACAATGCTGTCCTGGCCAAGTGCTCCATTTGGGTAAGGCTCAGACCTCCCACCCTGCAGCCCAAGCCCAGGGCACACTCACCAAAGGAGACTTCACCGAAGCTGAGGGACGACACATTGAAATGAAATGCCGGCCCGATGACACAGCCGCTGTGAGGACAAAGGCAGACGAGACATTGCCTTGGTTAAAGAGAACTGCAAAGCCTTCAGCTTTCCTTGCCGTTGCGGTGGGTAAAAGCCGGCCTGAGAACCTCAGCGCCTTTCAAATCAACCCCTCACCCTCATGCTCAGCACAGCATCCAGGTGGACAGGAGGCAGCCAAAGCAAAGTGGTCAGCAGCCCATAGCTGCTGGTGGGGCTTGGGGCACAGTGTCGTGCAGGGTATGCCCCCAAGTTGGTGATGGCCTGAGGAAGGACACCAAACGAGTGACGGCTGCGTGCCTCACTTTCCCCATCTGGAACGTGTTGGACGCAGGGGTGTCCCCACTCAAAGAGGGTCAAGGTAACTACCCTTGCCAGCCACAGGTTTCCTGCTTTGGCATTTCTTAGCTGGAACTGCTCTTCCCATGGAGTACACGAGCACCTTTCTAAGAAGATCTTGATCCACGCAATCGTTACGGGGGCAGGACTTTGAGACATGAAGCCAGGGGAGCCCCAAACATCCCTTGACAACAGCAGCAACAATTCAACACAGTGGACAGTTGAAGCTGGGACGAAAGCATCAGCTTATCACCAGGGCACCAGCTGACACATCCAAGAGCAACACGTCTTAAACCACCCAACACAGAAGCGTCAAATCATCTACGGTGCAAAAGATTTTTAGGATCATCAAGTCCAACTGTCACCCCAGCACTGCCAAGGCCACCACTAAAGGGTGGTGTCACCGTGTCACTAAGGGCCTCATCTACACGGTTTGGGAACACTTCCAGGGATGGTGACTCCACCACTGCCCGGGGCAGCCTCTTCCAATGCCTGACCACCCTTTCGGGGAGAAACTCTTCCTAACATCCAGTCTAAAACTGCCCTGCGCAGATTGAGGCCGTTTCCTCTTGTCCTTTCCCTTCTTACCTGGGAGAAGAGACCAGCCACCTCCTGGCTCCATCATCCTTTCAAGTAGTTGCAGGGATAATGAAACCTGAACCCACCACACCACCTCACCTGCCCTTAAATTCATCAGACTTTGAGGCTCCAAATTCCAGAACTCACCAACATCCACCTGAATCACCACGTGAAGCTGCACAACACCCATTCATATATTTCATGGCTCATGCCAACCAATGCCAGCTCTGCCTCTCAGTTCAAAATCAAGGACCACAGCAAATGGTGCCTTCAACCCAAACTATTCCATGGCTCCCTCTTGCTGACAATTACACTGCATTTGCTGCTGCCGCTGTTGCAAGGAGTCAGGGTCAAACTGGAGTCGAGGTTAGCGTGGGCTCTTAGTGTGGGGATGCCAGGATGACAGCCAAGATCAAGACCTCAGACAGGCCTTTTCTTTCTCTGCTCCGTCAGCAAATGAGGGAGGTGGGACATGATTACCCAGAGAGAGCTACAAAGGTGACCACCAAGCTCTTAGAACCCGCCTCACCTCACAGTCAGCGTCAGAGGCTCAGGGGATCCCTTCACCCTGAACTGGAATTCTTCTGTGAACTGCCCCAGGACAGTAGCATTGAAGGAGATCCAGATGACCTGATGCTCGAAAGGCAAAAGCACGCCCTCCCGGGGGGCAAAGGTGAAGCAGGAGCCCAGAGCTCTCTCCGCATAGACCACGCCGAAGGGAGCCTCAAGAACTCCTCTGTTGAGCAGGATCACCTGCAGCAGCAGCAAGAAAGCAACACGGAAATACATGAGGAATCCTCCTTGCTTACAGAAGGCTCACTTCTTTCCTAATTTTGCAATTAACGTCTGTAAAAGGCAGAAGATGCTGAGCACTGCTGCCAAATACAAGAGGCCAAGTTCTGCCTCGGGGGGGGGGTTCATGCAAAGCAGGGATAACTTCACACAAATAGAGCCACTCTGGGCTTATTCCCCTGACACAGAGCAGTCCACTTGCCCTGCAGTGCCAAGGACCTGCTCAGCACCACCAAGTTCATTCAGACCCATCCCACAGCTCCATGAGGCTCACTGCTGCCCAGGAGCCATCCGCATCCACCCCATGCCCTGCGACCCGTCCTGCTCACCCTGTAGCTGTGGCTTGAGCCCACAGACACCTCCCCGATGCTCAGCTGCTCACAGCTGAGTTCCACCTGGGGCCCGACGCCTTCCCCGCTGATGCACAGGGGCAGCCTGCTCTCACAGCCTGTGGAGGGAAATCTCTGTGAGTGCAATTCCCTCTGCTACCCGGCAGTTCCCAGCTTGTCTCAGTGCTGCTGCCGGTCCCTGGGCTGCATGGAACCAGCTCTACGTCCTCCAGGAGAAGATAGGGGACCCATCTCATCCCTCAGGAGATACGGCTTGGGGCTGGGTTCTCCTTTCTAACCAACGGCCTGGGCTGGTGTCTCAGAGAAACACAGACTGCTTTGCGTTAGAAAGGACCTCAAGATCATCCACTTCCAATTCCTTGCCATGGACAGGGACACCTTCCACTAGACCAGGTTGCTCCAAGTCCCGACCAGCCTGAACTTGAACATTGCCACGGATGGAGCAACTTCCTTGGCCAGCCTGTTCCAGCGCCTCACCACTCTCACAGGAAAGAATTCCTTCTGTATATCAAAACTAAATCTCCCCTGTTTTAGCTCGAACCCACCACCCCCCTTGTCTTATCTCTCCAGTCCCCGATGAAGGGTCTCTCTCCAGTCGTGGAAAACCAGCCTCCTCATTGAGCAGATCACATAAGCCATACCCGTACTGCTAACGTACACATCCCTCGGTGCAAAGGCAAGCGAGACCTCGACGCTTACAGCCAAACTCCAAGGTGGGTCCTTTCCCTTAAATTTGCTACAGATGACAGAGCACAAGATCTTCAGGCTGAAAGCTGCTCTCAGCCACTGAAGCAGCCTAAGGTGCCTGAATCCTGGCTCAAACTTTGGATGAGGTCTCACTGCCATCCCATTCTACTCTGCACACAAAGCGAGCAGCACGAGGAGGAGGAGAGAGCCACGCAACAAAGACTCATCTTGGACGTAAATGGTCTACAGGGGCCTGGTGCTCCTTCACTAAAGCTGTGTTGCAAATGCTGCCAAACCCATGGCAGGAAAGCTTATTCCTTCACTGCTTTGTCTCTTCTGGCATCAGGAAGCCAGAGCCCTGCTCTCGGACAGGAGACCACCAGGAACCACAGGGACAGCGGCATGTGCCAGCACTGCTCTCTTGAGCCCTCCAGAACTACATGAGATCCGAGTGGGCTGGAAGAGTGTTTGTATCTCCTCTGTGGCAACAGGAGCAGGAGGAAGGAGCTGTACCTGAGATGTCACAGTAGACTGTCTCTTGGTAGACTCCGGCTTCTTTGGGCTTAAAGATCACGCTGATTTCAAGTGAAGAATTTGGCAAGATATCTCCCTCCTGAAACAGAAGTGACAGCAAACCATTTATCTTCAAACATCACATTCTTGTTTCCACTACAGCCCTGTAAGCCTTTCTTTAGAGCACCAGCAAAGAGCAAGGAGCAAGCGACACTTGTCAACAGAATTTATAGGAGAGCTTGCAAGCAGCTGTAGAAACACCTTCCAAAGTCCCTCGCCTTTACTGGCACCCGCAAGGGGCATTTTGTTACCCTCAGAAGAGATTGAGCTCTTGCTCAGGGATTTAAGTCTGGGCCACGCTACCACTTTCTGCAACTGTCTGCTGCTTCCTCAGGGTCTTCTCTCTCCGCTGCTCTCCCAGAGGATCCTGGCACTGGTGCTCAGTCCCAGGAAGCCTTGTCACACATTTCAGGAGGCATCCCTGGTTTCTATAGGCTCTCGCTTCCTGCAACTGGTTTAAGCAAAGGCACCTCTTACAGCCCTTCAGCCCTTAGCATTACAAAGACAGCTGACCTAAGTAGCTACACCTCTGGCAACTGTAATACTGCCCTACAAGAATTAAATATTTAGTTTACAGAAGCAGATAAAAAGAACAGAGTCGCTTTTCTAGCAGCACAGCCAGGCTTTGATTCTGCTCTGCCGTTGGGTATTCTCAGGAATTTGCCCAGAACGGCCTTGAACTGAGTGGAGCCTCCAGCACTCCTGCAGCATAAATATTCACTAGCTACGGTTCTTCCCACTGACACAGCACTTACAGCTTAGAGGACAGCCCCCACAAAAATTAAAGAGCTAGAGCATGGGAAGTTATTGGCCTCCAGCTGTAAAAAAATCCCCAATGCACAACCTGCTCTGAGTCAGGAGAACACGGCGAAGGACAGGTAGAGAAGAACCCTTTCAAACACCAACCGACCAGTAACTGGAAAAGTCTGAAAGAAGAAAGTCACTTGCAATCTTCTCAAAACCTAGAGAAACTCTCCGTGTGGGGCAGGAGACACTGCCCGTGACACAAAGCCCTTGCTCTCCCGGCCTCCTCCCATTCCTGCCTCCCCGTTCCTCTTGCCAGGGCAACTGGAGCTGGCTCAGTGCCTCAAGGCATCTGTCTGACTCTGCATTTGATCCTAGCCCCACATAACTCAAACTCAACATCACGACGGTGAGCTGCCACTGCACCAAAAAGTACAGTTTCAGCAAGAACCTGGAGAACACCGCAAAGGTGCATCTCAAACAGTGAGGACTCTAAAGGAGTTTCTCAGAGTGGTCAAGTCCCTAGGGGCATGATTTGCTCCATACCAAGACCACACCGATTGCTGGGATCATTCTGTACGCACTCGTTAACTAGTGCAGGAGGCAGCTTTGAGCTTTGGGCACGTGCCATTTCTTCCTTTACAAGCTAATCAGAGGAGGGTGAAGCACACAAACCCCCTTGCCAGGGATGATGTCTTGCCATCCGCCAAGCACCAGGAAGCCATCCACTCACGCATCACGATCCTCACAAGGGACACATCTCCATACATCCAAGGTGCTGCTGGGTCCCAAGGCACAGCAGATGAAACTCCTCTAAGGCACCTGAGGAACAAGCTTATGGACTAGCATTAAGGCCTCTCCTTTTCCAGGGATCAGCACAGCTCTCAGGAACAATGCTAATACAGCACCCCTACTGGAGCCTTGCATTCGTATCCTCGCTCCCAAGAGAACCGGCCCAGCAGTTAACAGGCTCAGGTCTCTTGAGCTCCTGACAGGAAATCACCATCCAGCGGGATTCAGCGTATCGGGGTGGAAACTTCTGGCAGTCCATCCACAGAGATGTTCCCTGCATTGGCAGTGAAGCTGTAAGCCAGAGCGTTTGACTCCAATGACGGAAGGCCAGGAGAAATCATCACTTTATCCTACTATTATTATTATCCTATTTATCCTACTAGTCCATGGCCAAACCCCATTCTTTAAAGACAGAACTATGATGGGAAACCCTTCGTCACTTCTCCCTTCATTCCTGCTCTATGGCAGGCTATAAAAGCAGAACGTTATTTCTCTCGGGAAATTCCAATAGGCTGTTGAAGAGGTTCTTCACGTGCCTGCTACTCCCCAGGAAAAAGAACTGCTGCATAAAAGGATGTCATAACACTGCACAAGACAGCAGGGGAGAGACTCGTGTAGGAGCCTGCTTTGATTCAGCCCTAGAGCAAACTGTGTCACAGAAACACGGCCATTTAGGAAAGGTTTCCACTCCCAGCTTGGGGCTTCATGTCGCTACATCATCACATCTTGATGTGGACAGGACTCGGCCAGAATTCCAGAGCTCCCCTTAATGCACCTCAGGAGCTCAAGAGCAGGTGAAGCTCATTGTGGAGACATAGTGACCGTAATGAAGCAGGAGCCCTGGGGCACACTCCAGAACCAGCTCTGACACACCACAGGATGCTCTGAATGCTCAGCTCAGCAGCTCCCACTCTCCCCGATATCCTTGCTGCTCTGACACACTGGTGGCTCTCAGCCTTACATGGGTTGCAGGAGCAACCGAGAAGAGAACAGCAGCCCCTTCCTCGGAAAACAAAATAAAACAAATAAACTAGTTTCACCCACTGTAAAAGAAAGAAGAGGTTGGGATTATTCCAGGCTTTACTCCAAGATGAGAAGGGATGTTGCACTGCTCAGACAGCAGGCATTCTTCATCCCAGACCATGCAACTATTCAGAACGACGGCTCTGGCTGATTGAAGGACATGGGCGTTTTGCTTGCATCACCAGGAAAGGGAGCACTTTTCTCTACCTATCTGCAGTAGAACTCAAAAAGCCTGTTTAAATCTGAGAGCCTCGTGTCCAGGCTCACAGACGACACTGGAAGGGAGACTCAGATGTGGTATACATCCAGGTTTTAGGAAGGGATTGCTGTTCCCGTGATTAAACCTGGGCTCAATGGGGGCTCCTTTCCACAGGGGACCATTTCATTCTGCAGGTCAGTATGTGAACCAACAGTGCACCAGTGTCCTTTCTTCAGCCCCATGCGCTACGTGGAAACGTGTCCTTACAGAGAATAACTGATAACCTCTGGCCACTGTGAAGACACTCACAAAGTGCCCTTAATTCACAGCCCTTGCAGCAGAGCCCAGCCTGGGGGCGGCTCTTGCTGCTGTTCAGAAAGGCTTTTTGCAACAAGCGCCCCCAGCCTCACCAGAAACCTGAGGTCTCCTCTCTTGGCACATCAAGCAGCTGACGTGGGATCTGCCAACGGACCTCATTCAGAGATGACAAGGAGGAGGAGCAGGAAGGGAGGTTCTCAGCCATCACTCACCATGGGCACAATGGTGAAAATATCATTGCAGAAAGGCACGGAGTCTCCCTGCACCTCTGTCCCCTGGTTCTGGGAGGTGCAGATGGGAAGGGAAGGCTGTTCTCCGAGAGGGCGCACCACCCCGTGCTCCTTAGGAACATCAACCAGCTTGTCCTCTTCCTGCCTCTGCAGCCTGTGCCATGGGAGAGACGAGCCAAACAGATAACTGAAGAAGCAGCACATTTGCAGAGCCTGTGCATGAGCAGCAAAGCACCTGGGGAGGAAGAGCAGCAGCTCTGCATGGGGCTGCCCTGAGACAGGGGCTCCCACATGGATCCCATTATTCCCCTCGTTCCCAGCACAGCAGGGCCTTTTACTCCTCACTGACAAGCTAACAAGAGGTTTCTTAAAGCTGGCAGCCCTCAAGAAAAAGCCTCCTGCACTGGGAGGAGAGGCCACAAACCAGGACACTGAAAGGCAATTCCCCAGCCTACAGCAGGTCGGCCTCCACCTTCTGGGCCAACTAAGCACTCTACCCTGCGTGTGACTGCAAAAGGAGCCTGCCAGCTTATCAAAGAAGAAACCGCTTGACTATCACAATAGTTGTGCCACCTGCAGCTCTTCAGTGCTACTGCTCAGTGCAGTCCCAGGTACCGAGTGCCGACACCTTCCTCAGCCTCACGGACCCTCCGTAGTGCACGGAGCTCTGAACTCAATAGTCTGCGGCTCCCAAATGTGAATTTGCCCTCTGAGGCAATCCAGGGATTGCAATCAACCTTCTCTCCCCAGAACATCATCCTCAGCTGTAGCACGGGTGGCACTGGAATGGCAAGGGTTAAGCTCCACGCTGTGCATGGCTTCATGGGCCCTAATCCGTTCAAAAGCCCCAACAGCCCTCTGAGGCTGTGCGTTAGTTTTCCCCTGGGGCATCTATCTTTCTGAGGTGAATCTCTCAAACAAACCTCAGCTTCTGCCGCTCCTCCTCTTCCTGATCAACAGAACGCTTCCACTGGAAGTGAGCCGTGATGGCACTCTGATTGTGGATGACCACGCATCTTTGGTTTGACAGCGTGACGGAAGTCTTCTCAACCGTCAAGGAGCTCTTGTCAAGCCTGATGTTGACATTTACAGCTCTTCCACAAAGGCTTTTGTGAACATCTTCACCTGGAACAAAGCAAAGGCAAGACTCAGCTCATCTCACTCGCTGATGGAAGTACAAGGAACAGAGCAATCTGCAGGCAACGGAAGAAAGAGCTGCAGCTTTGAGCTGCATCAGCAGTTCCCCGCACCTGGACATACATCATATCCTGACAGCTGCACACGGTACAGCATGAGGATGTCCTAGCACCACCTTAGGCACCTTATTCTGGGGGGGTGTTCGTGGAGGTTTATCCCCAAGGTGACAGCATTTACAGTGAGACTTTTCACTTCTGCCCAGCTGCCTTTGGGCCGCCATCCCACTCAGCTCACAGGGAATTCTACATCCAAGTCACTCAGTGACGCTGAGGACCCTCACCTCAGTCAACCCTTGCCCACGCTCTCCTGCAGGCAGGAGATGCCCCCGTGTCGTCTCATCCTCATCTCCTGGTCCTGAAAGATTGGGCAGAGCTCTCATCTCAGAATCCGAGCGGGAGCATTTGAAATGAAATGGAGAAGGGAAGAAGGAACAATGGAAAGCACAGAGCAGCTTCTGTGCTGAGCTCTGCACTTAAAAGGGTGCTACTGGGCCCTCAGATCCACCTGCCAACTCCTTCTTTTGCTCCTGCTACTCTCACAGCCGAGTGCCTCACCACTGCCAGCACGTCCTTCCTTGTCAAACGTGCTGCTGTTACCACTTCACCACTGGAGAAGTGAGTCCCTTCACTAGGGTAAGTGTCCTCTGGAAAGCTGGAGACTTCCAGCACCAGAGCAACACGCACAGCAGCACAGCCATTTCAAAGTGTTTCTCCAAGGTGGTCTTCACAACCTACCTTCAGACATCATTACCCCCCTCACATTACTGACTCCAGCCCTAGCAGCAGCTTGTTCATAAACCCCACCATTAAATAACTGCTGCTAACATGGGGGTTTCTACAGAATCATTCCCAGGCTACAGCAAAGCTCAGAGCACCCTAATGGCTACCGCTGCCACAGTTACTGCTCCTCACGGTCACAAGTCCTCAGCATGGCCCAGCTCTCAGCACAGCACCCACTGCACCCACGCGGCACATCACAAGAAGAGGGTCTCTACCTCAAAGGCCTTGCCAGGAACTGTAACACAACAGATCGGGATGAAAAGCAATGACCAGTCAGGAGAGCTCTACGGGACAGGTTGCAGGCTCTTCAGACAGCTCTCCTGCACGTTAAAAGCCATCTCCTTTTCAATCAGGCTCCTTGCTATGCACCCTTCTGCAATGGAGCACTCAGAATATTCACCGTCGCCCCCTGTGCACCGTGCTTAGGAAGATCTGCCGGCCTTGTTACAGGCTGAAATAGTCCAGCCCAGGAATATCTGGCAGCCAGCATGGAAGCTTTGCTCTACCCAGTGTGAAGGAGCCTTGCAGAAGGGATTCAACGGACAATGAAGCCATCAGATGATGACAGACAGTGCAGACACCGCTCTGTTTGGAAGGACACACAGAGGGTGCACCACGCACTTACCTGTGTCATAATGAACTATCATGGGACTGGAATAAACACCGGTCTTTGGCGGGTGAAATTCCACCGTGACTTGCATCGCTTCTCCAACGCCAAGAGTCCCAATGGAGGGATCCACAGAGAACGGGCTGCAAGGCAAAGAGAGAGATCAGGACTGTACGGGAGATCTGGGCCCTCCGTTAATTTTGCAGTCCACCTCACTTCAGCTCACTTGTGCAAGCAAGGAGCAAGCAAACCACCGTCGGTACAACAAAACCAGAACATCCAGGATCAGAAACAGAGCGGGTGACTCTCCCTGCTGAAGAGAACCAGACCTCAGAAGATCCCGGGGCATAACATGACCTCAGGCCCCCATACTCTGCACCCAGTTCTCAGTTCTCAGCTCTCCACCTCTGCACACGTGCAATCCAGTTACTCAGAATTCCACTTTTTTGTGGAGTTCACTTCAAACTTCTGTAATGCTTCCCATTTCTTTATTGCAAATCGGGACTGAAATAGTTCATTGCTGAAGTTGGGGAACTCCTAAAACCCTTGTCAAGGAGCTCTCGACACACGCTCTAGCACCCAAGCGAGTAGTTGGCAAGTGCATTGCAAATAGCAGGTCTTGGAGTATCTTTCACCTGCACCCTCCCTAGCTTTCTGGTTTGGGCTGTAGTCCAGTTCTGAAGGCACTGCCTGCTCCTCTCCACTTCAGAGCTCCTTCTGCTTAGGCATATTTGGTCCCAGGCATCAGACCAAGCCCACGGGAAAACAAAGTCCCCGCACCACACACTCGTATTGCCAGGGCCTCCACAGCAATTGCTTTCATCTATGATCTCTGCTTGCTAATGTAGACACAGCTGCTGATGAACTCTTCAGTGCCTCTCACCAGCTCATTGCTCGCCCATTTCTTGATGCTGCGTTTGGCCTCCGTGACCTGAGCCCCTCGAGCTCTCCTCTGCCACGCAGCACCTTCTTCAGCAGTCAAGCTGCCTTCCTACCTTGGCTCTTCCAATCTAACAGCATCAGACCTGCAAGATGCTGCCTTGGAGACACCACTGCACTGTAAAACTTGCTTGCAGAGCTTTCTCAAAACACTCTAAGCAATGGCAAACCCCACGGATCCTGCCCATGTCCAGCACCTCAGATACTCTGCCTCCTTTTTCTCACTGTTTACAACTCCATGACCACGCAACAGCGTCTGCACAAGACATGAGCTCCTTTACCTCAGAGTGGTGATGCTGTAGCAAGCCTCCCGATTCCCCACGTTGCGCACCAGCAGAGTTTTCTGGGTGCTGAACCTGACTGGACAGTTGGAGAAGTTCAGCTGCTCAGGGAAGTCCAGGCTGGCTCGGGCACCTATGGCTCGGATAGGCACAAAGAACTTCTCCCTCTCTGTGATGATGATAAGCTCGTCGAAATAATCCTGCAGGGAAAGAAACAATCTCAGCACAGTGCCTTTAGCACCATGCCCATGGCAGAAGAAGAGCTGCTGCTTTCTGGGACTCTCGCAGTAGCATTCCATAATGCACTCGCACTTTTTACCTTCATGGCCTTTCATGACACATTATTGCACAAGCAGGGGCAGCCAGGGACCATGGGGCAGGTCCTCTTTAGTTTTCTATAGGCATGCTGCTTGAGGATTGCACAGAGTATTCAACTACATTTAAGCAGCAAACAGAAGATGAGTAAAAGGCCATGCACAGACAGCAGACTCTCGGCCCTGAAGCCAACAGACATTACCTTAGATATTCCACCACGGAAGGAGAAAACAGCCTGAAACTGGCAAGAGCCTCCAGCCTACGGGAGCACAACCTTCACCACCAGGAAAGAGTCTCCCCCACGTCTAGATCCAGTGCAACCCTACTGAACCCAGCACCAGTTCTTCAAAACACACACCAGATGCCTGCTTTGGAATCCAGCCCTGCAGGTTCCCCTTCCCCTCAAGGCGCCATCTCTCGAGACCTTCAGTCTCACCTTGTTCTCATCAGGTCTGAAAAGGATGCGGTAGGTTGAAGACATGCCCGGTGCTACCTTATAGTCCTCATCACTCGGGCTGATCAACTCGAAGTAAGGAGAGTTCCCCAGGATGACGTTCAGCAGACGAGGAACCTGCAGGAAAGACACAGAACTATGATTTTGTCGCTTGTGGAAACATGAGAAGGGACCAGGACGGGCCACGTGCCATCCTTCCTTACCACCTTTCCAAAACACTTTTAGCTCTGCGTAACGCACAAGGGTGGACTTGAATCCCTTCTGCTTAGCTACATAGCTGCAGGACAGAGGCCGTAGGAACAACATGCCCTGCTGTGAAGGAAGCAGGAAGGAGATGCAGTACCTCAAGTCATTCAACAAGCCCAGAGAACATGCCTGCTTCTGCCTGCACACACCCGTGCAATCATGCCTCTGGAGGCGGAATGTATTATCTGAAGGCAACCCAGCGTGGGTTATACGGGGGGGGGGGGGGAGGGGGCGGGAAGGAAGTCACTTCTGACACACCAGCGTGGAGTGCGGCGGTCAAGCTGCGGTGCTACTCATGGGGGTGGACCAGCAAGAGAAGGAGACCACAAACACTCTGGCCTTCCTGAGAATAAAAGCTTACCTCAAGAGCAACCATCCCCAGGAGGAAGCAGATGGCAAAGAGAATTTAAAGGGGGCTGCAAAGCAGCAAGGGAGATCCATAACAAAAGGAAAGGCTGGTGCAGAGATGAGAACTAACGTGCCTGTATGAACCCCCACAGGCCGTGCCTACCAATGATGGTCCTCAAAGGCACTTTCTGCTTTGAGATAGGTGGCCAGCACTGCCTCACACTGTGGTGGCTTCATCACCGAAAGCCACCCTGAGCTCTCTGGAGGCTCTTGCTGCCTGGGGACTGCAGCCAGGCCTCTGCCAGTGCAGGAGAGCCACATTTCTGGGTATCCCTCCTCAGAGCCAGCCTTTCCTGCAGGCATCCTGCTGCAAGTGTCTGTCCTCTGCGATACCACAGGCACGGGGACAGCAAACAGGCATTCTCTAGCACACAGGCAGCAACCCCCCAGCACCCAATCCCAGCTCATAAAGTATAACAAGGAGACTTTGAATGACAGGCAGCTCCACTGATGAACACACGAGGCTTGGAAAAAAGGGAGGCTCATTCTGCACCCCCGACCCAAGCCTCATAACCCATGGCCAAGGCAGCCCTGGACGCTCTAAACACCCTTTGCTCCCAGCAATGCCCTGGGGCAGACAGCTCCAGGAGCCCATTTCCCACTGCAGCCACACGTTCCGGTCGCCAAATCCCTTGGCACGTGAGCCCAGGTGGCAAAGATCTTCAGCAGGAGCCACCCAGGGCACCTCTTGAGGGTGGGGAGGAGCAGCCTGAAGACAGGAAAGCAATTCCACAGCAAGTAGGCAAGAGCACTGAGCAGAGAGCGAAGCACTTCCGTACTGGAGTGATTACAGAGCACCTACTGGGCTCCATTACACTTTGCCTCTCCTACACTTTGCTGCTAGCTGCAGTTCTAGGGAGCAGACAACCTCAGCACCAGGCAGGATACATCAGTAGGACTCAGAGGAGTCTGGGGAACTCCTGAGACAGAGCGCAATGGTCCTTTTCTCCAGGACATGACCAAAACCCAGCAAAATTAGAACATGATACGCTCTCTTGGCATTATCATCTCTAGCTTTGCGCATTTAAAGATGACAAGGCTTTTCCTTAGAGCTGATCTTCCTTTTACACCAGGGCCGTCCAATGCCTGAGGTCGTACTAGCTTCACAACTAATACATTTGGGCTAAAATCAACAGTTCACACACTGCCTCCCCTTCACAGGGCATAGAAATCCCAAGCTGCAGCTGTACCCGCCTATTACGTTTTATTGGGAATGGCACCAACATCAGTGCAGATGTTGTTTTCCACTTGGGAAGCACGAATAGAGCAAATTCACTGCTTGCCTCTTCGCTGCTACTTGGCAAAGGCAAACATTCTGCGGTGCTGCATGGATGAGGGAGCAGCTGAAGCCAAAAGACACAGTGGGAATGAAGCAGAGCAGTAGGAAAAGAGAAACTGAGGCCCATTTTAATAAGCAAAGGCTACACCTACAGCAAAGATTGCCCAAAGTCACTGTGAAACACACCACTGGTGTCCCTTGGGCATAGGTAGCCACGCTGCAACTTCCCAGTATTCCCAAGCTATACCAGGAACGATACACAACTCTCTGGGGGTAACTGAGCGACCATACCTTCATCCTTTCTTGCCAAAGGGTCTTCCATGCTCCACCACGTCCCTGTAAAACCTGTTCTCTCAGGAGATAACTTTGACTTCTCTTGCTCTTCCTCCCCCTACATTAAGCCCTGACAGTGTCACTCCTTTTGTCCCCCTCTTTGTTT